AGGAACAAAGGAAGGCAGATTGGGCGATAATGAAGGAAATGGCCAAGTATCTCTGGCCTAAGGTAAGGCCTTGAGCGGCCGTCGTGGGTTGGAGAATGTTTGACATTAATTGGGATATCATAGGATGATTGGGGAACGAAGCTGCGTGTCGGAACCGCCCTGTCGTTACTGGTTGGAGCAAAGGTTGGTGATAATACTGCAGTCATCCTAGCTTTTGCAATTGGGGCTTACCTTGTGGGGTCTAGGTTCTCAACGTGAATGTGCCATTCTACTTCAAGAGCATTGTCGACTCGATGAATGTAGACTTTGCCGCAATGGGCGGGACAGCTTATACAGTTGCAGGCTCTATGATCATAGCTTGTAAGCGAAGCATACACATACAACGCAGTACCCCTGTCTAACGGCAGTCTTCCAGATGGTGTGACGAGGATTGGCGCTACACTTTTCCAAGAACTTCGAAATGCCGTATTCGCTAGCGTTGCGCAGAAGGCAATCCGCAGAGTTGCACGGAATGTATTCGAGCATCTATTACGACTAGACCTCAATTTCCACCTTAGCAGGCAAACCGGTGGCTTGACTCGGGCAATTGATCGCGGAACGAAAGGCATCAGCTTCCTACTGACATCGATGGTCTTCCACGTGGTTCCTACTGCTCTGGAGATATCTCTTGTGTGCGGAATATTGGTACAGCACAAGCGCACATAGTACGAGCCTGGGCTTTTGCTGACGTATTGACAGACATATCAGTATGGCGCGCAATTTGCTGCAATAACGGCTGCGACCATGGTAGCATACTCTGCTTTCACAATAATGACTACTGCATGGAGAACCAAGTTCCGGAAACAGGCCAATGCTGCGGATAACCGTGGTGCCACAGTAGCCGTGGATTCTCTGATCAACTACGAAGCTGTCAAGTACTTTAACAATGAGAAATTTGAGGTCGCACGGTATGATAAGGCGCTTAAAGCTTATGAAGACGCTTCTATCAAGGTGACGACGTCGTTGGCTTTTCTCAATTCCGGTCAGAACATGATCTTTTCAAGTGCGCTTGCCGGCATGATGTACCTCGCAGCAAATGGAGTCGCCAGTGGTTCGTTGACTGTTGGAGACCTGGTTATGGTCAATCAGCTTGTTTTCCAGCTGTCAGTTCCTCTGAACTTCCTTGGCTCTGTGTACCGTGAATTACGTCAGTCTTTGCTGGATATGGAGACCCTATTCAACCTACAGAAGGTCAATGTGAATATCACGGAAAAGCCGGATGCAAAACCTCTGCAGCTCCACCGCGGAGGCGAGATCAAGTTCGAGAATGTGACTTTTGGTTATCACCCTGACCGCCCTATTCTCAAGAATGCAAGCTTTACGATTCCTGCTGGCCAGAAGTTTGCTATCGTGGGACCCAGCGGCTGCGGCAAGTCGACCATCCTGAGATTACTGTTCCGGTACTATGATGTCCAAGAAGGCCGCATTCTTGTTGATGGTCAGGACGTGCGGGATGTGTCTCTCGAAAGCTTACGGAAAACCATTGGCGTTGTGCCCCAGGATACCCCTCTCTTCAATGACTCTATCGAACACAACATTCGCTACGGAAGAATTGACGCTACTGATGAAGAAGTGCGCAAGGCTGCACAACGGGCGCACATCCACGAACTGATTGAGAAGCTACCGGAAGGATATAAGACCGCTGTTGGTGAACGAGGAATGATGATATCCGGCGGTGAAAAGCAACGATTAGCTATCTCACGACTGATATTGAAGGACCCAGAGCTCCTGTTTTTCGATGAAGCTGTAAGTCCTTGTTCTGGATTATCCTATGCCTGACGAGTAATTAACTGACCAATACAGACATCGGCTCTCGACACATACACGGAACAGGCTTTGTTACAGAACATTAACAGCATTCTCAAAGACAAGGCGCGCACAAGCGTCTTTGTGGCTCATCGATTGCGAACGATCTGTGACAGCGACCAAATTCTTGTGCTGAAGGAGGGCCGTGTGGCAGAAACAGGGTCACATCGTGAACTTCTTGAGCTTGATGGCATCTATGCTGAACTTTGGAACGGTAAGGAGCCCGTCATTCGCCGCTGTTGGGTCCACTGAACCGAAAGCTAACATATCACCTGCACTATATAGCCCAGGAAATGTCTTTCGCTGAAAATACAGAGACTGAAGGTAACGCCGAGCTTGAGGAAGGTGCTGGGCAAGGGGCGCTGCCAGAATCTAGACAAAAGTGAGCCGATTAGAAAGCTAGACTCGGAAGTTGGGTAGTTGCAGGTTCAATTTAACATAAATATATTTTTGACTCGAGGAAGGTTCTATGGCTATAGACAATTTAATTCTTGCAGACACCTTGAAGCCGTCCCAAGGTCACGTATGCTATACTTTCAGATGTCAGACTGTATCTATGCAGTACTACAACTTTCCTTGTCCTTGATGACGAAATACACCCGCATAATCAACGCTGCATTCGGTACCGTTCTTGGGAAAATAAAGGGTGAGACTAGGTCCAGTTCTATGTGGAGATCAAAGAGCAGTGCCGAATCAGCGACACGGCACCCAAGTCGATGGGACATCATAGTGCCGTACTCCGTCCCAAGCTCTCCATACTCCCAAGTGCATGGATGGTCCGAACGAACCCGGGAGGACCGGGGCATATGCCATGATTGAGCAAGCTTGGACTACTTACTCGAACGTTGTCTCGGATAGATTACCAAGGAACTAGAACGCGTTCAGGGGTGTTAGAGTGAGTCTAGTGAACATAATGGGACATAGTCGGCCGGTTAGTGCGGGATTAATATCAGATTATGAGCAGCGATTCGGGCCAACTGGCGGCCCGAGGACGGGGCCGACCCCTGGCTAGACCGGACATGGGCTAGTGGCGAACCCCAACCCACGTTTTTGCCCCTCTCGGTTCAGTGACCGTCCGCCAGGCGACGTACGGCCGGTCTTTCTAGACTCCCGTCAAAACTTCGCTTCTTCTGTGACCCATCTTCTTTTCTTTCCCTTTTTATCTTTTTGTCCTGTTTTCAACCCCCCCCCCTCCTTATCTTACTCATACGAGTTTTCTTTCTTTCTGTCTTTCTTTGTCTTGCGGTCGCACGCATCGTTTCTAGTGGCTTATTGACGCACCAACGTCATTCGTCGAACTACCCACATTCCCTCGCCCATCAGTCTTTTTGACGCTACACCAGCTATCTTTTCTGAACCACTCATTATTGAATTACTATTGGTTGCTATATCAAATTGGAGTGTTTGCCCGCCCGCCCACGGCTTGCTTCCCCCCAGAATTATTGATCCCGCTCTTTCGTTTCCCAACTTGGTTCTTCGCTTCTCTTCTCTTCTCTTTTCCTCTCTTCTCCATCCGGCAATTGGTCTCCGTCTCAAATTCCTGGTATCTGATACCTCTTATCACTCCTTTTTTATTTGTCTGTTATAGAACTCTACAATAGCTCCACCGGGTAAGACATTGTCGCCTTTGTTCGGTCTCTTTCTCTACACCGTTCTCCTGAGCATAACCGAATCAAACCACCGAGACGAACGTCGCCGTCATTGTTTCTCTTAGCTAACTCATATTGGCGACATTACTAGCGAAGCAACAAGCTCTTATCTACTACAATCATTATCTGTTACTGTTACCATTACCACTGTTCCCTCCCGAAACCAGCGACTACTTCCGTTTGCGGCGTTGCAATTCCTTGATCACCTGTCGAACCATCTCTGCATACCCACTCAGAATTCAATCCAATTGACTGTCTGATCAAGTGCTTGTGGAATACCAACGGGTCAGAAGTATTTCTTCGCAAACTTCACATACACAATGGGCCTCATTGAGAAGTTACAAGCAAGTATGTCTCCTACGCCATCTCGACCTCGACCTTGGATTCTCAGGGAGAACTGTTCGAATTATAGCCCCGTCGCTAACAGCTATCCTGCTTAGAAATCGAGCTTTATCGCCTAGAGCAGCGTTATGCTCGTCGCAAACACCGGAGCACATTCTCAGGTGTCCAGTACGTCGACGGTGAATATGTATACACCAACGGATCGAACTCGCCAGGGTCAGTCTCCAAACACTCCACAGGCAGTTACTGGAAATCCCCTACGTGGGGTGTATCATCAAGCGATTCGCGTTGTCGGTGACGAGCCCATTTAATTCGACGTTTTTCTGCGCTTGCTTTTGACTATATATCCTCGGCATTACGTTTCGTGTGGAGGATGTGACGACACTTCCGACCGTTATATGTCCCGCTATTCCATTCATGGTTGAGAAATGAACGAAAGATAAAAGTTCACGCTTTCTTCATCTGAAGGAGCGAACTGGACCGATCTGCTTCGATCTGAGACACAATCAGCAACCCTTGTTCCCCTTCGCACGGTCTGATTAGCCTTGCATGCTTGACCACGCCGAAACCTGTACAGTACCCCGCAGGACAGGCATGCGCATCCTTTTCTCAGTCTGACTGACGTCATGTCTACTTTGGCATTTCATTTTGGTATCACCGGAGTCTCTTTGGGTGTTCTAGTTAACGCTGTGTTGTCTTGTACGATCTTTTTCGATTCTTTTGACCTATCTTCTTCGACTCCAACTTACCTAGCATTGAGATTTTTTTTTGGTAAAGCAAAAGGAACTGGGCTATGGTAGATTTTTTTATTCTTTACTTTCTCTTGACTTGAGCGACTTGATTCTTAGCTTGTCTGAGCTTCCCTTCTATTCAAATACTTGGCCCTTCAACTGTACATACATTCTATACGCATTTCTTTGAGAATTCGAGAAAAAGATGCCAATGACCACTAAGTGATATATCTAAAGGTAGAGATGAAAAAGCGCTAGATTTAGATAACGGACATTTGTGATACCTCAGACAAATAGCCGCAAATCCTTCTCGAGAAACGCCGTAAAACAAGTACTATACACGGTGATAGACGAGGCAACCTCCGTGTAGCTACATCAGAAACAAGCACATATTATCACAAACAGCATCAACCTTCCAACAGAGCGACCCCAATTACCGTTTCGACTTCCTACTCCCTATACCAAGACGTCCCAAATTAGGAAGACTGGTTTTATGTCTATGCGCGGCACCCAGGATAGAACCACCTTTCTGGTTTCCAATATCAGCAGGACTCCGCCGTCCCTCGGCACTGGCTCCAAGACCTAGGCCTGTTCGCGGTGTATCTGGGAGGTTTGCCCGTTCCTTGTTCCGCGCTTGGTCTGCAGCAGAGAGGGCGGCAGCTAGCGAATGACCCTGGAAGCCGGCGACGCCGTCGTCGAAGGGACGTTCCCTTGCACGTAGTGCTCGGCGAGCCTTTTCCTGGACGGTTTTGAATTTATCGAGGAGTTCGACCCAGCGGATGGAGTTCTCTTCGCGTTTGTTGCGGCTGCCTGTCGAGCGATCGTAGGTGCTTGAGCCGGAGGCTGAGACCATCGTGGAACTGTGAGGATTTTGTTTTTGTCAGTATGGGAGTATTATAGGCTGGCTTTCATTCTTGTGGTGGGTTTCAAGTGTGCTCACAGTCGGGGTGTATGGAGAAGGCCAATGTTGCTAACGCTGTTTAAACGGTTCTTTAGAGCCGCGAAGGCAGAGCTCTGCGGAAGGAGCATGAGGACACCATAGAGGCATTTGTAGAGGTATGGATAACTTTCTGGTTCCAGCAGTTGAAGTCGGAGATCTACCAACAAATGAGCACCCATCAATAAGTGATACCGAAACAACCAGAAGGGCCAAAAAAGCAACAACAGCAACTTACAGGTGAAGACAGGTGACTCCAAAAGCTGGACCAGCTTATCAATTTGAATCAAATTATTGACAGTCATTTCGAGCTCGGCACTGAAATATTTGGTTAGGACATTTTAGCATGTATAGATATGCCCATACTGACAAGACTTGGAGAAGGTTGTAGGCCTGCTCATATGCTTGTGCAAGCAGACACAGTGAAAACGTGGAGACAGAGTTGTGGCACCAAGACCTAAATAAAGCCACAAAGAACATCTGGCCCTCCTATGCAGATTGTTAGTCACAACATCCAAGCGTGGGGTGAAGAGGGTCTGTTACTCTGGTGTCCAGGTTCCTTAGCCGTTTTCGCAGCCCAGAGAGCTCGGGCGCCGTAATCAGGTTATTGTTTAGATTCTGTACCATAATACTGGCGAATTCAATGTCCTAATATCGCAAAGAGGAGTTAGCATCTCTATCGGCTCTTTGTGCAAGGCAAACTGACCTCCTCCTTTTCAAGACAGTCGGCTAGAGTTCTGTAAATGCGCTCCGGGCTTAAATTCATACAAAGCTGGCGGATAATGAGGTTTCCGCGGACCTCTAGTAAATGCCTATCGGTGGAGAACAGTTGAAGGAGGTTCACCATGAACGACTTGAAATAGCTATCCTCGCTATTCCGCGATATCTGGGATAAGAGCTGGAGATCCTTCGTCACCACTGCCTCCGCTGGATCGGATAGTGTCTTAAGCAGAGCAGGAAACGTTCCATCGTTGAATGCCACCACCTTTTTGGGGGCCTTCCGATGCAGCATTATCAACCAGGAGAGGGCAGCTACCCTTGTGGCTTCGTTCTCGTTCAAAAACTGCAGTGTAAGCGAGTTGACAGCCGCAGCATAATCGAGATCAGCAGGCGGCACTGGTGTGGACATGACACTGCTCCGAGGCGTCGGTTCTTGCGTAGACTCCTGCGCCGATTGCTTCCTAGAGGCGGTTGCGGATACATCAGAGGGTTTGGTGTTTGGTGCAGATTCTCTCCTTTCAGTCTCTTTGTTAGGTGTAGATGCTAGTTTCGAAGATGATGACTGTCGTGTCTCATCCGATAATGTGTCTTCAGATAGAGACACAATATACTCTAGCAATGATGTGTTGACTCGGTTTGCGGCCTGCCGCACATGGTCCGAGCCACTGGACATAGCTGGAAGTACTTGGGTCAGAAGACGTGGAACGAAAGGAAGTATGTCTTCGGGGCTTATTTCGAAGAAACTATCGATCCATCGCAGCGCTGTCAACTGCATCTCTTCCTCTACTGGCGGTAAGTCTAGGGCCGTTAAGTAGAATCATGCTCGGAATATCTTACCATAAGATGTGTCAACGAAGCCCACCAAGATGCCTAGTATCATGGGGTAATCTATTTGGACATCTTGTCCTGGAATCCAATCTCCATCTGCATGCAAGCCGTCTTCATCAATTGTAGAGTCCACCTCAGAATCTTCTATAGCAACATCATTGGTTCCAGCTTCAGTTTCAGTCTCGGTTTCGGCAGCAGCCGTCTGATCGGTAGTTGTGCTAATGCTGTCACTCGTAGTTGATTGTCTATTCTCGCTTCCTTGTCCCTTGCGACTCTCTTCAATGCCTTTCTTGAGACGAGCGATTCTCTTGATTTCTGACAGGAACCTATCTAGCAGGTTTTGGGTGGCGACATTCACGTCTCTATTAGGGTCACCAAGGAATTTGACCAGACCTCCCAGAAATTCTGGTAAGTATGAAACAAGCTCAAGGTCAGGTATTGTGTCCAACAAAGTTAACCATGATACCAGGAACATCCGAGTGAATGGGCTGATAACATCAATTCGATCTTTGAGTAATGGTATAAACATTGGAAGAGAAAATGCCGTTGGAAGGTCAGGGTCTTCCAAAGCTTCCGGGTCTGTGTCTTGCTTCTCGGAAAGCTGCAAGACCGAGACATAAGATGCGGCGGACTCAGACACGATGTCTTTAACAAGTCTATCAAGGAGTTCTGCGCCATTTTTGACTGAAAGCTCCGAATCGGATGCCAACTAGGAATATATCAGTTGGGGAACAGGCAACAAGACTGGTGTGAGGACAGCGGGGAAATCTGATACTCAGCTCACTTACTTTACTCAACGCATCGAAAATTTCGTTGAAGAACAACAAAATCTCCCCCTTAGCAACTTTGGCAATGTTATACATGCTCTCACAAGCGTAGTACCTGACTCGCGCATCTTGGTCGGTGAAGCAAGCTAGCACTGGTTTTACAATTTCTTTCAGGTATGGCGCAACACCTTCCTAGTATCCTATTCTCAGCAACAACAAGAAAGATGCTGCATTTTCAGCATGCTCACCGATCCAAGCGCGATGGAGGCCGCAGCCAACCCGATCAAGCCACCATTTCTCGCATGAGGTTGATGTACTGCGTAGGCGTAGTCATGACATAGCTGCTCGACAATTCTTTGAATATTTTCATGTGCTCCTTTGAAAACGGCATCTCGAACAACTTTCTCTAACCTATATTATGGCCTCAGTCAGCACGTACTGCTCTGCATAGGCACTTTGACAGCTTTCATTCTTCTTACTCCAAGGCTCCCTGTTTCCTCCGATCATAGAGCTTATCATTTAGCAAACGCTGAATGGAGGAATCCATCGCTCAGAAAAGCATCCAGCGCAGAAAGTTACGTCACACGCGGGAGTAGATTAGTCGACGTTGATGATGCTCATGATGGAAAAGCGACGTCTGGCCGGGCGGTGGGTCAAGAGCTCTTAACTAGTTGTAGCTATTCGGGGCATGGGTCTCGGAATGAGTTAAACTTGTTGAAAGTTTCACAGAATGAATAGGAACGTCTTCTCAAACAATCAAAGAGGGGATACAAGAAAGGTGTGTTAACGCGCACGAAGATAGCCAGTCCCCTGTGAGCTGCTGCAGCAGTCAAGATATCAATGTGGGGATTTTAGTCGCAGTAGAAAAAACAGATGTGTTGGCAGCCATAAATGATGCCTTAACCTTAGCCTGAAGTGGGAACTGCGTTGTGACGTAAGGCTAATGAGTGGTTTACTCTCTGAATTTTATTTACTGGTCCCGGGGCCGTAAATTAGCAGTCGACAGTCCATTGTATCCGTACCTCTAACAATTGAATCTTACCGCTATCCTCTATCGTCACAGGCGCCAAGGCCAACCACCAAACGCTTTCCCCGATCAGGAACCAAAGAATTTACGATACAGTCTTTGGTACCGCTGCGGAGAACTTGAACCTGCGGGCAAAAGACATACAATCTCAATCCTTTCCCCCTCCTCCCACACCTCTTCCGGTCCATTTCCTCATTCCTCAGGCATGACAATGAGTCAACCTTTGGGACGAGGTGTACGGGTTGTGTCCTGGACCCGAGTCCTCCCTCCGCGAGCGCGACAAGGGCCATCACTGTATCGCGCAGGGCAGACGAGATGCCTTCAGATTCGCGCCGCCGCGGCGGAACAGCCATCTTCGGCCAACGGAAACAGTCTGCCTGTGGTCGGCACTCCTAACTCAGCTGAGTCTGCCGGTATGTAATTTTACTTCTATAATTCCAGGGCCGGTACAAGAGGTGCTTGTCCGGCGATTTGAACAAAGGACTCCTGCTGATGGTTTAACACAATCAGATGCGCGATTCGACGTTATCGGCGCTCCATACTCCTTATTGTCCGTCTCTCTATCCGCTTCGCAGAATCTCTTCACCCGACGAGGAACATTGGTGGGGCTGAGCGGGAAAGCCGATAATGTATGGCATAGTTCCACGTTTTGCGATTCGATATTCTACGATAGGTCTATTGACGGTCACTGGTGCCTTATCAGGTGGTTTCTACGTTGAGCGTTCTCGAACCATTCCGGAGAGCAGTTGTCGGTGTGCCATTTCTCTACCAGAAGGTTCGCTTGGCCCTTTCCACATCAGCAATGGGAATGCGAAACTGACACCTGTGTAGGTCTCGTCGGCTAGCCCGGTAACTGCCTTGGTTTCTGTTCGGTCGCCTACCACGTCCTTCGCTGTTGTACACCTGGATGGTTCCGTGGATTGGATGGTGGCACAGAGACGTGCGTTGCTTGCCTGGACGGGCCGTTCTCTTTCTATCAAACCGACAATCAACACAAGCCTGGTATGTTAATCCAATAGGGCTGTCGTCAATTGAAAAGCGAAGCTGACTTGCGCAGAGCGTGTCTCACTGGGGTAGCTCCGAAGTGACTGGCAGAGGGTTGCTAGCATTAGTTGGTACGGGTCAGTTATACCAGGTCGAGGTAAAGGCCGGAGAGCAATACATCGTCCACCCAAGGTATGGTTGCATATATTCATTGATGCCACTACTTCGAAGCATGTTAACACAGTCAAGCAATGTCGTGGCTTACACAATGACAAACAACCCCCCTCGTCCTTACCGCTTCAAATCCACAAGCTTGAAATTCCAGGTCCCAGGTCTTAAGGGCTTGCCGAGCTTTATCCAAGATTCAAAGTTCGTTCGGGATATGTCGGGTTCCGATACATGGAAAACCGCAATGAATATCTTCCATAAAATTCGTACTTGGTCTCGGATGACCATCTGGGGAGACAGGGTATGGCTTCCATGCTGATTTGAATGGTAAAGCGGTGCTAATGTTGCTTGCTACTAGCTCTTCCTGCAATTCGATGGCCCCGCGACTATTCTCTTACAAACGCGTGGTCCCCGTATCAATGAAGTCCTCACCTCGCACGAAGTTAATGAGATTGCAAGCGCCCCGAGAGGACTAACTATTGGACCTGCAAAGCCCACAGAGGAAAAGAAATCGTCTGCCGACGAGGAGCATAGGAAGGCAGCTGAGGAGGCCGCCAATGCTGCCCCCGCGCCCACAAGGACCGTTGAACAATTAGAACAGGAGGTCAGAGGATCAGCTCAAAGCATTGCCACTCTTACGAAGGAAGGCAAAGTTATCTTTGAGAAACCTGGCCAACAAAACTAAAGTGTAATGTTTGACATCAACCGTTTCAGTTGGTGCATGATAAGGCGCTCTCATTTTAAAATTTCCTATTGCAGGCTGAATGTATTATAGATAGCATACTCCGCGTTTCAACATGAGCTTTTTTTTTTTCCCTTCCCTCACTGGGCATAGAAACCATCCTCATGCTATGTTTCTCTACACAGTCAACCATCTGGCCTTACCGATCTTCTGGGGACAAAACCGTGGGCTTGTTTCTGCAATAGCCCGGAGAGTCATATATAGTATGTCAACTGGTAGGGCAGCGTTGAATGAGCAAACCTGCAGGGGCTACGGCTCCCTTCGTTCGGCTGCTTTCTCCGGTGTCAGCTGTTCTAGCCCTATACTTGCGCTAGACAATGTAACCCAATAACGTCAAGACTTGAAAATCCATCCCTTGATTCAGAGCCAAGTTTTTGAGTGCCACGGTTACCAGTGGAATATTAAGACCTGAGGAATGTGAATCTAATGTTATGGAAAACAAACGTGTAATTGACTCCCCGGCCGAAAGAATCCTACTCGAGACCCCAATTTATCCATCGACAGTTCGATCCAAGCACAGCTGGATTCTCTTTTGAATTCTGCTCTGTCAATCTGTGTGTCCTCAATTAACTAACATCTTTCAAGCAGAACCCAGATCTATAGGTTGTACTCTCTTCCTTCAGCTGGTCGGTATCATACACATTTGTTAGAGTCCTATGAGTCGCATAACTTAATTTTAATCATTACTGCGCCCTCACAGAACCCGGTCGCTCACTCCGGTTACAGGCCGCTAAACTATATAGTTGACCAACATGCCGGCAACTCCAGAGATACAACACTCTGCTGAAAGCATCGTTACCGAAAGTATAGAACCATCTCCATCAGCAACGCCTGCCTTTTCTTCGAGTGCCCATCTAAACCCAGAAGACGCGAAGCCAAAACATCCACATGAGGATATCCAGCCGGGTCCATACACAATTTTGGAAGATGAGTCTAGTAAAACCGGGGATCCAGAGAAATCAGGCTCGACTACCCAGTCTGCGCCAGCTAGAGCCCCAAATCCACCCCCAGATGGTGGCTTCAAGGCATGGATGGTTGTGCTGGGCGCTTTCTGTGGGTTGTTCGTCAGTTTTGGGTGGATCAATTGTGAGTATATTTTGGGCTTTGTACCCTTAAATGTTTGTTGGGCCTTGAGCTCGATTTGGGTTATGCTGACGCCAGGGTTTGTAGGTATCGGTGTCTTCCTGGACTACTATAAAACCCATCAGCTACAGGACTTGCCAACCAGCACAGTAACGTGGATCACTTCGTTAGAAATCTTCATGATGTTTTTTGGGGTGCGTACACCAAGTTCCGGTATCAGTCGAAGCGAGACATTGACGGTTGTATCTCCAAACAGGGTCCCATCGTAGGAGTATTCTTCGACAACTTCGGTCCCCGCTGGATTATGATTGCTGGCACATTCTTCCACGTCTTCGGGCTGATGATGGTATCCATCTCAAAAGAATACTATCAATTCATTCTCGCGCAAGGTGTCTGCAGCCCCATCGGGACAAGTGCCATCTTTCACGGCTGCCTCACCTCCGTGAGCACCTGGTTTGGGCGACGTCGTGCCCTGGCCCTGGGTGTGACAACCTGCGGCTCAAGCGTCGGAGGGGTAATATTCCCTATCATGGTGGCTCGACTCATCCCCATAGTAGGATTTGGCTGGACAATGCGGATCTGCGGATTCCTCGGTCTAGGGCTCCTAGTTATTGCCAACATCACGGTACAATCGAGGCTACAACATCACCGGAAACCTTTTCGACCATTGGATTTTGTTCGTCCGCTCCGCGAGCTGCCTTTCCTGCTTACCACAGCCGGGACCTTTTTTGTATACTGGGGCTTGTTCCTGCCGTTCGCTTTCATCCCAACTCAAGCCGAACGGTACGGCATGTCGGCCTATCTGGCATCGTACTTGATCCCGATTCTTAACGCAGCCAGGTTCGTATTTCCCATATCTATATCACATAATAATATGCTAATGAACTGCACAGTATCCTCGGCCGTCTTGTGCCGCCCTATCTGGCTGATCTTTTCGGGAGGTTCAACCTAATGATCCTCACGTCCCTATTCTCAGTCATTATCGTTCTCGCTATTTGGCTTCCATCTCGAAGTAACGCCCCCGCCATCGTGTTTACTTCTCTTTACGGTTTCAGCTCAGGTGCTGCCGTCTCCCTTGCGCCAGCGCTGGTCGCTCAGATCTCGGACATGCGTGAGATTGGCGTTCGTAGTGGGACTTATTTCTGCATCGTATCTTTTGCTGCTTTGACAGGCATGCCAATTGCAGGTGCTTTATTGCCTGATCCCTTACATGGGTCGTACTTGAAGTTGGAGATTTTCTGTGGTGTGGTAATGTTCGGCGGAGTTTTGTTTTATCTCTTAGCTAGGGGAAGAATTAGCGGTTGGGGACTTTTGCATAAAGTCTAAGAAATTAGTAGCGGGTATTGATTGTTTGGGGTTTTGGTATATACGTCTTAATTAAGGTAATGTAATGTTTACGGGTTAGTGAGTCTATGGTGCAGAAAATATTGGGGATAATGAATGGTATTCTAATAAGGCAGAACACGCTGGGAGTATATCCAAGGAAATGCAAAGTACAACATCAGACAACATCTCAACCAACCAACACCGTAACACCTTCGCTGAATGAATAATAAAACAAATATATGCATGGCCCATGTGAGTTGCACCTGCAATGGTGCAAAGCTTGCAATGCAAGATGAGAGATCCAATATGCAATGTGCAGGTTGTTCAATATGCTTGTGATATCCCAACACTCCACAGATGCAGATATCAACTTCTATATGTTATGTATGTGCTTTATGCCAATACTCCATTTCTCATGCTTTCAACAGTCTTGACGCCGACTCCTCTTAGTGTGCTCAGTTCGGAAAGACTGTTAATCTGGACTTGTCTATCGTCGTCCTGCTCCTCTAGGTGCTGGTCCATTTCGCAGAGACAGTCGACTATAGCTTCAGCTTTCTTCACGCCGACACCTTTCAATAACTTAATTTGGCTCACGTCGCGAGAGTTGATTATCGATAGGAGGTGGATTGTCCGGGGTGAAGGGGCCTCGTAGCAGTCGACGCTAGACCCTTCATCTGACGGAGAACTAGTTTTGGTGCGCTTCTTGCGCCTCGGGTGCGTAAGTTCTTCGATATCGTCGTCGCTGGGTTCCTCGAGCCCATCTTCGGGGTTGTACTCGCCATCCGAATCCTCAGCTTGACGCTTCAAACTCGTTCCCGCGGGCTGCTTCTTGATTGAAAGGAGGCTTCCGAACTCCCTCTTGGATGCTGTGAGAGTGTGATTGCCAGTTGTGTCTGGATCTGGACAGGACCTGCTTTGGACCCGCTGCTTCAAAGTGTTGATCTTCCTTGCGAGCTTTTCGTTGTCTGGGAAGAAAGGAAGCGCGAGCTGATACATCTTCAGTGCGAAGCTATCCTCGCCACGTGCCTGGTGCTGCTTTGCCATGAGCAAGAATGACAATCCTTCGGCCCTTGCGTCTTCCGTGCCTTCGATGCGCTGCTCTAGCATTTCCAAGCGCTTTTGTACTTGTTCATTTAACTCACGGACCTGCGTTTGCCTTGACTTTTCACTGACAGCCCTTACAGCCAGAATCTCCTCTACCTTCTTCTCAACCATCTCCTCAATCTTGGCAGCTGATATATCTTCATAGTGTTTTTGTGGCTGAAGGGGCTGCGCGATGCGGCTGGGTTTTAACAAGCGGTGGTTAGAATCTAAGGACGTACGCTTTGGTGGCTCAGGTTTTCTGAATTGAGTGGAATCCCTAGACCGAGGTTTGTCAGAGTAGACGTGGAACGCCTTGACTGGCTTCTCCCCAGGCTTTGACGTATCCTTGTCTTTGTTGGCAAGCGCTGTAAGGTTGACATTGGCAGTAGCCGTCAGTGGACGCAGAGGCTGCCTCTGGGCAGTCACTGAAGGACGCGCTGCTGGTCTCGGAGGCCCTTTGAACATCGGCTCGTTCTCCACCTCACGAACCTCAATCTTCTTTGTGCGATTGGCAAAGTTCAACGAGCTAATGGTGTCCAAGTGATAAGATTTGATGGGTGCGAGGTTGAGAATCATCACAGTCAATCCATTGTTCTGACCCAGGGAAAGGATTCTTGTCATCTTTGACTCTCTGTAAGGAATCCTATGGTGTTTCTTGCTTATGGCTTCTACACACTGTGCCAGAACAAAGAGACTCTTGTTAATGCTCGCTGACTCAACCATGCGCTCTTTATCGTTGTCTGTTCGACGATTATCCTCTGAACCAGCTAAGTCAATGGCAGAAGCTGTGCTGATCCGAGTCTGGCCACCAGAGCTGACTGCTACTTTGACGCAAAGAATAGCATGAGACCGCGACGAATGGGCATTTAACTATGAACGAAGTCAGTCACGTGGCTCAGGCCTGCAGGATTCGAAGGTTTACTAACCTTTGTTGCAGATGTAGACCTATTGGTGTTGGCCTGATCATAAAGGCTCTCAAACTCCTTCAGGCTTGTACATGGCCTTTCCGTCAGGCCTACAACCACTGTCTTTCCTCCATTGTCACGCAAAGGTAGTCCTGCGAGCGTTCTCTTCTCTGGGGGTTCAAACAAATCGAAGACCTTGTCATTGTAGATCTCGTAGTAGCTCAAGGAAACATTCACCGTCGACTCGCCGTCACCATCCTTTTCAAGCTTCCGGCTGCGCCTATATATGCTGCTTAAAAGACGGGGAATGACGCCTCTGTCAGCCAGGCTTTTACCGCCCCGCATCGTGTGTGTTTTCCCGGTACCCGTGACTCCGTAGGCGAACAAGGTGACATCGAAACCGTTGAATAAATGCTTAACCGTAGGAGCAACTGTCCGTTCTGGTTAGTATACCGTCACCATCCCAGACACAACGAAGTATGGCACCAACCCTCGGCATCGAAGAGCTCCTGCTGTGTAGAATCCGCATCGTAGACAGCATTGAATTGAAAAGAGTATTCCTCGTTCTCATTTTTAGGGTTTGGAATCCGTACAATAGTATCTCGATCCCGCAATGCCGCCAGCTTCTTTTCCTGGGGGCTCTGTTTCTCGGTCTTTCTAGGGGCGGCTTGAGTTGTAGACCCCGTACGGAGGATAATATCCAATTCCCGCTCGGACTTCAGGAGTGGCCTCACACGTGCAACGACCCGGACACTCATCTTGTACGTCGTCTGAAACTATCAAGAAGGAGATCTCTTCCAGTCCGAATACGTTTCTGTCGTATCGAAAATGGACGTCTGCCGTCTTTTCGTCTTTTCGCACCGTTGGCAAAGTTCCTGTCGCACTATACCTGCTGCATAGGAGGCAGATGCACACGATCTAAACAAGAGTGAGGGACAATGAACCGCTCCACCTTGTGCGTCAGGGAGCTGTCTCTCAATTTTGAACTTAGCAAAAATACAATGTAAGTCCTTTTTGCATTGGCGCCGTTATGCCAGAAAACAAACAACAAAAATCAGTTATACTAATTCAATGAAACAAATAAAAAAAAAAAACAGAAACCAACCACCACAACCGATCAATGGCATGAGCTGATGTTGGAGACAGAAGAGGCTCTCGTGTGACAAGGATACTTAGCTTGGTTTTGGTGCGATTGGCAGCGGTCAACGCTGTTGGCACGGCAACCTCTGTCAAAACCTCCCCCAGGCATTCCACGTCAAGCTATGGGGCTTCGTTTGGAGTGGTTATGATAAAAACACTAATTAATACTATCATGTATAAGAACTGGTTTGAGTAACTAGTTAATCATTCTGTGTTAGCTGGAATATCAAGCATTTCTTATACACGATAGTATTAATTAGTGTTTGCAAGTTATATATATCGGTTACATACACCTGTACTGATATGAGATAGATCAGATCTCATGATAAAGGTATACAGAGAAACAACCCAGTAAAGCGAATAAGAACCCAGAGCTCATTCTTATCTAATGTGATTGAAAGGCTAGTATTCATTAATCTTATCTGTACCCTGACAGTATTGCCATTTACACTCCTTGAAGTATGAGATCATAACTGGAATGCGAGCGAAGTTCTGTGATCTGCTTGATGTCTTTATTCCAACCAGTTGAGTAGTAAAAGTCTATCTAACAGTATACTTCATGAAAACAGCAACCTTCGAAGTTCCATAATATGCCTTTTCGATCTCGCCATAGAAAGTGTTCTCTATAACATAGAGGAGTATATACCATCAGCCAACCTCAGGCAGTGAGGTCGGTTAGCATGCGGGGCGCTGATTGGCCGATCGGGGAGCAGCCGCCGCAAAGGCCACCGTACACCACCATCGCCAGTTCGACGCCGTTGTCATTCCGCTCCCACAGCTACCCCAACCTTCTCAAGGACACGTCGACTGAACCCGAGTGCGGCGAACTCGTGTGGCCTTGTTATCTTCTCAATTTATATGGTTGGACCGTTGACGAATTTTGGTTGTTAGTACGCAGATTGCCCTGGATCATTCATTCTCCTGTTTAAGAGCAGTGTGTTGACCGCCAACCTAGTGAGCCTGTGACGATTGCGCGACGTTAACATATACTCCGGTTAACCCCTACACGACTCCACGGAGATAATAATCCATCAGTTACCTACTACGGCATATCGAAATAACCATTCATGGCCGCACCACAAGGGGGTTACCCTCCCCAGGAAGGGTATGGTCAACCTGCCGGATATGAGTCTCCTTCACAGCAAGCTGCGGGGCTAGCCCCTACTCCGGCTCAACATGGAGGTAAAAAGAAACGAGCATATGCCGGGGAAGCCTTCGAGTTTGGGTCCGGTGCCAATGCTGGCCTAGGAGGTCAACTGCCGGCTGGTGGTACCTACGGAGGATACCCAGCTCAGCCACAAGCCGCGGGATATCAGCAACCCGTGTACGGGGCGGATCCTACTCAGATGCAAGCAGCTGCTCAAGGATATGCTGCCCCTGCAGCGCCCGCAGTCGCTCAGATGACCCAACAATTTGGTGCGATGGGGGTAACCGATCCGCATCTGATGCCGCCGCAGCCCGTTCCCCAGGCCGCCCAGGCCCCGCGACCTGTTCTTAACCATCTTTACCCAACAGACCTCCTCACACAACCATTCAATGTCGCGGAACTTGACTATCCTCCACCTCCGATTGTTTTACCCCAAGGAGTATGTACTGGAATTGGAGAAGTGTTAGTATCGGTGCTGCCAGTTACTGACTCTCTATTAGACTAGCGTTTATCCCTCCCCTACTGCAAACTGCCCCCCTAAATATGTCCGGTCAACACTCAACGCTGTTCCCACCACTCACTCTCTCCTGAAGAAGTCCAAGCTGCCTTTCGCTCTTGTCATCCAGCCATACGGAGCGCTCCATGATGCAGAAGACCCAGTCCCAGTGATCCCAGACCAAGTCATCTCTCGTTGTCGCCGTTGCCGATCCTACATTAATCCCTTCGTGACATTCCTTGATCATGGGCATCGCTGGCGTTGCAACATGTGCAATCTGACAAACGACGTACCCCAGGCCTTTGATTGGGACACAACGCTGCAACGACCGGCGGATAGGGCATTGCGACCTGACCTCAACCATGCGGTTGTTGAGTTCGTTGCGCCGCAGGAGTACATGGTGCGCCCCCCGCAGCCACTCGTCTACCTTTTCTTGATCGACGTTAGTTATGCGTCTGTCACCAACGGTCTCTTGGCTACCAGTGCTCGGTGCATCAAGGAAACTCTCGAACGCATTCCTAATGCAGACCGTCGGACGCGACTTGGTTTCATAGCGGTCGACTCCAGTCTCCACTATTTCAGTATCCCGCGCGATGGCTCAGAGAGCTCGGACCCAAGGATGCTTGTTGTCAGTGATTTGGACGAGCCGTTCCTCCCTATCCCTGGTGACTTACTAGTAACTCTAAGTGAATGCCGTGAAAACATTGAAACGTTCCTGGATAAACTGCAGGAGATGTTCCAGAACACACAGAACAATGGTTGTGCAATGGGATCGGCACTGCGTGCTGGTTACAAGTTGATCGCCCCTGTTGGAGGCAAGATGACCGTTCTTAGCTCCTCTCTTCCTAACATTGGACATGGCGCCTTGACCATGAGAGAGGACAAGAAGGTTTTAGGCACCAGCAAGGAGAGCGGTCTTTTGCAGACCGCAAACAGCTTCTACAAGAGCTTTGCTGTGGAGTGTTCGAAGGCCCAGGTCTCTGTAGATATGTTCCTCTTCTCTTCTCAGTACCAGGACGTGGCGTCTCTTAGCAACCTGCCAAGATATACTGGCGGTCAGACGTACTTCTACCCTGGGTGGAACGCTGCACGGGGAGAGGATGCGATCAAGTTCGCACGGGAGTTCTCTGAATACCTCTCGTCGGAGATCGGCCTGGAGGCTGTCCTCCGTGTCCGTGCTACGACCGGTTTGCGCATGAGCACTTTTTACGGTAACTTTTTCAATCGCAGTTCCGACCTCTGCGCTTTCCCTGCTTTCCCCCGCGACCAGGCCTATGTTGTTGAAGTTGCCATTGATGAGACTGTTACAAAACCTGTTGTTTGCATGCAGACCGCTGTACTTCATACTACATGCAATGGCGAGAGGAGAATTCGGGTCTTGACTCTGGCGCTTCCCACTACTCAGAGCCTTGCAGATGTCTATGCATCGGCAGACCAGCAGGCAATCACTACTTACTTTAGCCATAAGGCTGTCGAACGGGCTCTCGGAAGCGGCTTGGAGCCTGCCCGAGAAGCCCTGCAGGCCAAGGCCGTGGAGCTTCTGGCAACCTACCGAAAGGAGCTTGCTGGTGGAAGTGTGAGCGGCGGCGGCCTACAGTTCCCTGCTAACCTGAGAGGACTCCCTGTTCTTTTCCTCGCACTGATCAAGAATGTAGGAGTCTTTATTGTCCCCCACCATCCCCTCGTTTTGGCACTGACTAACGTGGTGACGTAGCTTGGCCTTCGGAAATCTGCACAAATTCCGACTGATATGCGCTCCGCGGCGCTCTGCTTGCTCTCGACGCTTCCCCTCCCCCTTCTCATCCAATATATCTACCCGAAGATGTACTCTCTGCACGACATGCCGGATAATGCTGGCCTGCCAGATGAGCAGACGGGCGAGATTGTTCTTCCCCCACCAGTGAACCTGTCTTCTGAGCGGGTCGTCCCATACGGTCTCTACCTTATTGACGATGGTCAGACACAGTTCCTCTGGGTGGGCCGTGATGCTGTGCCACAGCTCATTGTTGATGTCTTTGGCCTGCCAGACAAGTCGCAACTTCGTGTGGGCAAGCAGAACCTTCCTGACCTGGATAATGACATGAACCAGCGCGTGCGGGCGGTCATTGAGAAGAGCCGGGATCACCGGTCAAAGGGCTGCGGCAGTATTGTGGTGCCACATCTGTACGTGGTCAAGGAGGATGGAGAGCCCGGTCTCCGACTGTGGGCACAGACGATGCTCGTGGAGGACCGAGCCGACCAGGGCGTCAGTCTTGTGCAATGGATGGGCAACTTACAGGAAAAGGTTTGACCCCGTTTCCTAGGCTCTCATTCTTTCATTTTTCTCCTGTACCTGTCACCCAAACCTGTGACCTGCCAAGTCATTAGGCTGACGAGGATGAACACGCCGACAGGTTGTGCAGTAATGGTAGCTTTCACAAGTTTTGGTAAATTATATGCAAGAGATATCAATATATTCCTCATCTGCCTGGACTCTCTGTACTACTATTTCTGCTTACTTCGGGTTATTGCTAGCGAGGTATTTGAGTGTTCTCCGTATGTAACTGCATAGACCGTTATCTTCTGTAGGATGCGTTACTCGCACTTCTTCTATTTTTGAAAAAAAGAAAGAAAAAAAAAGGGAAAAAAAAGGAGGGAAATCCTGCGGCTGGAACCATTGCAACTAGAGCATATCCTTCATGCAATGCTCAGAATCTGTCTCATGGGAAAAAGCGTGCATGAGCCCCGAGCGTCTGTCAGGCCGATCATGCACAGTAGACTTTAGATCACAGCTTAGCATGTCAACTCAGTCGACAAGGCTGTGTGCCGCAGAGCGAATCAGAGGCGAGAATGGGGACGGCGTTGGCGATACGACGAGGGAGAATGCCAAGATAGTCGGGAGATTAGACAACAAAAGGAGAGACGGAGATGCAGTGAACTTGTGACGACTGTGATGATGAGCAGTAGCGCGAGGTGAAGGTTGACAACGGCACTGCCCCCTCTCCACTAGACCAACACTTGAGACGTGGACTAAACTCCATCAGGAGGCAGTTGGCGCTGGTGGCGGGTTACCTGGTGGTGGATGGCATTGAAACACTGGCCGGGATGTAGTAAGTTTTTGGGAGGGGAGACCCATCCCAAGGGAAATTGACCGTCGTTTGGGAGGATGATCCATATGGCTGCTCAACAAATCCTGTCTTGGTTTCCGTGATACCATAATTTAAGAGCAAAATTAACTGAAAGAGGCGGTAGATTAGGAGCGAGAGAGATACCGGACCTTGAGATTGCCCATGCTGGAAGGAAAGTAGAACATCCATGATCCATAGGGCGTGGCGGGTACTATCCTCTAGGTATCATACAAGTCTTCTGTTGTCGATACCACTTGGTATAAGAGGCACCTGGCTCAGTATGGGTTCCTGAGTAGTTTCCCTCCCCAATACGTGGCTGTTACAGGATTGGTAACGTTCTGGATGATTTTTGGTCACTAAGTGTTGACTAGTAGCAACTAGTTGACCCCGTAGTTCAGTGTCTTGTCTTTGTACCAGAGACATATTGGATTTCATGGATGTATTAGGTACCTAGAAAGTACGATACCCTATAGTATAGGTCTGGGTTATGGATCACATACTAAATACGTACATTATCCGCCGCCCCTCCCCGTGATCCATCATTTAACCCCCCCCAAAAAAGTAGAAGACGTTCTCCATCCTTTTTCGATTCGTATTTCCAATTTTCGGAATTTTTGTCGAGCCAAACAGCACTTAACTTGGTTGCTTCCCCCTCCAGCGGAACCAACCTTGTTGTGTGCGTGTCTTTCCTTCTCCTACCTCTCCTTTCTCCCCCGTATATCATCCCATATCGAGTAAAGGATTGATCCACGGTTCCATCCGATCTAGAAGATCTGGTTCTGGATCCTCTCCGTTGCGTCCCCTTTCCAGGATTTGGTTCCCAGCCCCGTTGTGTACGATCATCAAGAACTTGACTGGTACGAATCTCTCTCTGTTTTTCTCTTGGTCATCGTTGTCGTTGTCGTCGTCGTCTTCTTCCCCTCCATTTTGCCCCACCCCACTTTTCGCTGATCCGCTCCCCGTTATTAACTTCCTACTATTGCTGCGACTATTGCGTTGCGTTACTGTGATCACTTGCTTGGTTCTCCTGTTCTTCCACGGTGCTACATCTGTCAACGCACCGACTCCCGACTCCCAACTTTCTACCCATTATCCAGCTCCAATCTCATTGCCGAGGTCGAAATAACCCAGATTGATTGTTGAGACCACGCAGGAGAGAAGGAACAGATAGTCCAGGAAGTAAAAATAGAACACATTCCTGAAACATCGACTTCCGAGACTAAAGGACAAAGATTAATTCCGAGTCATGTACGGATGCTTCCCCGGTTGACTTGATACCTTTCCGATGTGATCAGCTGTGGATTCGTTCGATGGTTGAAAGTTACTAACCTGTGCACTTTTAGTACACCGGATCATTCGCTTCAAGCGCCGTTCGCTATCTCTGTTAGTCCGAATTATTTCAATCTCGCATTCGGTGCCGTTTCAGTCATTGTCATATCTGTATTGAACTTCCTGCAACCCTCGACGAGTCGTTTGACAGCAGACACAACGCCATACCTACCCCGCATTCAACCAGAACGGATCCCGAGAACTGTTTCTCTATCAGTATCGACAGGGCGTATAAACTTGCTTAAAGAGCTCAAGAGTATTTATAAGAGGGGAGCCTATCGTCTGAGCGAATGTAAGCGCATTCTCAATATTTACCGCCGGGGTTATCACGAACCCGCCATGTTTATTGTCATGTTGTCCGCCGATGATGTACCGGATAGCTTGTGACACGACTACACAATGACTTGTCGCTGGGAGTCGAGGTCAAATCAACTGCCTCACTCACGGTAGCCAATGCGGAAGTGAAGCGCAGTACACTTAACAACCAAGCACCATAGCCACAAGTTCTGTACATTCAGCTAATACAGCCTAGTTCGGACAGTCCACGAATATGGTGCAGCAACTTCCTCCCCAGGGAGGTTCACGAAAGATCTCCTTCAACGTTTCCGATCAATATGAAATTCAAGATGTCATTGGTGAAGGTGCCTACGGTGTGGTTTGGTAAGTGCCGGCGCAAGGGGAGTTTAATATTATGCTGACGGTTCAGCTCTGCCATCCATAAACCATCTGGTCAAAAAGTCGCCATCAAGAAGATCACTCCTTTCGACCACTCGATGTTCTGCTTGCGAACTTTGCGTGAGATGAAGCTACTTCGCTACTTCAACCATGAAAACATCATTTCTATCTTGGATATCCAAAGACCACGCAACTATGAGAGCTTCAACGAAGTTATCTAATCCAGGTAGTTAAATGCCGAAGATTGGATGGGAATTATTAAACGCTAATCAGTCCGTAGGAGCTGATGGAGACTGACATGCACCGGGTCATTCGTACTCAAGATCTTTCGGATGATCACTGCCAATATTTCATTTACCAGACTCTACGTGCTCTGAAAGCTATGCACTCAGCAAACGTTCTTCATCGTGATCTGAAGCCTTCGAACCTGCTCCTCAACGCAAATTGCGATTTGAAAGTGTGCGATTTCGGCTTGGCCCGTTCGGCTGCCTCCACAGATGATAATTCAGGGTTCATGACAGAATATGTCGCGACCAGATGGTACCGTGCACCGGAAATCATGTTGACATTCAAGGAGTACACCAAAGCCATTGATGTCTGGAGTGTCGGTTGTATCCTCGCTGAGATGCTGAGCGGAAAACCCCTATTCCCTGGAAAGGATTGTACGTCGCCCCTTATTAACCGTTGGAGATAGTCAGCTAACATACCCTCAAGATCATCACCAACTGACTCTTATTTTGGACGTTCTCGGTACACCGACAATGGAGGACTACTATGGAATCAAATCCCGACGGGCTCGGGAATACATCCGGTCTCTTCCTTTCAAAAAGAAGATCCCCTTTAAGGCGCTATTCCCGAAGGCCAACGATTTGGCCCTGGACCTCCTGGAGAGGCTCCTGGCATTCAACCCCGCCAAGCGTATTACCGTGGAGGAAGCTTTGCGCCATCCATACTTGGAGCCGTATCATGACCCCGAAGATGAGCCCACGGCACCTCCTATTCCGGAAGGGTTCTTTGACTTCGACAAGAATAAGGACGCCCTCAGCAAGGAGCAATTGAAGAGTGAGTTTACCTGAATTATACAAACATACCTTGTTGTTCCCATACTAACATTGGCAGATCTAATCTATGAGGAGATCATGCGGTGAGCTTCGGATGGAGCGCAGTATGCATTGGACAGCTTATCCATCGGGAAAGACGGAATACAGGTCGGGATAAATAGGATGGGATGACCGAACCCATGCACTTAATATCTAGTTGCATAGACGACTCGCGCATCGACTATGATATTGGCTGAGTCTCATGATTGGCCTTTTTGACACGTTTTCAGGCGTCTGGTGCTTTCACTTGTTTAACAGATAAGCCGGTCTTACGCTTGTCAATCTTGAGCTGGAAATACATTATTGCCTAGGTTCTCAGCCAGCGTAAGATTGTCATCATCAATCATAACAACGGGTATATACTACGGTATTGGTATAGATACAAATCGACCACTGGCAAAATAGACCTATTGCCCGGCCCTATTCTTCCTCCAGATCTTCATGAATTCCTCAATGCCCATGCCTACTCCCTCCTGACTCGGTTTCTCGGCACAAACATGCGCCTCAAACCCATACTTATTCTTCAAATGATCCCTCGTCGTAGGCCCAATCGTAGCAACAAATACCCTCCTCTCCCCATCCCCAAGCCCCCTCAACACCCGCACCATAGCATCACACCCCGTCGGCGAAAACACAACCACCCAGACGGCCCTCTCCCCCCCACCCCCCAAAAACTCCTCCGAAGCACGAACCGCTTCCGCAAAAGTCTCCTCAAACCCCTCCATAACGCCCGTCTCGTAGACCACCAACTCATCCACCCCAATCCGCTGCTCCGGCGACAGCGACCCCGCCATCAACGTCTTGGGAATGATATCCCTCCGCTGCTCCCCGACAAGGAACAACAAAGGCGGCTTCGGGCCATCTTGCGCGTCATACAGCGAGTTGTAATGGGAGAGGATGAAGTGCGCGAGGTTCTCACCGTTTCCTGTCTCCGAGCCGAGGATTGTTGAGTGGGGGAGGTGGTCGTCTCGGATGGAGGCTAGGGATCGGGACGTGGCGGGGCCAACGGTGTACAGGATTAGGGATTGGGAGGAGGAGTGTTTGGTTGATTCTGTTGTTTGTGGTAATTAGCCACTGCGTCTTCCCTTGCAGATGGATAAAAGCTTTGTGAAATGCATGGGTAGGGTATATTCACTCACCGTCGATATCGTCGAGGATCGTCGCGAATCCTTCAACGGCCCTTTGGCTTGTAAATATCAAGCCGCCGTATTTGCGGCCCGGCCCGGGTTTAGAGTTCCTGACTGGAAGAGCTGTTTCACGATGGTTAGGTTCGGGGTGTGGAAGTTGTGTTCGAGGACTGGGATGAAGGTGGGGGTGTAGCTGTGTGCGGAGAAGTATTCTTCGTAGCTGTCTGTCGGGGAGGATTTGGTTTTGAGTAGCAGGATGGGGGTCGAGGAGGTGTTGAAGGTGAATTGAGGTGGCATTTTGTCTTTTTGTTTGTTCATTCGTTGGCTTTGTTTCTTTTTGGACGATGTTGATGTTGGTGGGTGGGTTTGCGTGAGAAGTGCGGAGGTGGGCTTAACAGTGGAGTGGGGTGATTAGTTTATAATGGTCTATGTATGGACGAACTTTTTTATAACTTTAGATGATGACCTCGGTAGCGCTGTCAAGTCCAATTACTGTCACATACAACCTCGTTGGCACAAAAGAAAAAGAAATGGATGTCTAGCTTATGTACAGTAAAGAAACACAGACTACTGGTCGTCCAAGACGTGCAAATACTTCTTCTCCTCCTGTCTCTCCCGCTCCGTGGCCGGAGGCAGGTCGTAGTACGAGGCGCTACGGTATCCCAGCTATGAAACTGTTAGTACATGGTAGTAGCCATCGAGGCCGCTGGGAGTGCTTACCAGGTAGTGGAAAGTGAGGGTAGCCAGGTCAACAGGCTCAATGCCCAAGTCCTTGAAGGTCTTAGCATTGGGGTCAATCACCTGGTCGATGAACTCCCGCTCAACCTCGTCAGGCGAGATAATGGGCCACCAGAGCAGCTTGTTCAGGTAGTGAGCCACAGGCTTCAGGATCGGCTTAGGAACGTTGATGTGACGACGGTGCTTGACGATTTCACGGTCAACCAGCTCGGCAATCTCGGCAGTAGAGTAGTTCTTGGGGCCGTAAAGTTCGAAAGTTTGACCAGCAGTGGAGTCATCGTGAAGCATACGCTCCAGAGCATTGCCAACATCGGGGGCCTATTTGAATCAGCATCGTACCCAATGCAAACGGTTCAGACGTAGCTTACGTGAACGGGCCAGTAGCGCTCCTGCATGTGGTTGGAGGTAAGGAGGTTGGTGACCTTAGCAAGCTTGTGGAGAAGGTTATCCTCGAAACCGAACATAGGAGCAGGGCGGACAATGGTGGTCTCGGGGTAAATGGAACGAGCAATTTCCTCTCCCCAGGCCTATACAGATCAACTTAGCATCATACTGACATGTTATGGCTCGAAAAACGGACCTTAGTGGCGAAGAATTCGGAAGGAGAGTCTCTGCTGGCGTTGTAGGAAGAGACGTGAATGTATCGGTCAACATCATACTTGGCGGCAGCCTCAACGATGCGCTCTATGCCGTCGACGTGCACATCGGTATAGGAAAAGTTCCTGCATGTTATAAGTAGCTGTTCGAGCTATCCGGCTGGTTTGTTACTGACTTAGTAGGATATTGGCGACCGACAAGGTTGTAGACAACATCGGAATGACGGACACTCTCCTCGATCGACTGGGTGTTGCGCAGGTCATATTCCTACCATAAATTAGTCGAAATGGCCACCGTTCAAGATCAATTGCGGATACTGTACCATGAAGTTGACCCTTCCGAGATCGCCAGTCACCTTCAGATGTCTCTTGGTCATCTCCTCACGGTAGGGAACAATGACCGTGCATCCCTGCGAAGCTGGACGCTGTCAGCGTTTATACTTCCCTCCTGCGAGCTAGTCGTTGACCTACCGAGCCTATTGACAATATAACGACCGAGGAAACCAGTAGCACCGAAGACAGTAGCGGTGTGACCTAGAACATAATTCCAGTTAAATCATCTGAGGGGAATGCGACGATCGGGAGAATGGGCCAAGTACCTCCAAGAGACGACCTGTAAGAGCGTCAATTAGCCACCGTCCACCTGGAGAGCTCCAACGCAATGAACTTACCGTCCACCCTGGACCTTCAGGACCGGCTTTCCGGTTCTAGTGACCGCGACATCTTGGAGATTCCGGCGCTGCACTTGTTGGACCTTGGGGGCGGGGGCAAATGCCCTCGAGCCCAAGGCGGAATTGACGGCCCGGCACTTCTGCATGGTCTCTCTTCAGCTCTGAATCAAGATGAGACCACCGAATTGCGTCCGGATCGGTGTTTCGTGGGGCAGTAAAAAGCGAATGGGGAGAGCAACGCTCAGCAGGCGATCTCGTGCTTGATGCTGAACTTGTCGATTGTCGTGCTGGAGAACGCAAACTGCCGGCACGGGACCTCTGCACTAGTCCCGATTCGGACAGCACCTTGAACCACCTGGCACGTTACCCTTTCCCTGTCAACCCTTTCACTCGCCATTTACAAATTGCATTTGGTGTCAATGGCATAGCTGACGGAAGAATATGCCATATCACTTGAAACTGGCAGATAAGCTTCCTGTTCTCGACTTCAGAAGGCGTGTAACTACAAACCTACCTCGATCGTGTCTGACTATTCCTGAAATATGATTGGATGCTGTTCTCCGGGCTATCACTACTATTAGTACTTACTACTACAACATCACTGCATCCAACGCCCGCAACAAAAACTCTTTTCATATTTGTCCCCAGAACTATTGATGCCGTACTGACCAAAGGTTTTACTTAAATCATCCACAGCTGGCTTTACTAGTCTCAGCACAAGGTCTACGTCGGCAAGAGAGTATATGTCCAAGTCTATTATCATATGTCTAGCTCAGAACCTAACCTATACTATATTCATGTCTCATTTCCATATACAATCAGATCTGATATATTCCAAAAGAGCAGAACTTACTGACGCTGGCCCCGGGCAATGAAGATGGTCTTGGAGAATGTCTTTTCATCCCTCTCAATCACGAACGGCTCTTCAATGACTTGATAATCGAACCCCATTCCAAGCCCAGCAGTTTCATACAGCTTGCGCATGTCCTCCAAGGTGAAACCATGAGTCTTGATCGTGTGCGTGGCTTCATGGTTGGGATTGTGCATTTCATGGGCGTTATGGTCATGCTTGCCGTGTGGAAGTACGTCGATGATCAGACACACACCACCCTTCTTCAGTCGTTCCCCGAGGCGCTTCATGGCCAGATCCGGCTTTTCGAAATGGTGAAGGGCCATGCTGACAAACACAACGTCAAAATCGGAATAATCTGGCCCTGAGAGTTCCTCGGGCATTGGCTCGGCCAGGAGGTCACCCTTATGGCCAATCATTTTGTCTTCAAAACCGGCCTCACGAGCGCTAGCGTTGTACTCGTCCACCATGCCATCCGCGACATCGATGCCAACGACTTTGGTGGCGAATGGTGCCAATGCCTTTGGAGTATATTAGCTCGCCCTACACGGCTACGGCCTGTAACGACACAGACCAGCAGAGACAATAGACTGACCGTAGATACAACGCCAGGGCCACATGCATATTCCAACACCTTGATCTCCTTGCCTTGCCCGGCTTCGGTGTCAGTCCAAACGTCACTACACCAAAGGCGCTTTTCCTGGGTCAAGCGGTATAACAACTTGGTGCCCTTTTCGAACCGGGTTTTGTATGTCTTGGAAAGGTTGCTATGTATTGTGAGCCACGACTCTCAAGTGTAAGGAAATACGACCTTACTCCCAGACCTGTCTGTTCTTTTCAGTAAACTCGGACATGGCTAATGAGTTGAATGCCAATGTTTTCTTTCTAGATAAAGTAGTATGCTGAAGTTGTCTTTGATACTGATCAATAGAATTCAATGAGTTGAGAGATGGAGAACGAGGAAGAGAGGGAAATGAACAGAGGAAACCACGCCGTATTTATGTTGAACAAGGGAACTCCAGGAGTAAATTCCAAGACAGTTTCATAGTCTCTTGTTGGTCTCTGTATGGCTCTTTCGGAGACATATCGGATACTTCTATACCGCTAAACCATGGCTCTCCACAGTAGTAAGCTACGCTGGAAGAGTTCTATGCATAGTGCAACCAATGAAAGCTATTTCTTCGTTCATTATGAGTCAGACTATTAGGTCTAGAGTCGTATATTGTGAAAAGTGGAATATGGGCGAATCTGTACCTCTATCACACAGGTATGTACTCCGTACCTGAGGGTTTAGCTTCGATGTCATGTGCTCGGGCGGCGCAAAGACACCGCCTTGAGTGAGCTTCGCTCCACTTCTCCATCCACTCTTCCATCGTCATCAACTGCTGCTACCTTATTCATTGTCTTACAGCCTTGTTCTCGCGCCCGCTCTACCTTACCTGACAGCGCCAAGCTCCGGTACTTGCTAGGAACCCACCATCTGATTCACAGGACTCCGTTTCACAGCCCCTACTCTCCCCGCGATGGAGAACCAGAAGATCTCCGACTTCCTGGCGGATCAGCTGCAGCAAGCTCCCGAACAATGCCAGGCCTACTTCCTCACCTTCGAAGACTACTGGGAGCGTAAATTATGGCACCAGCTTACCGACTCCTTAATCGAATTCTTTCGTCTTTCAGAGAGCGCCCCTCAGCGGTTACCGATATTCAAGACCTTCGTGCTCAGCTTCGCCGACAAGATCAACCAGCTGAAATTCGTCTCGTTGGGGTTGATGGCATCGACAGAATGTGCAGGTATGCCTCAAGATTCGTTTTGCCTCGCCTACCACTCTAAATAGCGGTACTAAACCATTACCCACCAGATGACAAAGAACGCCTCTCTTTCCTCACATCCCTCGCCGACAAGGTGAACAAGCCTGACACACAAGAAGCTTACATCTATGCCCTTGCGGACGTCGCCAATGTCAAGCAACGGCTCAACGAATTGGATGGAGCACAGAAAGACCTGGAAACGTGTCAGAAGGTCCTGGATAACTTCGACTCGGTCGAGACCGTTGTCCATGCCTCCTTCTATAAAGTTAACGCTGACTATTACCATGTATGTGTCACATACAAGTCGAGTTGATCGCCAGATATGCTAACACAGTATGTCTAGAAAAAACAAGAATTCGCCTCATTCTATAAGAACGCCCTCCTCTATCTCGCCTGCATCAACCTAGAGGATCTTAGCGAGTCCGAGCGTGCCTCTCGCGCATACAATCTCAGTGTCGCAGCCCTCGTCTCCGACTCTATCTACAACTTTGGTGAACTACTTCTGCATCCAATTCTGGACTCCCTCACCGAGACCTCCCACAGCTGGCTCCGTGACCTCCTATTTGCCTTCAACCGCGGCGATCTCACTGCCTATGACGTCCTGGCCGGCAACATCTCCAAGAACCAGCTCCTAGAACAACATCGTTTCTTCCTCTACCAGAAGATCTCCCTCTCGGCCCTCACGGAGATGGTCTTCCGCAGACCCCCGCATGACCGGAACCTGACCTTCGCGGCCATTTCCTCCGAGACGAAGGTGAAGCCCGAGGAGATCGAACATTTGATCATGAAGGCTCTGTCTTTGGGTTTGCTGAAGGGCGCCATCGACCAGGTGGCTGGAGTCGCGCAGATCAACTGGGTGCAGCCGAAGGTTCTGGACATGACCCAGATTGAAGGCATGCGGAATAGACTGAAGGACTGGGACGCAGGCGTCAACCAACTGGGTCACTGGATCGAGGGTGTTGGTAAGGATGTGTGGGCTGCATGAGCTATGTTCAATTGTCATTTCTCCTGATCATATTCTGAACGTAAAAGGGTACTACAAGAGTAGCACTTGGGGTTATATGTACGAATGAATATTAGACTTAACACCCATAATTGAAACGTATGAAATCATGCAGAATTTTCACCTCCGACTTCCTCACTTCCACACCTTCTCAATCCTCAAATCATACATCTACCATCCAACCATCCACACCCCCATCCCCAGAACAAAACAAAACAACCCCACTACAATCCAAACCAAACACGAAAAACAATGGACGAGGACCCAGAAACCACCATCCCAAAACTCACCTCCCAACTAACCACCACCCCCAAAGCCTTCCCAACCTGCTGCCTCTCCATCTCCAACCCCCTCCTTGAGACCCTCACAAGCCTCCTCCCCAAGAAACCAAACTACACCGTCTCAATCGGTAGCGGCAGCGGCCTCCTCGAAGCCCTCCTAACGCACACCAACGCCTCCCTTCAAATCGAAGGCGTCGAGGTAAACCCCACCGTGAACCGCTACATCGCCGAGCAAGACATGCACATCGTCGCGGGCACCTGGGATCTGCTGTCCTCGCGCGTGCCCGGCGCAAAGGCGTGGATGTTTGTCTACCCGCGGGAGCCGAAGTTGGTGGACAAGTATATTGAGGCTTTTGGGGAGGGGGCGGTGGAGGTGATTTTGTGGTTGGGGCCGAGGGCGGATTGGGGGGATTATGTGGGGTGCTTTGATGGGAGGGGGTTTGGGGTTGAGAGGGTTGTTGGTGTTGAAGGGGGGTTGGAGGGATTTGAGATGCTGGGGGTTATTAGGCGGGTGGGTTCTGTTTAGGGGTGGTCTTTGTGGTGTTTTTTTTTTTCTCTTTAATCGTGTGTGGTGGGGTTTGGGTTGATTATTTCTGTGGTATGGTGGATGGTATAGAGGTTTAATTTACAGGGTTGTTGTGTGCTTATCTCGTTTGTATACAGAGTTGACTATGGTAAATCAATGGAACTTCAAACCAGGGAGAATCCCAACAGTGCACACCCAATCATCCAGGCTGGCCACCAGACACACCATACAACTACCTGTGTCCACATTCCCCAGACGTCCCATCCAAACGCAGCTTGCGTTAGAATGGTCTCCACTGACACTCCGGTGTACCAGCAACCCCCGAGGAGGACGACAGGAGGCGAGAGAAGATTCAGGAGCACTAGTCCAATGAAGGCGAGTGCGTACCGGATAGGGGCACCGGTGGTAGGACTGATGCGGTTGACGAAGCTGAGAGGAGTGCAGAGCAAGCCGATCATCAATGAGAGGGAGAAGTTCAGGGTTGCCAGAGTGGAAAGGAAGAGACCAAGGAGGAGGAGGGAGAAGGATTTCATAAGGAGGTATTGCTGGGGTTTGGGGGCGAAGCCTTGGGTAAGCAAGACTGCAAGGAGTAGCGGAAGGACGAGGTCGGCTATAATGAAGGTGTAGGTGGCGGCGGTGAAGTACTGCTTTTTGTCAGAGAATACAGGACTGTGACGATGGGAAGACGATACTGACCTTGTGGGAAAGGTTGTTGAAGATGAAGAGAGGAATCAGGCCCAATAGATGTAGACCGACAACAAAGCTGAGTGGGAGCGCCAGCTGTCGTTCAATGATGCTGTTGGTGTCACTCTTTTGGTCCATATTTGTCACCTCCGGTTTGCCCTTGTCCTGGGAACTTGTCGCTTGTTCCTTCTTCTCATCCTGGGAAGCACCGGCCTTGACTGAAGGCTTAGGCTTAGAGCCCATGTAGTAGCCAGTCCGTAGCCACAGGGCAATGGCCATGATTGTGAAGTTGCCAGCGATCAGCATCGCGCTGGGTAGATACGTGCCGATGCTGACAAACCGGTTGGTCTGCATAAGCAGATAGAAGAAGAAACTCTGATGCAAGTGTTCCAGGAGGTTATTCAAGCTGCGACAGAGACTCTCCACAGTCCGGCCTAGGGCCATTTCGTCCTGCCAGCCATTTCCTTTCGTTTGCAGTGTGATAGCATCAATATGGTATGGCATGAAGCTACTGTGCGCACCAGTGGCGTACCCGAAACCCTGTTTAGCCATACCTCTCAAGATAGTTTGAAGACGCGCTTCGTAACTATCATTGTGGTCCCACATCTCCTGCAAATTGGCACCGATACCCATTTGACCGCCAGCAATTGATACGGCAGTATTTATTAGATCCAGGTTCGGCAACTGGCCATTGACACCGTCGTAGACAATATGTAACGATTCAAACCGATGATCGAAGGGATATTCTACCACCAGGCCTCCCTGCAATGCGCCACTTTTCAACGGCAGCGGCTGAACAGATGGGGGCTGCATGTCATGGTATGCATCAATCCACGCTTGCGTCCCTGATTTGCTGTCAGGCGTGATCAGGAATATGATGTCTTTCGACCACAGTGACCATCCTGGGAACAATCAGTTATGACCCTTCTTATAAGGCGAAAACAAAATCAACCCACGTTTAAAGTATCTTGCCAGCGTCAACGCGAGGGTAACACCATTCAGGTTCAATTCTCCATCGGCTGTCTTCCAAGCCGTAACCAGGACGATCGCCTCCGTCGCATCGCCCCGCGGCGCCTGAATGATGGCGTAGACGTTCTCTCCCTGATGCGTGATCCCCGCGGAGGTGTATTCATATTTCTGTGTCGCGACTTTCAAGCCGGAAGCCCTGAGGACCGACTGTATCTTACCCGAGATCCTAGCAGAGAGCTCAACTTAGCTAGATAGACGCCATAAACAGGACCGTAAACATACTCCGGCGTCAGTTCAATATCATTCCTTTCTGGTCCCTCCCCTGGAGCTCCATTAGGTAGAAGTCCCTCTAGCTCCTCTCTATATCCGCGAAAGATGTTCTGCTCACTACCGGAGAAGTAGGCATGGACTTGGCCGGGAAGAAGCGCGTTCTCGGAGATGTACGTTCGACGGGAGTAGTCATTGAGGGGGAGGAGGAGAAGCCAGCCAACTCCAGCGAGGACGCATAGAAACGAGAGGATGTGCGGTAAATGCACGAAAAGAAAATGGGGATTACTCCGCAATTTGCGGATTGCGGCTGTCATCGGCCTTCAGTCAGCTTGGTCTTCTCTGAGCTGTCCTTTGCAATAGTAGAATCCGGGGTATGTCAATGGAGGAAGGAGGATGTTGGTGGAAGTGGAGCCCAGCTGATGCAGCTCAACTGGCACGCTGCAAGCATGCAGCGACTTACATTTTAAAGCCATGGAATTAAGACATTCGGGTAATTGGTCGTATTAGTAGTGTCCGCGGAGTCTCAAAGGCATTGGGAGCCAACTCCGTGGCACCTCAGTTTATTTACGTCGGCCGCTAAAGACCATCTGCACAACTCGCCCAACGTCATGTCAAAAAAACAACGCTAATGCATTTTATGAGCCAAAAAAAAAAAAATAATCCTCCACCACAATACCACTATAACACATATTACTATAATACTTAAATATGCACAAGAATTGTAATATAGATGTCAGACACGGTGTTAACAGCATATGGTCTCAAGGACCCAGACGCTGCGACGATCCCAAATAGCTCAGAGGAGTCCCTCTCTCGCCCATCGTATTCGACGTGGGGAGCACACCATATCGGCCATACGTCTTTTGGTCGACAGAGACATAATGTGGTAGCCGGCCCAACAGATTCAGTTTCCCTTCAATCCATCTCAAAATCTTCTCCGGAGGGACGAACACCTTGAGGTAACCAAGGCCGACTAGTATATAAATGTTAGCGTAAGACCCATCGCAAGATTGGGGAGGCGATACTCACACAAATAGCCGACAAGGATAGCACACATATGGCCAAGGAAGCTCGTATTAGACATAAGTATCGAAACAACTATGCACGCAAACAAGGGCGATGTCCAGGTAGGAATCTTGTAATTCCCAAGACTAGGACTATATTAGCAAACCGCGACACGCGTCGGCCTTCAGATTTAGGGCAATACCTGAAATACGGGTGGGACTTGAAGGTCTTGATAGCTTCGGTACCCAAGAGGAGGAATACCCAAACGCTTGAAGCTCGATTAGACTTATTTACCCGCGGGATCGGGGCATATAACACTCACCTTGCGCCAACAACGGCGGTGTTTCTATGCAAAAGAAATTTTTCGATCAAAAGGTAGAGGCCCGCAGGGAATGTAGAAAGAGCTACATTGGCAGCCAATGTTAGAACACCTGATCCCAATTTTTAGCAATCGGGGTGTGACTTACGCCCTAAAAACAAAGCCACAGCAGTCAACGTGCCGTGCTCGGCTTCAAACCGCTCGACCAGTGGTGTAAGCGCCACCAGGTTCACAAAAGCATGGAAAAAGCCATTGTGAATGAATGGATAGGTGTTGAGCCGATACACTATCATAGTCAGAACCATGCATGGGTATAATCCTCCGTCTTTCAGGAGTAAAGCACGCAAGGGTACATACTGCTGCCGAGACCAATTTCATCCGGCGCCAACGAACCCCATTGCACCACACTCCATACTGTTTGGAACTCAAGAAGCCAAAAGACGACAATGGCCAGCACCACAAGCCGTGTAAAGAGAGGCAAACGAAGAAGATACGACCGCACCCTCGCCGGGTTAAATGGTAGTGGCGGTAACGCGGCGGGAGTAGCCATATTGATTTCGCAACAAAGGTTCAACCTAATGAATGTAATATCTCGTAAATAGAGCAATTGACTGTGCCGGGAATGCGCGCGAAATCTAAGCAACAAGCCTCGGAGGCAATTCACCGAGATGCAAGGTTCGAGTAGGTCGGGCTCGCTGATCAAACGCTGCTGTCGAAGGCAATGGGAGATAATGAACGTAAAAGTGTAATGCGAGTTCGTAAATCTCGCGAAGTGCGGGCGTACAGAATAATAGAGAATCGTAGGTAATTTGCAATGGTGCCACCACAGGGGCAACAACACGGATCGCAGACGCTAGAATACACACGACAAAGACTTGACAAACCCCAGTCGAAAAAACGGATGTGGGCGAGGAAACAATGTCTAATTGGCAAGTAAGCTAGAAACTTCAATGACAATGACAAAGAGCGAGCAACGAAACCACACGGCTGCTTGCGCTCCCTTCTCACGGCAGTCTCACTTTCCACCTGTTCTTCCGGCGGTTCTTTTGTCGGCGCGGATCCCCCAGGATCACGTGCTTGGGGCAAGGCTGATCGTCATGGTGCCTAAGGCGTATATTTACTACATAGTAATTGTAGATCTTAGCTCTTACTATCTGGTAGAAGTTGCGAGTAATTGGCTTGCATTATACATTCCTTCCAAAGCCTTCCTGGAAGCCAAGTTTATGGAATAAACGACAGCCTTATCGATCCGCTACTAAGAATAGAACCATCCACCATAGCTATGAAGTTAGTGAAGAATTAAAGAGCATGGACGGTGGAGCCTCTTAACTTCTCGGCTTCAACAATTATAGTCTATCTTGCTTTGAAAATGTATATGAACTTTTTAATTGGCGGAAGTTACAAGTTGCCCATAACAGGGCTAGGTATTTCGAGACATACGCATATACAAAGTATATCATTCTTCACATCCTTTCATTAGCATGAAGTCAACATATACAAGAAGCTAGTAATTATCAATCTATGATTTAGTTCACAGGTACTGTTTGAACCAGTTGACAGCCTGGAAAAAAGCCTGTTCCTTGGCGAACTTGAAGTGCTTGTTGCTCAAGTCCGCGCGGACAGCGAAACCGTGGGAAACACCGCTGAACAGGTTGATCTGCCAGTGCTGGCCAGTCTTCTTCAGGGTCTCCTCAGACTCGTGGCGGAGCTGGGTAGTGAAGATGGTATCGATTTCTATTATTGAGGAGTACGTTAGTATCGAAGAGCCATGCGTGTCAACAATCCTATAAAGCCCTAACTTACCGGAAGCAGCGATAGACAGAGGACCGGTGATGGAACCGAGTTCCTCGTGGGTGACGAAGGAAGGGTGGGCGTTGAAACCAACGTCGATCTCACCGTCCTTCATGTGGCGGCAGACATACTTGGCACCGAAGCAGTATCCAACAGCCGCGACACGCTTAGCGCCCAATTCCTCACGGACGTACTTCACAGTAGACTCGACGACGGGGTCGACGTGGCTAGGCTGGTGGTTGGGGAGCCAGGCGGGGAGGTCGGCCTTTCCGGATTCCATGTCGCTGAGCTTGATAGGGTCTCCCTGGAAAAGATCGGGGATGACGCAAGTGTATCCATTGGCGGCGAACTCGTCCGCGAGGAGCTGGGCGTTGATATAGATACCGAAGATATCACTCAGGAAGACGACAACCTTCTCGGTGCTCTTATCCTGGGGGTAGACAATGTAGGTTTCGACTGCGATATGTTGATTAGATCCTTGCGTTCATGATTTTTTATTTTCTTGTTTTTAGAAGGTATGGCTGCAGGATAACTTACCGCCGTTAACGTTCTTGATCTCACCAACTGGGTTGCCTTCATGCTTGAAGCCAGTGGCGCAGCAAGGTCCGGGGGGGTTGGAAGCCATTTTGGAATTTTTGCAATGGGTGAATGAGATAATGATTAACCAGGAGTTTTGGAGGAATTTATTACTATGCAGGAGAAATATAAAAAGCTCCGAAATCACGGGGGGTGCGACGGAGCTCCGAGGGAACATTGTACTGCATAGTAGCCCCTCTTTAAAACCCCCTCCACTCCCCCACTTTCCCATCAGCATTATTAATACGGTATCTACGGAGTACATGGCCTACTAGTTACATCCTCCCAGTCAATACTTCAATGTCAGATGGAGGCCGAGAAGTAACCCAAGCCGATGTTATTAAGTTAGCAGCTCCAAATTCACAGAGACCCCTGTGGATTGAAAGCTTGCACCTGTACAGTACAATCTTGCCAAGGGCTGTCACTACGGAGTACCACCCATAGAATCCTGCCGACCACCCGGGAAGAAGAGCCGGAACCGCCGCCGAATGTCAGGCTAAGCTTTTTTTCGCTTCGGCGTTTACGCCTAACCCCGACCCAAGGCGGTCACTTCAGATTGTCTTGCTGCTGCATGAGATTTGATGCAGGAAGCATGGCAATGCCAGGCTTGCAGGTAGAACTACCATTTGCTACAATTATATGAGAAATCCTTATAAGTCAAATGTCGCTTGTCCCACAAAGGAGGTGTCGCTAATCAATAGATGTGACATCGCTATCAAGCTTGTGTTATATCAGCCGACATGCTAGTCGGAGTGGTTATTTAAAATGGGACGGTGTCAGCTGTACTTGTTCCTCAGTTTCTGGGTGACAGACGTGACTTCATGAGCATATTCAGCTTCAATCTAGGGCCTTAAGTCCTAACCAATCCAATCACCGAACGGAAGCCATGGATGAATTCTACCGCACAAGAGGACTTATATATTGACCAAGAAATAGATTCGAGTTTTTTTCCCATATGCCCGTCTAGCTTGCGACCAAAAATCGCCCCCCCCCCCCAACAAGTCCAGGAAGACAATCATCCTTTGTGGATAGCTGTAAGCGTCAAGTAACAGCATATTTCCCAGACGCAAGTCGGTGAGTACGATGTCACGTTGGTAAGCTCGACTTTCGAAGTCTATTACCAACTTCATGATCTGCTGACAGCAATGCGAAGGGTAATCCTCTGGGTGAGCCTGCGACATGGATAATCCAGAAATGTATTCAATCATGATCAGTCGGACAGCGCGGGTTTCGGGCCCCGACAACGGGGTTTCTAGCGAAAATGACCCATAAAATTTTGGGATAAAGCTTCCTTGAAGATCGGCAAGTAAAGTATATGCATGCACCTCATCAGTGTAGTGTTTGTCCACACACAGAAAAGGATTGAGATATCCTTCCTGATCGTCAAACTAGAGAGGATCATACACTTTGGCCACGACCTCCCTTTGAGGATCGCTAGCCCCGATTTCATGCATTTTGGCGACAAAGACTTGCGCGTTATGAGCATCACCGACTTTTAGATGGTCAACTATATCTAGATTGACGGATCGAGGCCCCATAATTCCAGGCACAGCGGGATTTTTCATGCATCTTTGCAAAGGAGTAAGCCGATCTCGTTCTTCTCTTCCAATCTGGTCATTACAACAGCAATTTCTTGTTACTGGTGTTGGCGCAGGAGTAATATGTGACCATATGCGGAGTGTGTGGCCCTTCGTATAGGGAAAGGTATTGGAAGATTCCATGACAGGATGGACTGTATGATAAAGATGACGTTAGAAGTTTTGTTTAGGAATCGTGAAAGCTATTGTTACCCCTGGAAAGGGCTAGAAGTGTGGAAGTATGATGATATTTATTCTGCTTGAGATGATAACTAGTTGTCTGAGTTATATTTTTTTTTTTTGAACAGACATAACTTTTGACACTTTTGCCTCAGGGCTCAGTTTGTCCACGCAAAGTTGTGCTACTCATACTTTACTCATAACTCCAGTAATGTCCGTGATTAATGAGACAATTCTAAAGGTAGTTACTCACGCCCGTCACCAATATACTACTAGTACTCCATGGTAATAAACTACAAGCATGTATTGTGGTCCTCAGGGTCAAGAAATATCCCACGTCATATATAAGTAACTCATGATTCTTAGGCCATATTAAGACCACTATAACAATGCAATGTATATTAAAATCCAAACCAGTCATTAGTTTCCACCACATTAGCAATCGGGGATATCATTAGCATAGGGACACGTCAAAAATCATAGGACAAAGCTCTGGTATCAGTGGTATATGCCCGTCAACTCGTAAGCTTGAGCTCTGATACCAGGCCAAAAACAAGTAGTTTAGGGGGTATATCGCTGCAGTAATCAAGACAAGGCTGTCCAATGTCTCTTTTGCCGGTTTCCTTTTTTTTTTTTTTTTTTTTACTTCTCCTTTTTCTCAATTCCCTAGTTTTCGATAGGACGATGAAAAGGCCGAGGGTGCGGCATGTCCCGTGCGAGGGACACGCACCTCCGCTCATAAAGCGACACGGCGAGGCGTGCCTTTCAGCTCAGGAAACATTTCAACTCAGGCTGGAAACTGGAATGGTGGAAGCTGAGGACGAGTTTCTTTCTTGGCCGCCCAGGCCTTGATGGCAATAACCAAGATCTCGCAAGCCATGATGAAGGCGGTCACTCCCATGACGACGGTGAAGATAAACATCGCATCGAGCTCGTAAAATTCAATGGTCTCGACCACATTCCGGGTCTGGGAACAGTTAGCATGACTCAATACTGTCATCAATCAGGTAGCACCTACACTCAACATGAAGATCAAGCCACCGGAGATCAAGCAGAAAGCGGCAACAATTTCAGTGGGTGGACGAGAAGGCAGATAGGAGGTTGGTGGCTTAAGATACGTGATGACATAGGTCATACATCTGGCAAACGAGAAGCCAACCAGCATATTACCCCACTGCTTGTGTACCATAGTGGAAACCATGCTGGATTGGTGGTGGGATCCCATCATGCTACCCAAAAGAAGAATCACCAGGGCTGGCATTGGGTTGAGAGAAACGCCTTGCGTGTCGGGAAGCTGCCAAGCCGTGTCGGATGGGCCATGTCTGCGAAGATTCGAGGGGTATTGCAGGACAGTGCTGTTCAGCCAGCTCTTAACGCGCTTGGATTCAAAAAGCATACCGCACAAACCCCCACCGAAGAACATGATGGAGATGGACACATGTTCGAGATCTGTCGCAGTCCATTTGCCGCCCCAACTGGTGAGATGTTCGAGGAACATGTTGCTGGCACCGTAGAGGAAGATCACAAAGGATTCGGTAAATTCACCGGTAGGGATCTTGGCCTTCCACTTGCCAACAATATCACTCGAGGGTTTGACATTCCAAGCCCATCCGAGATCTGCCCAGCAGCCCATGAATCGTCCCAGGGTCAACAAACCATACCAAAAGAAGATGCCTCCCTTGATAAAATGTGCGAGACCGTTGAAAATTTGTCTACCCCTCTGTATAGTCATTCATCCATTAGCAATGTCCACATAGCAACTGATGCTCAAAACTACTTACCATAATACCACCATAAGTTACGCCACCGGTAGCGATAGCGATGAAACCGAAAGGCAGGATGATTCTATCAATCACCAAATAGATAATGGTGAGTATCCGAAGAGCGCGACTAGAGACCATACGGGGCACACGGCTCGCGAGGAAGCGGTTCACAAAGGTGCCGCGTAGCCAACCACGGCTCTGAGCCGGTTGTTCTGGGAACTGGGCCTCGGGCTTGTCGAATGTATCATATTCCTCCGAGGGGGATGCGCAAGTTGACGAACTAGGACGGCTGTGGAGGGAAGCCGAATTGACCGCTGTATCCTGGCCGCTGTCTCTGGACCAACGATACTCGTGATGAATTCCGGTCGGATGCGTCGGGGTTTCGGCCATCTCGTCGGTAGACACGGGAAGGAATGCAGCATGCTCGTACGAAGTCGCATCGGACTCGCCTCTGCCAGCATATGCAAAGATGAGCGACATGATGACTTGCGCGCTAATAACCCATGTCGCGATCCACCCGATCTTGTGATGAGCATTGTTCTCGTACAGATCAGGAGTTTGGCTATTGTAAACGATCCCCAGAAGCAAGCCCAAGGCGTTGAAGACCAGGAAAAGAAATTGCGACGGAAGTGCAAATCGAGATCGCCCAACGCTGAACATAACAGCTATGAAGCTGTCAGTTGTGGCTGAAAAGAAATGGAAAAATATAGAACAGGACTGGAATTCTTACCAACGGGGAGGATGAAGCACCAGGCAACAACCATAAGGCCTATGTGAGCCATGATTGTGCTCGAATGCTTACCATAGGCAAAGTAGCTCATGGGCGAGTCGTCGCTTGCATCGGCATGCGATTCGGGCTGCTTCTGAGTGCTGTTCATGCCCATGTCCATGTCCATATTCATCGCGTGGTCATCTCCGTGCGGGATAGCACTGGCGAGGGAAGCGAATACAGAGGCTGCCGCGATCGCGGCGTGAGAGGCTTTCTGCCACATGGGTGCGAAGGTTGTAGTATTAGATTATAAAGCAAACACGAACGGAAGGAAAGCTGAATGCGAATCCTGTCGCAAAGCGGATGGCCCGGAAACCCCGATCTCGGTGCCTAGAGCCCCGGGATTTTTGTTTATAATTAAAGAGCTGTATTAGCACCGGGCGCGACCAGTAAGAGATACTATAGGCGATTCAATTTTATGGCGGGCGGTGCGCCAGCTCGTGAAGGCGCAATCACACACCAGAGAGGAGTATAGGGCTGAACTATGGAGGGTGACAGGAAGAGGTGGAACGGAAGGGAGAATGCAGAAGGATTATATGGAATCCAACCAGGCTACCGTGAGCCGTAGAAGCGGGTACCACAGGACCGTGCCAATCTTTTTAATTCTTATTCATGATCTAGTATTGCCTGTCTTGCTGGAGCTCTCGCGGTTCTTTCGGAGCGGGCGGGGATAAGATGCAGCGAGGCCGACAGGGCCGTGGAAACAAGAAAGTCACTGATTGATTGAAGCTCCCCAAAGCTCCGTGTGCCGAAAGTGGAGTTCTTGGGAACACGCTTCACGCTAGGCGCCGAGCTAACAAGGACATGGATGTCCGATGCTCTCATTTTTTTTGTGGTGTCAAACCCCGTAATAATAATCCTGTTGGTGTTTGGTGATACTGTTATGATCTTGTCGATATACTCCGTTCCGGTTGATTTTCTGCCTCGATGAGGCGGTATATACCGTCATCTCTAGGATCTGAATCCATCGTCATCATGACTTGCCTCCCAGCGGTTTGGAACCGTTGGTGTCATAGTAGACGGAGTGGGTTAGGTTGACAGCAATTAAAGTCTGGACCTCTAAAAAAAGAATGGAAAGGAAAAGGAATTACGGGTGTAAATTACAAAAGAATACAAAGTAGAAGATCATCAAGGTTTTTGCATTCTGTAGGCCGCACGGAAATCAAATGCGCTGACAAAACTCCCAAAATGTACTTGTTGGAGGCTTGGAGCTGCCAAGAATTAAGGATATACGGAGTAAGGAGTAGTAGCGGACGCAACGTAATAATTGAGAGGTGTGAAAAAAAAAAATAAGAGCCCTTGGCATGGCTCTCGCGGATGCTCGGAGCTACCGGCTTCTTCCCATCATGCCGTGAAAGAAAAAGACATGACCTCATCCCAAGGTACCGGCTGGTTAGCGCTTGGCCTAGAGCCTGTAGTCTATGGGTTAGGCACTACTTCTCGGGTGTCTATCTCGACAACCATGCTAAACACAGTCTTACACAATATTACAATTTATAAAGAGAAAAACTGTCAACAAAGGACAAGAAAAAAAAAAAACAACAGCCTCAATAACACATATACAGCTAAGCTACAATTACCGAGTCAGAATTTTGTTATTGTCTACAGCGATAACATTGAAACAATCTTAGCTTTGGACCAGTCGCCTGACAAAGAATGTTGTGACTTTGTCCCCGCGGATTTTCCTTTGTTTTTATACTTATATTTAGGTTATGTTGTGTTATATTATTATATCTTATTTCTATTTTCTTCTTTACTCTCTTCTCTTACGTTAGGCAGCAGTTATTGTATAAACCAGTTGATCTCGATACGAGAAGGCCGAGCACATACCGCCAGCGGTCTGATTTGGCAGTGTAGCGCTGTTTGTCAATCTTTGTGGCTCCCAAGGGGTGCGGTGAGGCAGTCAAAACGATACAGTAAACATTCCTATCTAGAATTTCATCAGTTACCGCCATTGCCTTCTAAAGATCAAACATCATGCACGATAACATAGTAGGTGCGACCATCCGCCTTTCTTGCATACAGGGCTTTGTGGGGTTGCCCTAAGGATGGGGAAAGGCATACGACTAGGAAAAGACATCCATACTCATCTGTACTCCGAAATAGGTATATTTTACACCTACACCCCGTATGCCTTTCGCTTAAACGACAGCACGGATGATCATACGTCTTGCAAATTTATGCAATCTCATATCTTGACCAAGCTAAATGGTTGAACTCTCTTTGTACACGACGATCAGCCCAGCAACCAGTCAGGTCGCTTAACTGGGTATTCAAAGCGAAACTAGGGCCGAGACTTCAAGTTGTATACCCCTCTTCTGCATGAAGATCAAGCAACATACCATTATCACAGCGTGCCCTCGTGTACTCCTACATGATACCATAGAAGGCGTCGCTTCACACAGTCGGCGACTTAGCCGGAGCATACTTGTTATTGGTCCAGCTGAGAGGCACTTCATGTTGCTTATTGGAGGATTATACCTAGTTTTGCTAAAACCTTGTGGGCTGATCTCACAGCTAGCTGTCTATGATGGTGTAGTATGGCGCTCTAATGCAGGCAGCGTTGTACTAACCCACCGCTGCTCTCTTTTTCTATAATGGGCACCGTACAGTAACTCCTCCATGGGAGAATAAGTTTTTCTAAGTTAGGTTAGTTATTAGTGAGGGGCTGAGGGCTCTTGCTCATGACAGGACGTGCTTCCTCTTAGGTATAATAAAGGAATCCTATAATCCTCGCTGCCTCTATGCCAGATCGTATTTTCATGCCGCCAAAGACAGCCAAGGGACAACAGTTGTGATGGTCAGCAAATAAGATGGCCGGCTAGAGTACACAACCACAAGGCGGTACGGAGGACGGAAGTACTAGTAAGTACGAAGGATTACAATCAAAGCGTCGATCTCTACCAGTGCAAGTGCGGTCATCAAATTCATTCAACCCTCGGATGAGAAAGGGGGCCCACTAAGTGGGCCTCGCACGTTGACATGGACGGCCTCATTAATCATTTTCTGCCCTGTGACCGTGTGTTCTCATCTGACAACCCAACCGACGATCCTGTCTTGGCTGGTTGGCTGGTTCTTGGTTGGAGCGGATCGAGTTCTCACCTCATCCGCGGTCTTCCGTATGAACCCCGAACTGCGAGAAAAAAAAAATAAAAAAAAATAAAAAGAAAAGAAAAGGGCCATCCCAGTAAATTAAATCATTCCATCTGTTGGTCATCATGTACTCGGTACCACAACATATACACACGCACTTTTCCATCCAGACACACAGCTATTTCCTTGCGGAATTATGAGTTAGTGTTTTCAAAAGGTTCTGGAGCTTTCTTTTTCTTGAAATTTTTATTTAATTTTGATAATCTACACCTCTTCGTTGTTGTCGCTTATGCGCTTCCGCTCGAGTGGTGTGACTCATTCGCTCCGCTCTATTAGTAATTGTCACCTTGATCCTTGTCATCATTATTCATGTTGATCTCTTTCGTTCCTGAACGTTTGCCCTCGAGTACTTGGTACTCGAAGTCAAATATTGCTTGGCGACGACATCTAGACATCCCTAGCAGATAGAAGGGGCTTACTTGTACTGATCACGTCTAGTATAGAGTTAGACAAAGCACGCGACGGTCGACGAGTGAAAATGAAGCCATAGTTGTGATGGGGCTTGTACATACGGAATATGCATACATACATCACAGAAATTGTCCGTGCTGTTAGTGACGACCCACTATCTCGACTAACCAAAGGGTATGGGCTTGGCGATAATGAACGGCCTAGGGTGGTAACGGGAAATGTCACTGTGTATAGCTTCTCATAAGATCACGATTTTCCAGAGCCTTATCCTTCATATTTGCTATCGTCTTTGGGTATAGTGATAGCAACTCGGGAAGTCTTGTCGGTGGAATCTCACATAATAGGGAGTGATCAACTACTACCGACTACTAAGTAGGTTGACCTTAAATTGGGAACTCAAAAGACAAACCCTTTTAGGTTATTGGAGCTGAACGGGCGCTACCTGCCCTGTAAAACCATCTACACTAACCGTATCCAGTACCGATGGCCTGGCCGTCCGCTCCAAGGATGCCGATGTCTTACGGAGGCAGTTGACAAAGACACATGATGTATCAACTGTTGCCCACCCAATTTTCTTGCATCTGAAATGTACCGGAGTAAGACACACGGGGGCCTCACTCCGCAGATATTGACATATTATGTATGTGCGCAGTATATAACCTATTTCAGCCGCATGACGTATCCCCAGAAAAGTACGTCATGTGGGCTGACACCTCCCAAAAAGAGATTTCATGAATTATGTACATTAAAATCGACGGCACAATGACTCGTAAATCTTACACAAGCCACCCTCGGTCTGATCCGTGATAATCCCGACGTATCCTTCCATCGTCGCAAAATTTTTACTCTTCCTAGTAATTGCATCGGAAATCCGGCACCTGATGCTCGTCGTGTGGTGAGGACAATCTCCGAGATCGCCAGTGCTTCCCCACCAATCAAGATGGTCAATTCATCCTTTGCTGGACGGATACTAGTAGTCGCCGGACCTTCCACGGATCATTGTTTACCTAATGTGTACTAAGATTCAGGTGCGTGCTTTACCGACTAGGAGAGGCGCTAGGGGACTGTTCTTGTGTAAGTGGGGTTTCTATGGGTCTTGTGGTGGATGGGATCTAGAAGATTTTGAAGTGGAATCGGCGTTTGTTCTTGTATGCATGTGTTGTTTCCTCGTTCGCATTTTGAAATCGGGAAGTGCTTCCGTTTTTTCGAATGCGGTTAGTGTCCCATGTGGCATCGTGGTATTCTATGAAGCACATCATTCTTTTCCGTGCAGCTGGGATCTGTCTAACTGCAGCTTTCATTGACATTTTAAGTACAGCAACGCTGATGAGAGGAGAAATTTAAGCACTAAAAGCTATCACGGAATACTGGGACATAATATGTTACATCTATACAGACTTCATATATCACTAACAGGTAGTAGAGCTATCATTTCGCCCTCTTATGTTTATCATACCCGACGAGGACCAGGTAGAATGTTTCGTTGCACGAGTGGCTTGACTAAGTGTGACTGGAGCATGCCTCGAGAAAGTGAAGAATCTGGTCAAACCCCTCAGGCTCTTTGACCCAATGGCCGTCCTCCTCCGCCCCAGCGAACTCATGCCACTGAACAGGGATTCTAATCTGTTGTAAGACTCGAGCTGCTTGTCGACCCAGGTCCACGGACACCCAAGCATCGTCGGTTCCGTGGCTCAAAAATACAGGCGTTGATAAGATCGAGGCGTCGATGGTTTCCTTTGTCTGCGATGCCCCGGAACCAGAGATTGTGTTGAGAAAGAAACTAGTTACTGAACGTTGTGCTAGCTGTTCGCTGAGGGCATCTGAACTTTGAACCTGCTCCTCTATCTGTCGTGCAAACGGCAGCCAGCCGCAAAACCCCACAAAGCCACCAAGTGGCTGGTGGATCTGGCTGGTGGCACAGAACAATGTCCATAAGGCGGTTGCCATTCCCTGACTGATACCTCCAAGATAAACATGGCTGGTCTTTCCACCGAGGATTTCTATCTCGTGGTTCAGGATGCTCAAGATGTGGGTGACCGACTCCCTCAAACCAGCAATCTGCAGTTCCTGTCGTTCATGGATGTCATCCAAGGAGTATGCGTCAAACCAGACACACATTTCTTCCTGGAATCTGTCACTCCAACAATTGCGAGAGGTGGGAAATACCCAACGCCAATTCGGGAGGCAAGCGGCCAAATTGGGACCTTTGGAGGTTATGGAGGAGAAGAGCTCCTCGGCGAACTCAGGTCCATTACTACCGCGGCCATGGAGCAAGATGAATGTGTGCGTGTGCGAACTTTGCGGTAAGTGAATGTGAGGCTCGGGAAATTCCATTTTTTCGTTGTATAATACTCGGATTAGTGTTTGTAAGTTGGAGGGCTTCTGCAGGTACTTCGCCGCATTTATACCCCGCAATCCGCATCAAGTTGTACATTGGTATATATAGTACCGGCCAATTCAGCCACATGAAATCAACTGTTTTGGCCATACACCGATATGACGAGGCAGATAGGCCCGCCAGTCATCATAACCATCGGCGGGTGTAATTGTATTCAAAGCTTTCACGTATTCCCAGTACCCCGGATACCAGCCATACATCTCCCGATCAAGGATTGCTGTGGTTCTCACCGGGCAGCTTGAAAGACCTCTTAGGTTTGAATGCGGCAGCTGGGTAGTGATGGCCACCATTGTGTTTCGGGCGTGGAGATCAGCATGCGATAAAATCACTTGGTGACTAGATTATACATAAGATTCTATCATTATAATTTGCCCGGTCCAAGTACGTTGTTTGTTAGATGCAAGGAATGTCCTTCGGCAACATGCACTTGTTACGCACATCTTTGCATCGTCGGGGACTGCCACCACCGAGCACTGCCTGGGCCTCTTTAGCCGGGGTAGCAGGTAAGTGCCCGTACTTGTCCAGAATAGTTTCCAGCTGTCCTCTAGTCGAAACATTTTGGGCTTTATCTAGATATTTCCATTTCGAACCTAGCGGCCCTCCAGGGACTCGCAACATGAACAGAAAGATCCGTTTACCGTTTATTTGTTGAGGGATGCCATGTATGTCCGGTGATGGGGCATCTGGTGCTGGTGTTTAATGTGCTCCAACCTTGAGATGTGACTTATGTCAATATTATAACCGATTCTCAGGACAGGCTCCGAAGTGAGACCAAACACGCCAGTGGAGCCCACATGCTATATGACATCATTAGAGGCAACCAATGTGTGAAGTACTCCGTATGTCAACGATAATAGACAACTCTGGGCTCGCTCCGTCGTCGGATGTCTGTACCTGTGCTGCCCGCATCAAGGCTGCGCCTAACGGCCGCAAAATCTCGACGTCCTCTGGAATCCGACATTGGTATCTCATATCCACAATCTCGGACGGAATATTTGAGTTGCTAAAGACTGACATTGCTGATTTCACAGCCGAGTCGCGAGAAGCTTTTAATAGCACAGGATAAATTTTTGAGTTGATGTTCTAGGAGGCCAGCCATAACCATGGAAGGATATGCTTTAACTTTAGCGCTTATATTATCGAGGATTAGCTTGTTGACTTTGGTGAAGGCCTCTTCTTTAGCATGTTAAACAGAATCTTGCGGAATTGGGCTTTGTTGTATTCTCTGCATCATGGATAGTCAAGCACTGGATTTCTTTCAATGCGAAGTGCTAACCAGTCCAAATGGACCTGAAACATGTCAAACGATGCCTGACTACTCAGGCGACCAAGTCGCACGACTAGACCGTAGATTCATACGTCAATCGAATCAACACTAAATAAAGTAGCATCTAGCAGAGTACTTGGTAGTTAATAAAGTAATAGAAAGCGGAGAAACATACGCCCGCCGATCCCCAGAACGCGATAAAAGAGGGGCTAAACCAAAGACAGCAAGAGAAGACATCACATGACCGTCTTATCCTAACCCGCAGCCCAACAAAGTTTAGCGCCGCTCAAGCGAGCTGGTCCGAATCGGGAACAGAGAAAGCACACAACGGATTTTCCAACCCTAACATTCGTCTCCGTTCAACCACAACCGCCCAGCGACGACAACCCGCCTGCCCAAACACCGTCAACCCGTCAGGTTTTCCTCGCCGTCGAATCAATTCAAGATGACTCACGAGTCCGTGTGGTACAGCCGCCCTCGCAAGTAAGGACACCCATATTCCCCGTGATGACGATAAAATACATGTTGGCTAATGGTGGTTTTTCTACTGCGATAGGTACGGCAAGGGCTCCCGTGGATGGTATGTGAAGGCTTGAAACCGCAACCCCCCTCTTGGATGACGATGAGAACTTCGGGTTCTACAGTGTTGGTCGAAATAGGGTGATGGGACAGCTTGGGACTGATTGTGTGGTTTTGACGATTTAGCCGCGTTTGCACCCACCGCGCTGGTCTCATCCGCAAGTACGGTGTATGTGGAATATATCGATCTCCGAAGTGTTGTGATGGGATGTTTGAAACTGACCCGGGGTTATTTTATAGATGAACATCTGCCGTCAGTGCTTCCGTGAGAAGTCTCAGGACATCGGTTTCCACAAGGTTCGTGAAATGGCCTGCGCGATTGAAGATTACCACCCACAACCCAGCAACCACGACGAAAGAAAACATACTTGGAAGAATATATATATAAAGGAACACGTTGAGCTGGGGAGTGCAGGTGGAGACAGAAAGAGCCCTATCACTAACGCATATGCTTTACCAACTACAGTACCGTTAAATCAAATATCAACTGGAAATTCCTGTTCACGAAATTCGTTACGTCCTCGGCGCTCGGTAACAACCTTGGGAAATAGCGGAAAGGACCACCGATTCGATTCGCTTGGGATTCCGACGGGGAAACAGATAGGGAATAATAAAAGTTGTTGGAGGAAAATCATGCACGGATGCCGGTGTTGACAATTATTAAAGGTGTCATGTCGAACCCTTTTTTCTTTTCTCCCAATTCATACATGAATTGAAATGAGGAACTTTTCTGGAATTTATTACCTGGGCTCTCTTTATCTCTTTCCTCCTCCACAACTCCAGACGCGCTGGTCGATGACTGAAAGATCTAATGAGCACATGCTGTTCGCACTGCGATGTTGGTTTGTAGTGTCCGTAATGATCTCGGTAGAACTTGGTGCAATCATGACCGGTTTCAAATCACGGAAGCACCATGTCGCCTATTCCAGGGTGTTCCTTGCTATACCCAGCAGCGGTAGATTATTGGACATTGGGATACTGGTTGAGTTGCTTTTACATTCAGATGTCATGGTATACCATGAATACTCTGCATCTCGCCTATACCAGTAAAACAAAGTGTCTGATGAACCCTTGGATGAAATATGTAGATTGTCAACTTGTATGGATACTTCAAGCCAATGACACTGGCCATGCAATGGTTTAGATTTCTATACTAGTAGGTCGATCCTACAACAATGGCCTAACTGATTTAGATGCATATTGCAAAAAAATGATATAAACCCATGCCCATGGACTCCTGGCCAGAAAAGAAGCATGCGATGAGCAACTAATCCACACAATGTGGTAAATATAGGTCCTACTATTGCGACGGAGCACCGGCCAAGGACCGAAGATTGTAAAAGAGAAGATATGCATCGGCACTGAGGACATCGGCCTCCGTCACAGACGTAACTTGGTCATCGTTGAAGAGTATCCACTGTTCATGTTAGTGATGGCCCGCACTTCATAGTTGCTTGTTCACGCATGGTGACAAGTTGTGGCAAATGGGAAACAAACCTCATCACCCTGCCGGCAGTAGACGTAGTAATGCCTGCATCCAACTTCCCTTTATGCACCACGGCAGATGAAAGGTCATAGATATATCTCGATTTATCTGCGCGGGAGTTGGGGTTGGTCGTGTACGGGAGCATGTTGATAGACATTGGGAAGTCTATGCGGCCCTCTAGCTTCTCGGAAACCGAAAATGTATGTTCATAGCGCTGCAATAAAATCAGTTAAGAGTTTGGTGAGGCTCGATGTAGCGACACACCTTTAGTTGCATGCATAGAATTGCCGGCAATTTCTTAATGCGTAGTTGTTTGGTGGCCTTCTGAGCGCTCCCACCGCAACCACTGCAGTTGTAAACGCCTGCCATAAGTTTTTCAGGGGATGTGAAGCTTTCCAGACATCCGCTCAACGTCGGAGTGGACGAGGCCCCAGCACCACCCATAGCACGCTTCTTCGCCTGCACCTGGACATCCAAACTTAGATCCACCATTGGATCGTCCGTACGTGTGACATTTCCACACTTGTCACATGTTACACTACTTCGGAGCTTGCCGTAGAATGTCTTGTGGAAAAAGCAAGGGCAGCCTTTCTCATGGTTCTCGTGGTGTCCGTCAGTGCTAGAGTGTAGTTTGTCGACAAGAAACTGGTAGTATTCGTGTGCATCTTGTTGCTGATATCCCGCTAAGGCCTGCCGGAGTCAGTCAGTTGATCTTCACGTCGCTTTTAGAAGAAAGATGACGTACAGAACTTGAACGCCACGAGGCCAAAAGGAGGTTCAGGGCTGCAAACCCTTCTGCCTTGTCACTACTATTGAAATCCGCAAATGCTTCTGCAACAGCACACGCTATACAATCAGACAGAGTGCAGTCATGTGATTGATGCCCGCTTCCTAGAAAGTAAGTGTTGAGGATCGGGTCATGGAGGAGTGTCTGGAGAATAACATTCAAGTAGCATGTTTGTCCAAGGTTGAATAGCCCCCTGACACCTTGCTTTGCACAAGAGCGCTTGTTTGCATTACTCCTGACGTATAGCTCGTCGGTCGAGCTTTCGCTAAACCGACGTTTTTGAGCAACTAGATGCAATTTAGCAATGGGTAAGACCTCGAGGGCAGCGTGGCATTCATACGTTTTAGCGTGCTTTCTGCTTTTGATGATCTCAGTCTTTCCAGGCCGTAATCATAAACGAAGTCTCCACATCCCTGACAGAAGAGCGTGCGACTTCTTGATTCCATGTCTGAGGCAACAGTCAGCCAATGGCTTAGGTTACAAGCTTGACCTACTCACAGAATTGGTGACCGGTCTTGTCTGTATGGGCCTTTCGGTCACCATTCACGAATACATCGGAGCAGGTCAAGCACATGTACTTTGGTTTTAGAAAGGTGGTCGCACGTAGGCCTTTCTGTGTAGTAGCCGACTCCCCAGATCTGGAGCGAGGAGCTAAAGCATTATGTGTCTTGATGAATGATGCCCTGAACTGGTCACCCGCACCTCCATCCTGGGAGAGTTGCGCCGTAAGATGCTCTTCCAGGCAAGTTAGCATTGAAGACAGGTGCTAGGAACTTCCAGGGTGACCGCATACCGCAACCAAACTCAGCCTCGGAGAGGAGCGACACACAAGCTACGCTAGCCATTGCGAGGTGGGATTAAGGGGGTTATATGTTGTACCAGACGTATCAAAAGAGCTGTGCAGCCAAGGATAAGCCCGCGACACCGAAGAACGATTGTAGGTATATCACAGTAGGTGCCAAGGGATCCTTCGCATAGATGGGAAGAGAGTGACGTTGGCTTCAGCTGCAGACACAATGGAAATCCATGGATTGAAACGCCGTCAAGTACCTTGGCTGTATCACATCAGCATCATGGTTCTTGGAGGCCTGCTCCCAACAAATAAAAGACCTTGAACTGCAGTAATTAGAGAGTGTCTGAACTGGGTGTGGTGACCGCAAATGGTTTGCGCGGCCACTGTGTTCCGCCGTCGGCTCCGTCCCGAACGCTACCCCAGATAAGTAAGGTCCTTAACTCCGTAACACCGGGTTCTGTCTCTAGACTGCACAAGACCCCCGAACGGAAGATAGATTATAGAAATGTGATATAAGACAGCCCGAGTATGGTCCTTGAGAATGTTTCCGCTGAGACCTTGGAATGGCGATTGGCACTGGCGACAAAAGCAAAGGCCATGACAGATTGACAGATCCTTTTTTTTTTCCCTCCCGCAAGGGTTGCGACTTTCCGAGCGATAAGAAACCGGGATTGCATTTGATCCGAGAAATACGGTACGTATCGCTATGCTACCTACAGAGTAGTGTCACCACATGACCCCGAACACCATCACCTGAAATGATAGTAAAACTATTGATTTACGATCGTCTGTAATTATATCCTTGATATGGAAGTGGCCAGTGACTAGATAGTCACTACGGCAAGAACTTCTATTCTGCCTTGAGACATGAATACCTAGACTCGAATCTACTGAATTTAGATGGTAGTACTAGGTACAGGAATCTGCTGAGATTCGGCTATTGCGTGAAGGTCCAGCCCTTATATAGAGGTATCCTCGTATGTCCAAGCAGTTTGGTCGCTCAGAAACAAAGGCATGGTGGCTAGAATAGGTTGTCTCCTTGGGGTAAGTCCCGATTGGACTCTCTGGCATGAATCAACCACTCCCCTAACCCATCGGTGCTGCGCGAGTTTGTCAGGTCTCACCAGGACATGCCGATGGTATACCGGCTAGCGGTAGGTACCCTTTGTACGAGCCAAAGAATCGACAACGCCATGTTCGTACACATACGAGTCGGTCCATTGGGAGGGATCATGTAGTTTTCATCAATGAGATTCACCGCAGCCCTCTTCCCCTTGGCAGCGCGCTCGGACGAGCTCGACTAGTGCCTCTAGTTGTATAACGGCCACGAGTACTGGACCCTCTTGTGGTGCCCCGCGACGAAGCAGGAGTCTTGCGTACCGGTTTGGGGGAGATTGTACTCGAGGGATTTTCAACGAAAGTGGTGTCAGTAGTCCTGGAAATTTGATGCCACGGTCAGCAAAATCCATCAAACATAGAATGTAGTCATGAGAAACAATCAATGACCCACATGAATGTCGTTTCGCCTTCATTAGTCGGTCGATTTTGCTCCACTTCAGCTTCTTGGAGAGTGTTAGTGCCATACATTCCCGTCAGATGTAGTGCGACGTCAATACCTTTCTGAGCCTCCGCTTGTTTGGCTCGTTTAAATGATTCGGGGATCGGAGCCTGCGCCCGTTAGTTTTGTAAGATGTTTAGTATCGCGTAGCCATACCTCTGGAAAATCTACACAGAAAGCGTTCATGTTTAAGCCATAAAGAAAGCTGGCAAAGCTCTCGCTGAAGCGTGTAAGACTCTCGTGCATCAACTGGAGGTGCATAAAGTTGGCCTCCAGATCGGCCATGGAGTCTGCGAGCTCTGCAAACTGTGGTTCGAGGGCATTGATCGCAGGTTGGGTATAACCTGCGTTGCTGATACTGTATCCATAGCCATGTGCTTCACGTAATGACGACCGAGAGCTCGGTCGTAGAGGGGTCGTGGGCCTGGATGAAGGTCTTGGACGCGAAGACGATCGGGAAAAAGCAGTAGGGTCCATGGTCGTGAGAGAAAATTCCGAGGTACAATGGGGACGTGACGCAAGGTGTGGTAAGACGAATTGGGTAAGGAGTGCGAAGTGCCTCAAGTCTGGAAATCTGGGGGGGGAAAGTGACCAATTAATATTGGGGCACCGATAATTGGAAGTAGTGTGGATGTTAGATTGGATTTTGTTTTGTTGACGCCGTCTGTTGATCCCCCGCTTTTGCGCTGGAGCCGAATGACCGACGGCAGTTGCCTCAGGCGGCCAGGCCCTAAATTTAGTGGCGGCCCGGTGGCTCAGGGGGGAAGACCCTCAGGCGACCCTTTCTTTAGCTTCTCTCCGGAACTCCCTTTCGCCTCCTCTCTCTTTTTTTTTTAATTTTCTTTTTTTATTTTGTGAATTCCCCGCATACCCCCGGTTCAATCAAACTTTTCAGGGGCTGGATCTTCGTCTGTCTCACTTCAAATAACGAAAGAGGGGAACGCCAAAAGTTGTTGTTATCCTGTCATTTGCTAATAGCACATGCATACTGGTTGGTTCTTGCGCCGCCGTCTCTTACTTTCCTCGGCCAGATCCATCCAATCTGTCTCATCTTACTCTGCCAGTGCACAGATCTTCCCGAAACACCTGGGTACAAGTTCGTGCTTTTTAATTGCGTCGAATCCACCCAAACGCCCCTTCTCCACTTTACCAGTATCACCTCTTAGCGGACCGAGGAAGGCTTCATCTTTTTGGGCGATCACATTCACATTAGCTATTGTCTGTGGAGCGACCTGGCTACAAGATAAATACCGTCATCCCGGAAACGATTCCCACCTCATTTCGGAACCTCCGGAATTTGATCAAGAAAAACCTCCCTTTCTCGGTGTAATAGATACCCTTAAAACAATGCCTATCCAAGCCGCCCCCGGAACCGTGGGCAACCTCACCCCAGAGCAGGAAGTCAAACTTCAGGAGTTTTGGGTCCTGCTGCTGAAGGTATGCGGCATTAACGTGGAAGGAATTGAAACGAATGGCGATGTCGCCACACCCCCAAGCCCGTCGTCCCAGAAGAAAGCGCAACCCAAGCGGAGGTTCACCTTCTTCGGTGGAAAGAGCAATGACGAGGAGGAGGACACCACAACGAACGGTGTTACAAACAGCATTGCTTCCATCAACATTACCGATGGAGATGACAAATATGGACAGTCCAAGGAATTCCAGCAAGCAATTACCGACATGAAGCCTGAGGAGATTCGGGTTACACTGTGGAACATGGTGAAGCAAGATAACCCCGACTCCTTGCTCCTGCGTTTCCTTCGGGCGCGCAAGTGGGATATCAAGAAAGCACTCATCATGCTGGTCTCCACAATTAGATGGAGATTGCAGGATGTGAAAGTCGACGATGATATTGTTAGGAATGGCGAACTGGCTGCCCTGGAGCAATCGAAGAGCTCGGACCCTGAAGAGAAGAGAAAGGGCGAAGAGTTCCTGAAACAGATGCGCATGGGCAAGGGTTACATCCACGGTGTTGACAAAGATGGACGGCCTATTTGCGTTATCAGAGTGCGCTTGCACAAGCCGGCCGATCAGGGCACGGATACTTTGGATCGGTTTACCGTGTACACCATTGAATCTGCCCGGATGATGCTCTCGCCTCCAGTTGAAACAGCTGTAAGTTTCCTATTACTGCATGAGCGGAACCTAAACACCTAACATGAGGTAGTGTGTTGTCTTCGACATGACCGGCTTTTCTTTGGCAAACATGGTATTTATCCCCTTTTTGGTCAACATACGAACACTGCCTAATATACACTAGGACTATCATCCAGTTAAATTTATGATCAAGTGCTTCGAGGCTAATTATCCTGAATGCCTGGGAGTTGTGCTTATCCACAAAGCCCCCTGGATCTTCTCCGGTTCGTATCCTCTTCTGCGCTGTCAATAAGCAACCATCTAACATATGACGTATAGGAATTTGGAATATCATCAAGGGCTGGCTTGATCCCGTTGTTGCATCCAAGATCAACTTCACCAAGAACGTCTCAGACCTTGAGAAATTCATCCCCAAGGATCGCATTTATAAGGAGCTTGAGGGCGATGAGGACTGGGAATACAGCTATGTAGAGCCCAAGACCGATGAAAATAAAACGATGGAAGATACGGCCAAGCGAGATGAGTTGATCAAGGAAAGACAACAACTTGCTCAAGACCTCCAAGATGCCACGATTGAGTGGATCACGGTCAGCCGGAAGAAGGACGAGGAGGCCACCAAGGCAGTGGTGGAGAAGAGACAGGCGCTCATTGAGCGATTGAGGGTTCAATACTGGCAGCTCGACCCGTACATTCGCGCTACCTCTCTGTACGACAGACTGAACATTCTTCAGGGCAGTGGAAAGATTGATTTCTATCCGGCTGAAGCCAAAGTGAACGGAACTACTACAAACGGTGCCACGAATGGCACGTCTAACTAGATCGGGATTTCCAGGTGTTTAGATTTCATTGATAGAACGACATTTAGGTATTCAGATCATGCATGTATCTTGTATATAATGGAATTTTGGTTACACAATGCCGTCTGTCAGAGTTAGTAGATGTATTCTTTGGTCTACTATACCAAGGGCAATGTAGCTGACCCAATGGATTTGAGTTTGCCAACTATATGTATGCTCTATATGCAGCCCAATACTAAAGCTGCAGATATCTTCGGAGAAACTGCCGCATGAAGTAATGATCTTACATCTTACCAAAATTGAGACAAGCCCAGGGCACTATTTTTAGACTCGGTAAAACGTGCCAAAGGAGCACATCGATGAAACCGTCCATTTATCAGTTGGAATTGAAGCTGAACTGAAGGATTGTCTGCTCCATTACGAATGAAACCGCTTAGCTTCTATGCTACACACCGCGTAAAGAACAACATTCTCGCTCTCCTTTCTGCACGGGCTACAACAAACCAAGCCAGCCATAGCTTACACAAATAGTTAATGCAATCTTTTATTGACCAAGGATATACATCAGATGCGGTGCCACCTAGAGAAATGTGATAACAATGCCACCCGACGCTTTCAAATCAGGTTTAGTGACACGGTACGGAGTATATACAGCCATTGTTACATCTAAATCTTGGACTTGAGTTCCTCATGGAGAGCCTTGAGCTTGTCCATGTCCGTAGCTTGGGCAGGCCAGCCGACACCGAGACCCTCCGTCTCATTAGGCTTGGGGATCTGCAACGAATTAGATTAGCATAGGTTCCATAAAGTAGATACCGGAGTGGAGGCCGTTTCAGAATCAAAACTGAGAAAAGTGGTTCCTGTCAACCCAAAAAAAGAGCCAAGCTAACGTACCATATGGAAATGAACCTGATAACGAGTTAGCCAAGCATCCACAAAATCAGCAACATTTAGCCCCGTCAAGGGGAGGGGGGAAGGGTTTGGACATACATGTGGAACAACCTGGTGGGCGATCGTGCCGTTGTTCTGGAGGACGTTGAAGTCCTCGGCATCGGCGGCTTGGGCGAGCTTCTTTGCAACGGGCTATTCAATACAAATCATGCGTGGTTAGCTCGTTCGGCCTATGAGAGGTCTGAAGCTGCGGGGGAAGATTGGGTTCCCGTGCAAGGCTCTTCTCGCAAGGTCCTCAGGTGCTGGGGCCTTATTTAAGGCGAGCCCGGTCCGGGGTGGGTGGTTACATACCAAGACTTCGTTGAGGTACTCGTCGGGGATATCAGTGAGTTTTTCGCCGTGGAACTTGGGGATCACGAGCTATTATTCGTTTGTTAGCGTTGCGGCCTACTTGAGTAGAAGGAATAGATGTGATTCAAAGGCGGTTGTTAGATGAAATTTAAGAAGGTGAGTATCTTCTCCTCGATAGAGGGGCGCTGGGAGTTGGGATTGCCGTGCGGGGATAAAATAGCAGACAACATCCCAGGGAGTGAACACTTACCGCATGGCCGCGGCTCAGAGGCTGGATGTCAAGGAAAGCAAAGATCTTGTCGCTCTCGAAGAGCTTGAAGGAAGGGATATCACCTGTTGTTGTTGTTCGTACGCATGTTAGAAACGGTTGCTATTATTTTTGCTCGAGGAGCTTCACCCATGACGAAGTTGGGGCAAAACAAATGCTATAGAATGTAGAAAGTCTAAATGGGCATTGGATGGTCATTACCCTTGATGATCTTGCAGAAGATACAGGCGGCAGAAGACATGTTGGTATAGTAGTGCTTTCTATTATGTTCTGAGGAATATAGTAAGGGTACACTGAGGAATAGAAAGAGAAATCGAAGAAAAGTGTATGCTTGCTGATGCGGGGTTGCAACTTGGAGGCGGAACGCGACGGGGGGAATCGTACCGTATGGAAAGGGTAGAATGGAGCTTAGGAAAGAGAAAAAGGTGAGTGTGGTGGCAGTGAAGGGTTTCGAACCAATGCTTTCTTGGCAGTTTGAGGAGGGGGATAAATACCACATTAAAGGTCACTAATGTGAGGAGTGGGACAAGCTAGTTCAGAACCCATTTCTTGCCTTTTACCAGAGATGGCCGTGGTTTGCCCACAATACTCCTCTATACAATCTTTGGACTTATCCATCGACACAGTTGTCGATTTTTACTATTTTATTTTTTTGCCAGCGTGATAAATACTGTTTTCTTCTTTATCGACTTTCTTTTCCTAGCTCTTATAAGGCGGTAATGGGTCTGGTCTCAAACATGGTGCGTGGGTCATCTTTATTAAAACTCGTGTCCGTAAGAGTACATGACATATCTTCCTCCATGTGCTGGGTTTGTCCACTACTGCTATATAGTACTAGTAGTAGGTTCCTGTAGACCCGTCCGAAGATGACTTCTCACCCGCGTTTCAAGTTTTACTGTGTAAACTATTAATCGGTACGGACCCCGGGACGGACTTATGTTGGAGTAAGGGCATCTATGAGCGGGCCAATGTCCGCTCCCAGTCTATCATCTATACGGATGGCTAGCAAGGGCTTGACGCTTTGGCGCTCTACTCCAACAGCCAAATTGGAGAAGCAACAAAGCCCGATCCCTGTAGGCTATCATAAATAATAATTCGATCTTAATTGGCCTCCAATTTGATGACATCGCCGAAGAATGATTAACCCCGCAGAGATATCTTATCACGTCTCCCCAGAATTGTCTTATCTGTCTGTCCATCTCCAACAGCCAACATTTGCATCTCTACCACCCCCTCTTTTGTGTATATATCAGAGGGCAGTATGGCGTCTTTCATATTTCCCAAGTCCGCTAGGGTATTACTTAAAAGATTACCGGTCAAGTCGAGAGTATTGCCGTTCTCCAGAACAGTATCGATCCAACCACGCAGGGCCTTCTCCGTTTCTCTAAAACAAGCCATGTTAACAACAGAGCTATCTGAGGCCGAGGTTTCGGCGCTTAGAGCTAACAAGGACCGCCTTGCAAAAGACCTTCATCACAGTTGTCAATGGGGGTTTGGTATACGTTGGGGAGAGTAAGTATACACCAATTTCAGACCTCTTAAGCCACACTGGCACCAAAAAGATTCCTTTACGAAGTATTAGTTATAGTCAAAGTGCAATTGGATCCTGCTGTTTATTTTCAGTGCCACATCTTATATCCCCCGTCGTCATAAGAATGTCTTAGTTCCGGTAGACTAACTCCTAGCCTAGAGAACCGACGGACACAGGAATGCAGCGCCTGACGCTGTCTGAAGAAGACAAATCCGTGCGAGACTGGTTCATTGAAACAACAAAAGCGCTGAAATGCAAAATCACGATTGATGAAATGGGCAATATCTTCGCTGTGCGTCCCGGACGGAGAAAGGATGTGCCCTCGACCTTCATCGGCAGCCATTTAGATACGCAACCAACAGGTGGTCGCTACGATGGGATTCTGGGTGTCCTCTCAGGTATTGAAGCGTTAAAAGTTATCGATGAGATGGGCCTGGAGACAGAAGGAGGTATAGGTGTTGTAAACTGGACCAAGTAAGAGACCCCTGAATCAACCCGAAACATTTCCAATCGCTTACGCTAATGCCTCTACAGTGAAGAGGGAGCCCGCTTCCCCATCAGTATGGTCTCTTCTGGCGTATGGGCGGGTTCTATACCTCTTTCACGGGCACATGGGCTCATAGAGGTGCCAACAGTGGCTTCTCTCCCCACAGCATCTTCTGCCCCAGAGTCATTGAAATCAGCACTCGAAAAGATCGGCTATTTAGGAGATGTTCCCTGTTCCTATGAAGCAACGCCCATGGCAGCTCATTTCGAGCTACATATCGAACAGGGGCCTCATCTGATTTCGGCAGGTCAACGCGTTGGTGTTGTGACTGCCGTCCAAGCCTACCGCTGGTATCGAGTCAATGTAACGGGTCGAGACACCCATACAGGTACCACGGCTTTTCAACATCGTGCAGATGCGCTGTACGCCTTCGCTCAAATGATGGTACGTGCTCGGGAAGTCGCCTCTTCTCACGGTTGTTTAGCCAGTGTCGGCATCGTCGAGGCGAAACCTGGTAGCGTCAATACCGTGCCCGGTCTTGTCAGCTTCTCTCTCGATATTCGCGGTCCCGAAACTGAATTGGTCGCAACTGTTGAGGAGAAACTGAGGGAGGAGTTCGACGCCATTGCAGCGGAAGAAGGCAAGGGCATTGGTAAGCCTTGTCGGGTCGAATGGACTGTAGAGTTCGACTCTCCAGCGGTCAAGTTCCACCCGGATTGCATCGACTGTGTGCAGCAATCTGCAGAAGCTGTTGTCGCCGATGCGCCAGAGCCCAAGTCTCTTGTGCGGACCATTATGAGCGGCGCGGGACACGATAGTGTCTTCACCTCAAAGAGGGTGCCTACCAGCATGATCTTCGTGCCATGTAAGGATGGACTGAGCCATCATCCGGAAGAATTCTGCTCTGCAGATGACTGTGCCACAGGTGCATCTGTCATTTTGCAAGCAGTGGTCCGGTATGACCGGAAGAGATTTTCATCGTAGATAGAGCACTTTACCCTTTCGTGTGAAGTTTATCAACAGTAATGCTCTTCTTAAATGGTCGAACACAGTTGCTAGTATAAGCCGTGAGCCTGGACTGAAGCGCTGGAGCTGTGCTGTACATGTCGTTACGAGCTATGATTTGAATTTACTACAAGAAATTAAATGTTGAGTCATTAAAATCATGACATTGACTCTAGCTATGTCGTTATATCGATACAGCACCAATGCATAATTTTTTTTTTAGGATGGGCGCGACAGCCGTTTCAAACTTATTCCAAAGTCTACTCAAGCCATTCACGCTACCATCCATGCCCTAGGAAGACCGGACGACATCCCTCTAAGAAGAGGGAGCACCACCACGGCCACGGCCGAATCCACCACGGAAGTTAGGGGCGAACTCGCTGGGAGCACCACCCTCCTTCTCCTGGTCGCGGCGGCGGTAGCCACCCTCACGGGTAGGACGGGGACGGCGCTCACGCTCCTCACCACCCATCATACCACGAGGGGGAGCGTGGGAACGCTGCTGCTTGATGTGGGTGGCAGGGACAACCTCAGCGGGGAGGTGGAGCCACTCACGTAGGTAGTCAAGACCCTGGAAGAGAACAAGTTAGACGACCCTTCCTCATTGTGAATGCCGGCAATTGAACGGTTGCAAACATACCTCGGGGGTGAGGGTGTAGTAGTAGTACTGCCACGAGAACCGGGTCTTGACATAGCCGCGGGAGTCGAGGGACTGGAGGGCCTTGATCACGTAGAGGTTCTTGGTGTCAATGTCGCCATGCTTGGACTCGAAGTCCTTCTTGGCCACGAGCACACCCTCTGTTCAGGTAATCAGTCAGCGACAGCGGTCTTCAAAGAGCGAGGTGGATTGGTCCGGCCAATGCGACAGGAAGCTGGAGGCGTCGTTCACATACCGCGGAAGAGGTACTCGTGGATCTTCTTGCGGTCGTCCTTAGGGATAAGCCTGAAAAGTTATCAGCATTACATAGCTTATCAATTATGAAGAATGACCTGTAAACTTACATTGTTGCGAGTTCCTGGCGCTCTTCGGGGAATCGCTCTAACAACGCGAAGAGGGTGGTGGTTGGTTTAAATGGTGGATGGGATAGAGTGGAGCGACTGGCGGTTAAGTTGAAAGTGCGTGATTCCTCTTTCGGAAGCGCATGATAGGGTTGCGCCCTAATTGACCTAGCTTAGTCACACACGCCCTTATCGCCATGTGACCGGCGTTGCGTGTTTCTGCCTGAGGCGTAGACACAATCTTCCTCGTCGTCCGTTCCTTATCAACTCCACCTCATTTGTCGCCTCTCATCACTCCATCAGAGTACATTACAACAGACCGCAGCCGCGACTTTGCGACCTCTTTCTACCTTGATACCCGCAGTACATTACCTAGTGTCGGAACAAGTAAAACTCGCAAACATGGCTCCGCAAAACGTGAACGTCCTCCTCTCAACATTCCCCGGTCTCTCTCTTCCCTCGACTCTCTCATTCTCCCTCCCATCGACCTCATCTATCGCCGACCTCACCGAGAAGGTTTCCTCATATATTCCGTCATCCGTACCTCTCCAGTCACTTATCTTAACTACGACAAACAACAGACAAATACTCCCTTCGTCAGATCTATCGATCTCACATCTTATTGCTCCTGATGGCGAACTCACTGCGAAGTCAAACCTCCTTCCCCTCCGCCTCTCGGTGCCCCTATGCGGAGGAAAGGGTGGTTTTGGTTCCCAGCTTCGTGCAGCTGGTGGGCGCATGTCAAGCAAGAGAAAGCGCAACCAGGGCGACGATAACGGCTCCAGTCGCAATCTCGATGGTCGCCGTATCCGTACCGTCAACGAAGCCAAAGCGCTCGCCGAGTATCTGGCAGTCAAGCCAGAAATGGACCGTAAGGAGAAGGAGGAGCGCCGACGGAGGTGGCAGGCTGTTGTGGAGGCTGCGGAAAAACGCGAGGAGGAACTGAAGAATGGCGGCGGCAAGCAGAAGGTTGACGGCCAGTGGATGGAAGATAAAGAGGAGATGAACGAGAAGGCTAGGGAGGCTGTTCTTGCGGCGATGAAGGATGGTATGTGGACGGACAATCTTCATGATGTTATACGTGATAATATCTTGGGCGGGTCTAGTACGAGTGCTAGCGAGGGAAGTGAGCAGGAATCTGCTTCTGCGTCGGAAGAGAGTGAAGACGAGCAGGAGATGAAGGATGCGCCGGGCCCGTCAGAGCCGGCTCCCAAGTCTGCAGCCCCGCGAAAGTTCATTGGATTTGATGATGACGATGAGTTTATGAGCGATTCTGAGGAAGAGGAAAACGACCAAGCTAATGATGCTGAAGGGAAAGGCAAGGCGAAGGCTTAAATGGGCAGGATGTTCTTTCGATTTTTTGTTTTTCTTTTTCTTGTTCCAGCGTCTAAAAACCCCGGTGTCTCAAGGATATGGATAGTTTATTACTTGTAAATAATTCAACAACAACTGCGATGGTGTTTTCTTCAATCGTAATACTATTCTTTTCAATGGAATCTTATGTTATTGTTCGTAGAATTTCCATGGTTTGCCACGGGACTTGTTACGGAAACCGGAGCGGGTTACCGCCGCTATCAACGCTATCAGTTCAAGCTTTGATCTCTGTCGCATATCACCTCCGATCTTCCAACTTGGAAAATTTTTACCGTCATGTCGCTATATCTTGGGCGCATAATTCAAAGAGCACCTCGATTACGATATATCGTTCCCCACTCTTCGCGCCAGTTGCACCGGCTCCCTGGAGCGCGGTCCTCACAGAGCTTCTTTCTGCACCCGGAGGTGCTGCCCGTTCGGAATGCAGAGGGCCTAATCAGAAAACCGCAGCAACGCCTCCTATCCTCGGGTCCCTCGTTATGTGCGAAATCATCAGAGCTTGCTGACCTTGTTCTACCAGTCTGCTGTCCGGGATGTGGTGCATACGCGCAAACCGTCGAGCCCGGCGAACCAGGATACTACAGCAAAACCAGAAAGCAAACACGGAAGCTCTTGTCCGAGACAACGCAAACAAGTAGCGTGCAGGATGGCGAAACTGGAGAGGTGGCGGATCTGAAGACAGAAGGAGGAAAGGCTGCAGACACAATTCAGCAACTGATCAAAGAGTCAGAGGAAGCGGCCGCTCCTAAACCTGTCCGTACGTGGTGTTTATCCTGTACTCGTAGGGAATGATACTAACAATACTGTATAGATGGCGCTTTGCTTGAAAATGCTGCAGCCACTGCTAAAGAGTACATTGAAAAGTCTCGACCTCCTGTGCAGGTTTGCGATAGATGTCACGATCTCATACACCATAACAAAGCGGTTCCTGCGATTTCACCTACGATATACTCCATTGGGGCTTACCTTGACGAGTCGCCATACAAATATAACCGGATATACCACGTAATTGACGCAGCAGATTTCCCCATGTCTCTTGTCGACAATATATACGAGGCACTTTCCATTGAAGAGCAGCGGTCGCGTAACCGGCGAGCTTCCACCGAGAAATACCGAGGAGGAAAGAAATTACCTACTATCAGCTTCATCATAACACGCTCTGATCTTTTAGCTCCTACCAAGGAACAGGTGGATTCGAAAATGGAATATGTTCGCTCGGTCCTCCGAGAGGCACTTGCTAAGTCGACGGAGGATTTCCGTCTGGGCAATGTGCATATGATAAGCGCTCACCGAGGCTGGTGGACCAAAAAAATCAAGGAGGAAATCAAGAACCACGGGGGTGGTGTGTGGGTAGTGGGCAAGGCTAATGTCGGGAAGAGTAGTTTCATAGAAGCTTGCTTTCCCAAGGATTCTAAGAACCTTGAGAAAATTGCTGAACTGGTTGAGCGTCGCCAAGCAGAGTCGGATATCAGCCCACGCGACGCCACCGAGGTTGACTCTGACAGCCTTCTACCACCTGCCCCCCAGGAAGACCTTTATCCTGTCCTGCCGGTTGTTTCGTCGCTGCCAGGGACGACTGTTTCGCCGATTCGCATACCATTTGGCCGCGGCGGAGGAGAAATGATCGATTTGCCCGGGATGGATCGGGGCGACCTAGCAGACTACGTCCGTGACGAATACAAACGAGACATGATCATGACTAAACGGAGAAAACCAGGACGGTATACGATAAAGTCTGGTCAATCGCTGCTTCTAGGTGGAGGCCTTGTACGAATCACGTCGGTGAACCCTGACGATGTACTGATGGCAGCCTGTTTTATCCCGATCGAGGCTCATGTCACGAAGACTGAAAAAGCCGTTGAAATGCAAGCTGAACAACGTCCTTACCCTGGAGAGAATATCATGATAGAAGGCGTCGGCAACCGAATTACTTCCGCCGGAATCTTTGACCTTAACTGGGACGTGACCCAGTCGCACCTACCAACGACAATCGCGAAGGCAGTGGAAGATAAGGGGGTAAAACCCCCTCCTCTGCCATATAAAGTGATGTCGGCAGATATACTCATTGAGGGATGCGGTTGGGTCGAGCTCACGGCTCAGATCCGTGCCAGGTCCACAGACGGCGAGTCCGCCAGGTCACCGCAGGTTGAGATATTCACTCCGAACGGACGACATGTTGGAGTGCGACGTCCCATTGAATGCTGGAAGTACGTTGCAGAGAAACAGGCGGTGGAGAAACGTAAGAAGGGAGCACGAGGGCGACAAAGTATCGGGCAGAAGAAGCGTGCCCATCATACATCTAAAGTCTGATCGGCCGTACAACAATGTTCCACGGCTGTTATGGGGCTACTGTTATAGTTCCTTTCCAGATTCCTTTCAACATCTGTACAGCATATAGCATAGCGATTGGTGTTTTTGACCGGGGCATTCATTGTGGGGGAAAGATCCACTACTGTACCATTACTCTTGATTATAGATATAGATGTCTCCTATTCAAAAAATTCATATTATACTGAGACTGCCATTAGCTAGAAGGTGTACTTTTCAGTGATGTAACATCCTTCTTTAATTCATTATTAATCAACCAAGAACTCCCCTGAACAATACCAGAAACCGGTGCTAGTCATAAAATATTCACATCAAGCCTGCGTAGGTGTCGCCCTCGGCTACCTCTTCCTGATCTTCCTTGATGTCCTCCTTGATTTTGTCGAATTCGCTCTCCTTTTTGGGGGCCTCATCGCCCTGAGACTCCTGGTGGCCCTGGTGTTGTTCCTGTTCTTGGTGATGGTGTCCCGGGTGGAGGATCCGATCGAAGAAGCCCTGGTGGTGCTGTGGATGCGAATCTGCGGGCCATCAGTCTGGGAGACAGCTAGGCTTGGCAAGGCTTAACCAACCTTCGGACATGGTGGGGGTCTGGTGTGGAAATCAAGTACGTTAGGGCTATCTATATATTTTTGTTCCTTCCCCGGATCGCTCGAGGTAGGTAGAATTTGCTCGAGGTTCAGTAAGGCTGTGTGCTATATACCGGGAGGACTTCTGGTAGAGACACTGAACAACTTAAATGCATATAAGAGCAACCGTCCATGACGTGGGAAAAGCACTGAGCATTCCGTATCGAAGTGCAGGACGTCATGTACCAGCGTCGTTAAGGGACATGAAATTGATTGGGTCAGTAGTAATACTGCATTCGGTAAGGTCGGACCCTCCCCGAATGCATCTCCATCTCAACCACAATTAATCAAAATGACAGAAATAACACGGCTTCCAATTAGATCCCCAGGATTAGGAATGCTGCTCGGTAGTGAGGGGTTTCTCTGATCGCGGCACGGAGTAGCCCCAGTCTAGAATGCGTGCATGCCTGTCCGTATCTCTCATCTTCGCATCAGCAAGCCGCAGTTAGGGTTTCCCATGGGTACTCGACCGAACTCAGAGCTTCGAATGACGGCACCACCCCCCCATCGCCAACCGAACTTCGCATATATACCCCCAATTAAAGCCAATGGGACGCGCGGGAGTGGAATGAACGTCATGCTCTGGCGGTACTCAGAATCGAGGCTACTGCAGACGCCTCTGCATGGCCAACGCAGAAACGTATGTACGCATAATACCCAATGTAATTGGTAGAGCCTTCAGTGGACGAACCCAAAGAGGAACAACTACCATATCGCGTAGTTGATAGTGGGATGTGACGGAGATTTCAGGCTATATAGCTCTGTCAACCCCTCCTCCTGGCCATGGTAAAAGGATTTATCCACTCTACTTTTACTGCTGTACCTATACCATTGACTGCAGATACCAACCTCAACATGGCCGAACGCTACTACACTCTGGCAGAAGGTGATAACCCAATGGAAGATTGAGCTCTAGGCGGCACTCGGGTCCACTAACTGAAGCAGGCTGCCCTTTTGCTAGCAACAGCTCCACCGTTCAACTGCGGAACAACTCTGGTGGTGGCCTTTCGTTGCTCCAAGATACGCAACTCATTGAGACTCTCGCCCATTTCTCTCGTGAGAGAATCCCTGAGCGGTAAGTATCCCTTCCCTCTGTGCATACTGACCCTTAGCTATATTACATAAATACTAACATACACATTCTTAGTGTGGTCCATGCCAAGGCGGCGGGGTAAGTGATACGACTACATATATTGCACACTCAACAACAAACCAAGCTTATACACTCTTAAAACAGCGCATATGGAGAGTTCGAAGCCACCAGCGATTGCTCCGATATTACTTCCGCTAGCTTCTTGAGCAAGGCTGGCAAGAAGTCTCCCGTCCTCCTTCGCGTGTCTACAGTTGGACCTGAAGCCGGTTCGGCTGACACTACTCGTGATGTTCACGGATGGGCCATGAAGATGTACACGGATGAGGGTAACTTGGATTGGGTCTTCAACAACACGGTCGGTATTCTGCAACTATAACGTGTATAACAGAACTGATTTGGTCGCAGCCGGTCTTCTTCGTTCGCGATCCAATTAAGTTCCCTTCCCTGAACCGTTCGCACAAGAGACACCCGACAACTCATCTTCCCGATGCAAACATGGTGAGTAGCCCACATGGTTGCCATTTGGCTAGTGGTAAAATTAATTCAGTGCTAATGTTGGCTGTTTCTATAGTTCTGGGAGTAAGTATACTTGGTTCAGCACACATCAACTCCTCCTGTATTAACACTCTTAGCTTCCACGTCGGTAACCCCGAAGGTATTCATGAGCTTCTTCACCTTTTCAGTGACCGTGGAACACCCAAGTCGATCCGCAACATGAATGCCTACAGTGGACATACATACAAGTTCACCAAGGAGGTAATATGCCAATGCTCTCTGTATTCCTCTATGTGGCCGTTATAACTGACATGCGCGTCAATAGGACGGATCATTTAAATATATCAAGTTCCACATCAAGAGCGCCAACGGTGTTAAGAACATGACCACCGCGGAATCCGTTAAGATCGCAGGTGAAGACCCTGATTACCTCATTCGGGATTTGTATGAGGCCATCGAGAAGGGCAACTACCCCGTGTGGAACGTCTACGTCCAGGTTATGGATCCAGCCGACGCGGAGACATACCGTTGGAACATCTTTGACATGACCAAAGTTTGGCCTCACAAAGACTACCCGCTGAGACAAATTGGAAAGTTGACCATGAACCGCAATGTATGCCTCCAACAATGCCATCCTCAGCTTAGGCAATAATTCAAGTACACGATGCTAATTCGGTCTCGATATAGCCTAAGAACTACTTCACCGATATTGAGCAGGCGGCCTTCTCCCCATCCACAATGGTGCCGGGTATTGCGCCATCGGCTGATCCAAGTAGGTTATTTCTTCACACTGAAAGCATGTCCCGCTTGACTAACTTTTATATCAGTGCTCCAGGCCCGTATGTTCGCTTACCCCGATGCGGCCCGGTACCGTCTCGGAGTCAACTACCAGCAGCTCCCAACCAACGCAGCCAAGGCGCCTGTCTACTGCCCTTACCAGAGAGACGGCGCCATGCGGTTTGACGACAACTATGGCGGTGATCCCAACTACGTCGGCTCGTCCCTGCAGCCCACCAAGTTCTACCAAGAGGTGAAGAACTCGGGAGCCGCCCGACTGAGCGGACTGACCGAGCACGAGAAATGGGTGGGAGAAGTGACCAACTTCCAGAGCCAGATCACGGACGATGACTTCGTCCAACCCGCTGGCCTCTGGGAAGTCCTCGGCAGGGAGCCCGGCCACCAGGACAGAACGATTGCGAACCTTGCGGGCCATATCGCGGGCGTCCGCTCTCCCCAGCTGCGCAATGCGGTCTATGGTATGTGGACATCGATCCCATGTACAACTATTCCTTTTACTGACCTTGTGTAGGACTCTTTGCGAAAGTTAATGCAGACCTTGGTGCGCGTCTCAAGAAGGCAACCGAGGCTGCGGTGTCTGCGTAATTGCAGTAACACTATGACTGTGGCAAGGGATAATTACTATTTCATGAATGTTAATGGTCCTTATGACGAGTGTGATGTGTCTCTAAAACCGGCGCTACAGACTTGATGAGTATGTCATTTAAATAAGTCCCAGGTTAATGACGAATTGAACGTACCTGCAAGCTCCGGATATGAAAATTTGCCTGTACTTCTTGAGGTCCATATAGTACCACGTAGTCTGACCCGGGTTCAATGACATAAAGTGCCTTTGAATCTTTTTTAATATATTTTGCGCTCAATCGGGGCAAATCATACCAGGGGCATCACAAATGTGCCATCCCCCCCGGTCGGGTGCATACTACATCGCCATCCCACAACACTAACAGACCCCAGACCTACCGTTGCACGTCCTCGCCGGCGTAACTGAGCTAGTCCTCTACTTCTGCGACTTCAATTGCGCAATCCTAGCAGTACTAGCCTGCTACGTCCATTCACTCACCTCCCTAAGTCTGGTCAAACGAAAACTAGAAAGAAAGGAAAACAGCTCCAACCTACCAAGAAGGCAGCGCCTTCCGCATGGTGCAAATCCTCCAGGCATACACCTCCCAAGACCCCATCGACTACCATGATGCCATCGTGTCCCTCCACAGCTTCCTCTACGCCCGCATCATCATCTTTCTCCTCGGAACCATGTGCCCCAGCCTCTCATTCTCCAAGAACATCAATTCACGCTTCGTCTACGCCGAGGCTATCTTCGAGAGTGTGTTGATCAGTGCCGGACACTGTACGAAGCCGAGCGCGATATTTGCGTTTTTGTTGCTCGTGCAAGCTATCGGGAAGATTAGTACGTTTGCTGGGAGGAGGGCCTGGGAGGAGAGGTATGTTTTCTCTTTTTCTTCTCTTTTCTCATTTCTGTTTTCCTCGGTAACTACGTCTACAAGGCTGCTAACCTGAATGCATTTTCCAGAACGAAGAAACCACCCCGGGATCCCGGATTGCTAATTAGGGTTCTGCGGTTTGTGGGTTCTTTGAGGACCGTGAGGACTGGGCGGACGAGACAATGGCTTCTCCTGATAAGACTCCGCAGATTGGGAATCTGCCCATGGATATATTGGGACATCAGTATACGAGGCTCGGTTTTGAAGGATGAGCCCGGCAAGAGATTATTAAGGTATGGCGTTTACTGGATACATGTTGTATTTAGTTGACGATGCTCTCATCTGAGTGGAGATATATAGATACTTAATAGATACATATGTGGGCCAGGCTAGTGACAAGGTTGAATATAACTGTCAAGCTGGGGGTCCCTGATATTCGTTTCAATATATGTCTGTAGGCCAACTATAGTTGACTGGTGGTATGCAGAGTCAACGTGGATCTGCCCCTCGTGATCGGTAGCGGAAAGGTTCCATATCAATACTTGGGATCTTGCTAAAATATAAATTATAATGAAACTCTTATAGAAAGACTCTTCTGCTTGTGAGACTCCTCTTACCAGTTATATATGATGACGGGCAGGTGTACTTCACAGTGTTTCAACCTGTGGAGTTCAGTCTAACATGCATATATCGAGGCCAGCATCTCCAAGCAACGCAAAAGACAATACAATCGATAAAACCACGCTAAACCATCACACATGTTAACCATGACATCTCACGATATCTTCCAAGTTCAATCCGACGAAGTATATATCGGGAAACTCATACTGCAAATCACCCGTTTCACGAAACCCTAAATAGCTCAAAGCCCGCTGACATAATGGCAGATCGTCTGTAACTATAACTAACTAGTAGCTCGCAAGGTCCTTTAAGCAGGGATTCAATTGTTTGTGTGTGTGTGTGTGTGTCCTATCTATCGCTCTCTATTAGACTAGGAACAGTGCTTGAATCTCCTACCAGACATCCCTAAAACTAAAATGCTCTCCTCGCGCGGCATCAAGAAGGCCGAATTGCCAAAGATTCCTTGGCGATATGCCCCTCCACATACATACAACAAGCAAAGCAACCCCGCGGGGCTGATCTCATTTGGCATGGCAGAGCATGTACGCCGTTTCTTTGAGAAAGCTATATATTATATATTCACATGGAATCACTAACGGTCAGGTAGATCCCAATGCGGGCGGAGATAGCAAAGTACATTAACAACAAGGTACATACAATAACCCTGAACTCCTCCGATAGGGCTATGCCATCTATACTACTTATCGAATGTCCCAGTTCACCTTCACTGGCAGGTTACATTCACCGAGGACTCAGTTGGCTATGGGTCCAGCTCCTCAACTCCCAATCGTCTGCCAATTGCAGTCGCCGCTCACCTCAACAATATTCTACAGCCGCTTTCACCGGTTGAGCCGGAAACAGTCGTTGTCGCCAGCGGCATCACGGCCATTGGGAGCATGCTCGGCTTCGCCCTGGCCGAGCCCACAGACGGTATCCTAGTCAGTAGACCGGTGTACGGACGCTTTGAACTTGACCATGGGGTTGAGGCAGATGTGCAGATCGTCTATGCAGACACAGATCCCGAGGAGGCGTTTACCCCCGCCGTGGTAGATAAGTACGAGACAGCGCTTCAGCGCGCAGAAGACGAAGGTACCAAGATCCGGGCAGTGTTGATCGTGAACCCGCATAACCCTGTAGGTAAGTATGATCCATGGAAAACCCTCACCGCAAGCATGGTGAGGTGCACAGTATTCAAGTCCCCTGAACAGAGCACTAACCAGCACCAGGGCGCTGCTACCCAGCAGAGACACTGAGGGCAATCCTCCGGTTCTGCAATAGACACAGCCTCCACCTCATCAGCGATGAAGTCTACGCATCCTGTGTTTTCGACTCGGGAGACCCGCGCGCCGTCCCTTTCACCTCGGTCTTATCTATCACCACACCTGAACTCATCGACCCTGATCTCGTCCACTTACTCTATGGCTTCAGCAAGGTACGCCATTCCCGTCCACTGATCCCAATCTAATACCACTTGCCATCGCAAATTGATACACAGGAACCAGGACTTCGCAGCCGGAGGCCTCCACCTCGGCTTCTTGATCACGCAAAACACGGCCCTCCGTCAAGCGTGCAAAGCCATCTTGTCAGTTCCCTCCTCCCAATACCCCATCCACATCACACCAGCTAAGATGTAATACATATACAAAGGAGACTCCACAACGCCTCAACAGCCTCCATCACAATCGGGGCAACCATCCTCGAAGACCAAGAATTCATGACCCAATTCACCCAAATAGCTCGCCAAAGCCTGGCATCAACATACCGACTCGCCACAGCAACACTCACCCAAGAAGGCATCAATTATGTCAAACGAGGGTAAGACATACCTCCTACCCCGGTCCTCTTTGCTTTATCCCCCCTATCAAGCCCCCACCACCATGCCAAAACTTGTATATGCGCTGCTGATAGCCTCCAGAAATGCGGGTTTCTTCATCTACGTCGACCTCTCGCCCTACCTTCCTTATCCTGATCGTCCGGTCCGAGAGCGCGAGTTTGCCCTGGCGCAGAAGTTCCTGGACGCCGGGGTGTTTTTGCATCCGGGTGAAGAGCATGCGATGGAGGCGGGGTGGTTTAGGCTTGTGTTTGCGCATGAGGAGGAGGTTTTGAGGGAGGGGCTGACGAGGTATGTTTTTTCTTTCTTTCTTTCTTTCTTCCTTTCTTTTCGACTTTCTCTTTTAGTTCCTGGGGGGGGGTTTGGCTGATGTTGAGGGTAGGCTGATTGGGGTGTTGAGGTCTGTTTGATGATTTGTAGCTGTTTAATAGATCCAGGTATTACTTGTAGTGGTTTATTTGACTAGAGTATGAACTTTACGAATGAGTCGATGATTTAAACGATGTCATAACAACCATTGCATTCTTCATATTCTTTTAATTTATAGGTCTTTCGCATGCGGATCTAAATATGTATGATCAACTCTTTTCAGTTACTCTCTTCGATGTTGGTGAATTGGAAAGTGGGTTGACCAGGGACGGCGTTCTCGGCCGTGAGACCCTCTCTCTTTTCACCGGAGCCAACGACCTCACCGGTCTTGCCACCCTCTTCAACAGCGATGATCTCAATCACCTTGCAGCCTGTTGTCTTTTGCAAGTTCACGAGCATCTCCTTGAGGACGGCGAACTCATCGAACGGCAGCTTCCGGCTAAAGACGGTCTCGGGCTCCTCGCGGCTCTGGATAAGACGTCTCTTGAGGGTCTGGACGAAAGGCATGGCCTTCTTCATCTCGCCCATCTTGCCGACCTTGGCGTTCAGCTCCTTGTCGTTGATGGAGAGGTTGAGACCATCGAAGGCCTCGCGGACCAGGTCGATGTACTTCTCCTGCCACGAGGGGTACTTCTTGGCAGCGTAGATTGTGAGCTTCTTGGGCTTGCGGGGGTCGTAGCCAGCGCTCTTGCCCTTGGAAGCCTTCTTGGCGAGCTGAGACTCAGCAGAGGTGATGCTGGAGGAAGTGGCCCGGACATAGGTGCTGATGGCTGTCAGCTCCGGTGATTGCTCGGGAACTTCGGGGAAGCGAGCGTGGTGAATAGACTCGGGCTGTATTGTAGGTGATGTTAGTTATGCTCTTCCAATGAGGTCGAAAACCACTTACCTTCTTCAGGATCTCGAGCCAAACGTATTCGGCCCAGTGAGGAGCAATGACAGCAAGCATGAGGGCTTGCAGCTCGATGTAGCGCAGGATCACATCACGGTGCATACCAACACCGGCTGATGTCGAGGCCTCACGGTAGGCATCACGGGCACTAACCAGGTCGTACAGACCAGATTTCAAGGCGAGCTTAAAGTCGGTGCTACGGTGATGTTAACGCTTGTTCATCATGGGGTACAGGGGAGGAGAATGATGTCTTGTAGCTTACTCTTGGTAGTGCTTCCGGGCCTCACGAACCAATCCATTCATCTCGTTGTTGAAAATCTTATCCCAGAATGCATCAGCGGGGCCAGTGCGCAGGGTTTCATCCTTGGAAATCTCCTCAACCCATTCCTTGAGGGTATGCAGTCTCAGAATGTTACTGTTAGCAACGGTCTCATCGAAGTTAGCGTCCTCGATACCATCACCGGCGTCGGCGAACGCAATACGGGTAGCGTCAGCGCCGAATTTGTCAACACTGTCCTTCAGTGTGAGGAAGTTACCAGTGCTCTTGCTCATCTTCTCGCCGTTAAGAAGCAAGTGTCCGTTCGCGCGAACACCGCGAGGCCAATACTCCGGTGGGAAGAGCGCAACGTGGATGTAAAGGAAGAAGGTCAAGTGGTTCGGGATGAGGTCCTTTCCGGAAACTCTAACATCCAACGGGTACCAGTACTCGAATTCTCTGCGCATCTGCTGCAAACCTTCCTTGCTAATTCCGCTCTTCGAGATCAGCTCGTCGCTAAGCTCACGTCTTGTGAATACATAATCCCAGACCTCGTCGATCATCTGCTCAGCCTTCACGTTCAAGGGACCGAGAGTCTGACCGTAGCGGTCACCGTGCAACAAGTGGGCAATTGTGTAGTAGGCCATGTATACGGTACTGTCACTCAGACTCTCGACGAGGAATTGAGGATCCCATGGCAGCTTAGAGCCCAAACCATAGGTTCTTGCGCAAGCCCAGCGGTTGAGCCAGTCAAGGTTCTTCTCGAAGCCATGCTTGGTCTCGTTGGTGTATGTGTTGAGGGTGTTCACGACATGGTTCAGTGTGTCTTTTTGCCACTTGGCGTCGTTCTCTCCGTAGTTCAGGAACCATTGACCGAGGTACGCAACTACACAGTCATCCCCGCTTCTGCTGACGACCTCTCCCATGGGATCGGCAAAGGGGAAAGCATCACCGCTCTCGTAAAGGGCCTTACGGATCTTGTCCTTAGCAGCGCTCACAGGCTCACCCTTGTATTCACCAGCGACCATAGTACCCTTGTAGAAGGCTTCACTGTATGCCAATTCCTTGGCCTTTGCCAGTTGGGTAACATCCTTAGGAGAGTTGATCTTCAGCTGCTTAACAAGGGCAGGGGCAGTAAGGTTGCCATAAGTTGGGGTGTCAATGAGAGGGAAGATCTCCAGCTCGGCCCACTCCTTCTGGATTCCATAGTACTCGGGTTTCTTGGCAAGATCAGCCAAGGTAGCATAATCATCAGGGCTGTCAGAAGGCACAGAGGTGACGACACCGGTACCCTTGCTGGCAGAAACGCTCTCCATAGGCAGAATTCGCACACCTTCGGTGTGGAGTGAGAGCGGAGCGTTAACAAGTGTACCAACATAGGCGGATCCTGGAGCCTCCGCGACGATCGGTAACTGATCCTGAGTCTTGGGGAAGTTGTCACTGCTAAAGAAAGTGCCCTGGAAAGCCATGTTCCATGCGGCCCGCTTTGTGCAAACGTAGTATTCCTTTTCCTTCACCTTGAAGATACCATAGTTGATCTTAGGGCCGAGGAAGCAGCAAGTCTGGCCATACATCGTCTCTGGGCGCAGAGTAGCAGGAACAAAGTACACACTGGCATCCTCCTCGATCTTGCCCTTGACGATCTCGGCAATCTGTGGGGCCCATTCCTTCACCTTCAGCTTCATAGCGGTATATTCCTGGGGTCCGACACCTTCACCCTTGGTCCGGTCGTGGTCCATGCAAGGCTGTCCGTCCTTGGGGGAATAGATAGTGTACCGGCTACCGTACTGGATTTTACCGAGCTCATGGAGACGGTTCATCTGCCAGCGCACAAAGGCATCGTAGTAGGGGTTCGCATCAGTGGTGACCATCTGACGACGCCAATCAATTCTGGCGCCAAGGCTGTCAAGATCACGGATGGCCAGGGGAGGGAAGTGGTGGAGCCAGTAACCAGCGTCGGCAAACTTGTGGATTTCGTCCAAGGGAATACCGATCGCCAACATGATCTGGAACTGGTACTTCATCTTCACGGTCTTGGCGGCGGCCTTGCTCTTCTTTCCGGAGAACTTCTCCTGTTGCTCGTTCTTGACTTCCTGGGTGGGGGCAGCAGGGGCCTTCTCCTCCTCCTCAGCCTCTTCCTTGTAGCCCTCGAAGTTCTGTCCGAATTTCTTGACCTCATCGGAAAGCTTATCCGCGCACGCCTTGATAGGCATACCGGTACAGTGGAAACCCAGGGGGAAAAGAGCCCTCTTACCATCCATGCGGGCAACACCGGCCATGAACTCGACCTTACTGGCAGTGAAACTGTGACCTGCGTGCAGGGTACCGTTCATGTAGGGGTAAGCCATGGTTCCGAAGAACTTGGGATACTTCTCACGAAGCTCCGCGGCGGACATGGAGCCCTCAGGAACCTCTGCGAAGGAGGGAGCATCGACCTCGAAAACCTTGTTCTCCTTCCATTGCGCCTGGTATTTCTTCTCGATAGCGATAAGGGTATCTCTCTTCTCGGTCTATTTCGGGATCCACCAATTAGCACCGTATGGACAAAGAAAGCTGGGGGAGGAGGGGTAGGATATAGAACATTTTCGAGTTTGAGGGTGTTTTTTGCGCCGGCGCTCGGGTCGAGCGCAGCTGCGGAAGCAGCAGCGGCTGCCATGGCTCTTAATGAATGGTTTGCTGTCTTGCAAACTCAACTGAAGAGCTGAACGGGAGTGGATCAAAAGTGGTTTTTATAACTCTGCCGCGGGGTAAGACTTTATCGATGTTCTGAGTCAAAAGATTATGTGGGAATCGGACCCCGGCAGTACATTCCCCACCGCCTTCCCCATTCATCACAGAATCAATACAACATGGCTCTCTTATCGTTCTACCATGAGTCAAAATTGAAGCAGATATTCATCGTTGCAAATGACTCATAAATGCGGCTTTCTCGCCTATATTAAAATAAACTATCGTTAGATAAGAAACGCATTGGATGGCGTGCGCGTCAGCAATTGGTGCGAGAACAAGGCCAGATGTATAGTCACATGACCACCCTATCGGACCGTCTCAATCTTTCCGCCGACAGGCCAAAAATCGAGATGAGCTCCGAGCAGCACTCTATCTAATTCCGCTCGGGACTGTTGCAGCTGATCGATCCCCGGGTCGGCTAACCTTTGCAATCTTTTAAAGCCCCTTTTTCGACCGTTTCTCTAAAGTCAAAGCGCGTTGCGCCTTCCCCGTCATCATGGTGAACGTCTTCAAGCGGATGCGGAAGCTGAAAACCGTAAGTTGGCCAACACCATTGCTTGCATCTAAATGAATGTCAGAGGCTGACTCCAGGTTGTAACCATTTGCAGAGGGTAATGCTACCAATGAACAAATCTCCTACACTACCATTGCTCCAACTTTTCGGCAAGATCGCGGCGGCATCCAACGCTCAAGTCTATCTTGCAACGACGACAACAGGAGAGGCCCGTTTATATCAAGAAGCGCATGATCTAACTTGGCTTTTCAACAGATCCTCAACGTCCGTGTAGGAACTGGTGCCGCCATTTTTCCTTCTGCTACCTCTGCGACCCAAGAATTCCCAGCAATCACCCGTTTACACCTCACATACGCCCAAAAGATCTATGGCGGTCATCAAGGCGCACGGCATTTCTGGCGCAACTGTCTTCCCCGGCTCAAGTACCACAACCCAGGTCTTCAGATGACCGTGAAGCAGACACAAGAACAAGAGGGACCGGCAGCCTTGACGATATACTTCGCAGAGCGGGCGAGCAATGCCGCTTCCTTGACCGCGGCCAAGGTCGAGGATAAACATGCCCCGGCGCCGGAGTCAACAGAAAAGACAGCCATTCTGGATCTGAAGAACCTCGATTACAAGGAGATCTGGAATAAAGTTAAGATGGTGACCGGGGCCCAGGAAGTGCCTGCTACTTCCGAGGAGGAAGCGGAGCTGCAGAAGCTGGAGCAAATGCGTCAGCAGTCGGAGAAGGACCGGGTACGGCTAGCCGCTATCCGCCAGGCCAAGAAGGATCAAGAGCGGATGTTACAAGAGGCTCGGGGAGAAATTGAGAAGCTGAAGCAACTGTAAGTCTAGTAAAAGACTGTTTGGGGTTGCAGGAAGACGTTGGGCATGATCAACTGTAGCATAGCCTTTTTCCTTTTTTCTTTTTTCTTTTGAAATATGTAGTTCTAGATGTCTCTTTTGTGATAAATAATGGCTTAACTTTCCCCTGTGATCTTGAGGGATAGATACATCGTCAGGATATCATCAAAGCAAAGATAAAGCAACGAGCCTTTGTGTATATCGGGCTCATTGTATACAACCAAGTAGAAATATAAGTCACATCAGCAACATAACTTTCCCACCCCGCGCCCTGTATAGTCTCCATATTCAAATGTCCCACTCATAAATAGCAGGCCAAGATAAAATTCCCGTACGCGAGTCATTCTTAAACATTCCTAAACTCCTGAATACCCACGAAGCGCGCATCACCTGTCAATTCAAGCATGATCTGGCGTATAGCTCGTCTCGCCTAGCATGCTCTGGCCTGCTGATACAGTCGGTGTTGCAGTCTGAGTTTGGCCTGATCCCTGTAGATTCTGTGGAGATGGGGAATGCGCTCTTCCGGCAGCAGCAGCTTGAAGTCTCTGATCCAAAGCCTTGAGAGCTAATGCCCGTCTCCGCTCCGCCTCTTCACGCTTAGCCGCCCCCCTCGTTCCTCCTCTCTGGCTGTTAAGCAGAGAGGGAAGGCCGGCCTCCCCTCTCGCAAGAACTTGTTGGTTGCCTGATGCAATATCTTCCTCTGAAAATGGGGTGCAGATCTTCAATGCGACTAACAAAGAGTAAAACTGCTCCGAAACAAACGAAATCGGAGGTTGGATTGCGTCTGGGAAGAGACACGCGAATGCAAACGTCTCACTTGCGTCTCCCTTGAAGCCTAAACCGTCGGTAGATGTGCCGGTCAAATCCGGCTGCCGTTTAAAAAATCGAAGGTAGGTCCAACTTGCCAGCAGGCCGAGCCAGGAAAGTGTTGCCGCCACATGTGTTCCAAATATTATACCACTGATCGTGTTTAGCAGCAAGAAAAGCGCCGGGAAATGCTTCACCCGCATCTTCACTAGGCCTTTGAATATAGTCACAGTATGCTCGGGAACAAGTTGCTTGAAAGCCACAAGGAAGGAGGCTTGGATCGATATGCCACCGCATATTTGGGTTACGCTTGGAGATGGGGAGTCAGTAGGGAAGGCGCAGGAGGTTGTGCATTCGGTATCGGAAAACAAGGCATACCCGCTGGTCGAACCACCCCTGATGGTAGTTCCTAGAAGATAAAGGGGCACAATCGTTACGTTCGGGATCACCGCGATGGCCAGAATGAATTTTGCAAACTCTCGGGAACCCCAAGCGCGCTCTAGGTACTTGCCCCCATAGAACAGGGTGGCGCCGTTCAAGAGAACCGTAAAGATATTCTGCTCCACAAAAATCGCGGTAAGGAATGTCCAGGGGTAGTGAAAGAACTCGGATGGGACGAGAGTTAGATAGGGTACAACTGGAGTGGTCAAGGGGTGGCCCCCCGTGGCATCAATTTGCCGCCATCGGGCAATATTGTACAGGAGGGAGAGAGTGAGCAGGCTGATGAGACAGGTACGGGTTGCAGGAGGGATATTGACTCGGAGCGCCATTGTGGGAAACGAGCTCTTGCGGCTGCTGGTGTCCACGCAGACCGCGGGCTGTCGATAAAGCCCGACTAGGGTATTAAGTGGCAGAGGTTGATGTTGATCAATCGCAGTTCGGAGTGGATTTCGGGCCAAGCAGCACTTCCGTCTTGGGTTTGGTTCGTTGTTTGGCTCTGATCGATCGCCTTCCTTTGATTGGATACCCTATTTTGCACATCCGCCCGGGGAAATAACAAAGGTGACCACCTGAGGCACCATATTCCAGCCTTGGCGCCTAAGGTATACTTTTCTAACGACCGAGGTAAAAGGGGTCTGAAAAGTTATATTTTTTGTGCGTATGTACATACATGTCAAGGTGCTAAACTCTTAAGGCGCCTAAAAAAAGAAAAAAGAAAAGAACCCCCCCCATTCCAAATCGTGTCGCTTTAAAGTTTCAAACAATAAACCCACGCCTGACACCCACCGTTTTGATTCAGTGACTATTAGATCATTTCTGGCCATCTCGTCTTGGCAAGGCTAAGACTTGTCGCTCTGAAACACGGTGTATTTCAAGAAATCGGTACTGGGCAGAGGAAGAAATAGATGTCATAGAGGCGCAACCCAGTGACAGCAGCTCCAGTGATTGGTGCAGTCACCTGCAGTTGTGAATATCTGCCCAGTGTATGTAAAACATGGCTTGGCTAAAGTCTTTTTGAATTTTATAAAATGGTAGCTTGTCACCCCGATGGTTACCGCAGGAAATTGGAGTTTGGCTCCTTGAATGAGAGCTATTTGTATCTTTTTGGAAATTCAGATCTATGGAACGAGCTTTTTCCTTCCTCTTTCCGTCCAATAGGCCCCCTAAGGCGTAATTAATCAAGCAGGTCGAGAAGATGTAATGTGGAACATCAAAGGTCAAAGGTGTCACAGCCGGTCACCATGTGGCTGAAAAGTGTTAAATTGACATTGCAAGCACAGAATGGGAAAAAAAAGGAATGGGTCAGGTCTCCGCCTGTTGGACGCATCCGCCATATGCCGTAGAGGGAGGGAAATAAGAATAGGAGGGAAGAAATATTAAAAAGGAAAAATAAAAAAAGGACCACTAGAAGTTCTTGAGGAACCCGATCAATATTAGTCATTGAATTAAATTCAGTTTATTAGAGTAGCTCCGAGGATCTGGCAGTTGTGCTAATTTTCCTAGTAGTAATTACTTATATTTAAGCGTACATTTACCATTTCAGATGGTTATTGTTGGTATTATAATTGTCATTGTTAGATGCCCATGTAATTTCAGGCCGGTCTGATCCTAAGCGCTTGGAAGAACATTTTCTTATTTATTTTAATTTAATTATTTTCTTTATATTTTCCCTCAAAAAATATATTTTAGATTTTTTTTTTTTGAAAAGTGCAACTAAAAGAAGGATAATAATGATTATAAAAAAAAATAGAAATACTAGTATGTCCGTTAAGTAGGTACACTACTAGTACTGCGTGGCCCTGTGTAAATCACACTGTAATCGACCCGCAAAACGCTAGGTCCCGAAGCAGACAAGCGCACTGGCCGATCATTTGCCCGTCAGAACCACCCAAGGGGACCGGTGGATTTCCCAACTGCACGCTAAGTCGTGGGCCGGACGCCACAACGAGTCAAGCCAAAAGTCCAGGTCGCCAAAGTCAAAATCGGGTTTGACTGCGAAGTGACTGGCAAAGGGTGCCGGCTTCCTCTGAAACAGCGTCCCAGAGCCGCCTGGAGAAATTCCTCTGAGCCTTTTCCTTTTTTCCCACTCTCTAAACTCAACCTGGCTTGTTGGTTCGAGATTTGAAGACTACTACCTCACTTTCTTCCTCTTCCATTTCCCTTCTTCCCTGCTCGCAGTCACGACAACCATCTGATCAATCTGCCTGTACCTTACTATTACCCTGCAGAAGTGGTGGTGATCATCATTCCTTGACACGCTTGCCCTGCTTTCCTTTTTATTTTTATTTTTATGTTATTTTTTTTAATTACCTTTTTTTTGCCCACTTGCTTTTCGTCGTCCCCGTTCTGGAGTCCAGCCCTCCAGTTTGTCCACCCCCCCCTCCCGTAACCGTACTGGTACAGCTCCAACCTTTGCAGTTCGCTAGCGGGTCTGCTATCTCAAGCCACACGTTGGTGTCGATTTCGACCCGTCTCGATATTCATTCTTCACTTTCTCTTTTCAACTCTTGCGGCTTCTTTTCCACAACCCCCCTTGTTTTAACGCTGTTCAAGGGTCTCATTAGAAACCTCACTCATCCTCTATCTACCCTTTAATTGACGATCTAACCCCCGGCATTTGCACTCCACCTTAACGCTCTGCATTATATCCCATCCCATCCCCTTCAACTACGATTTTCCTTGTCACGCCTTGGCTGCGTCCGGCCCAGTTTTTGGCACTCACGCTCCTTTCCGACGCCGAACTGGACCTTCTCGCCATTCATCCTGGCGACCCAGAGAGAGAAATCTGTAATATCAGCAGACCGGTCCCTTCGGTTTACACGGTCTAATCTCGCCTATATCTCGGGATTCTCGCATCTTTCAAATTCTCGATCATCCACCATTATCCTTCTGCAATTTGTTTAGCGGAGGTTCCTGTTATTATTCCTGGCATGCTAGCGGATCCTCCACCTTACTAGCTGTCATACATGTAACAATGTCACATCCTGATCTTACGTCGCATCATGTCAACTACCTAATCTGGAGGTACGTTCCTAACTTCAAGGTTCTCTGCCGACACCCGAGTGCACCTCTGATAGCTCATGATAACCCCCCTGATGTTTATGTTCCTCGTACATGTCACTGACGTTTAGGCTCTAGGTATCTTCAAGAATCAGGTTAGTTTCAACCCGTCCTTTTTTCAATCCTAATCCTCATTTTGTATTTTTATCTTTATCTCCCCCTCTTTTTTACGCGTTTCTTCGTATCCTCGTTTGACAGGACTCAAGGTATCCTGCAACAATCAAGATTCTCATCTAACCTACATCGCAGGTCACGGTGAAGCCGCAGTGACACTGCAGCGCGCATGGAATCACGACCCACAGAGCTTACCTTTCGCTCCTTATATAAAAACCCATGCGTTGGTGTCTTTGGTGCAAAAGGGTCTCCAATATCACGAGCTCGAACAGTCACTCGATAAGGCACGTTACCTTGCTCTGCCGGATCTAATGATTTTGTTTCCCGGTGGATCCTTTTTATTCTCTCTTCAATTAGTGTCTTCTAAGAATGTCTGTCTACCAATGACTAATGAGTTTTACAGGATGGGAATCCGAGGCCCTTTTCACCTTCAGATTATTTCTTTGGACCAGCGGTGCTGGAAGCGGAACCGCGGAAAAGTCAGGGTGGCCCGAGTGAAAATGGCACAGACCAGGCGCCTGTCTCGCCCACGAGTAAAGTCGCGCGCGACAGCGTGATCAACGGTCACTTGACAGGCGAATCTGCGACACCTCAAGTTATCCCCAATGCTAAGAAAAGCCGCAAGAGTGACCGCGCAGAGACCAACGGGGACGAAATTCCAATGGAAATTGATTCAAATGGTGTTGCAAATGAGACGAAATCCGCAGTGGCTACATCGCCATCCTTGGCCGATGCTGTGGATGGGGATGGGGACGTGAACATGGGTATCCGACCGGATTCGCAAGACCAGGAGCCAACCGCGGCGCCGACTTTCACCTTGACCAACGGCCACAGCGTTGGCGTCCAGATCACCCCCGCCAAGGCTGCCGACCTTAGTCCCGATACCGCCGTCTTGAATGTGGCTGATGAGTGCCACGTGACTCGCGCATTGTGGCGTCCAAACGATCCCACTGTTGTCGTTGCAGTCGGCGAGTCGTTCTGTAGTCTATGGAAGATGCCGTCATCTGCGAGTCCGGTGCAAGAGAAGCTTGTGGAGGGTAAGGGCGATAGTATCTGCGTCTCTGCGGTCGCATGGGACCCTACGGGCCAGAAATTGGCCGTAGCCACATACAATGACATGAGAGGGTCTATCACCATGTATGATGTGGCCGGGAATGCTGTTGACCTCCTGCCCGAAGTACCTAGAATGATCACTGGGTTGCATTGGACCGAGAGCGGCACCCATTTGATTGTTGTGGCATCAGATAGTAAAGTCTCCGAGCTGGCTCTCTGGGATGATTCATTGCGACCGGACGAGTTCCCCTCTCCACAGGTAATCGACGGGTCAGTCTATGACCTCAGCTGGCTTGGACGCAATGTAGCATACGCTTCGGGTAATGGAACGGTCTACCAGTGTGATGTCGACTCGAGCATCCACATCTCCAAAACATATACCAGCGAGACCGATAGACCTTGGACATTTATTCGTTGCGCAAATGCCAGTTCCTCCTCGGTGGCAGTGGCTGCATCGTCTGCTGCAGCTGCATTCTGGATCCCAACGCACGACATGCACCTCGATGGTGCACACGAAGGGGATATCACGGCAATAGAGCTTAAGCCAAATACACTGGAGCAACCACAAACGAACCATCCGCTGGTTGTAGCCTCTTCATCCACCGATGATACAGTCAAAGTATGGCATATTGATCTGGACGCAAAACGATTTGATTGTATTCACCGTCTGTTCCTCGGCCCATCTTCGCCCGCCCTCGCCAGCAGTTTCTCTCCGGACGGTTATGCTCTGGCTGCTGCAAGCAAGGAAAAATTGTTCATCTGGAATTCGCAGAGGGGTGGCACTGCAATGGCTACTTGGACCGTGCCTGGTACCGACGTAACAAAGATCGAAGAAGGACAGAATCACTTGACCAATGGACACAATGGAACCGCCGAACCAATACCGGATCGCTCTCTTGCATGGGATACTGATGGTAAACGACTCGCTTTTGGCTTTGGCAAGCAGGTATGTTGTCTATCGTACCCAGTTGGAGATTAACAGGCTGACTGACATTGGGTAGTTGGCTATTATAAACATGCAAAGTTGAGACTTTACGAACCGCGAATACGTGATGTTGGGCTCGAACGCAGGAATATCTAACTACACCTTGATGATGCACTCGTATGCGCTCTTACACCTTTTCACTACATAAATTGTGATATCCTTGTCAACGAATGCAACCGGAAACTATACCTTACCTTTCGCTCTTGGACTTCTGGATCGTTTGCTACCAGGCCGCCTGATCGATCTCCGGCCAAATCATTCCTGACATTTATATGCGGTTAGGTGGAGCGCAAAACCAAAGCTGATCAACAACTAGCAATCAGCGCCGCTTCAGAACGTTCTTGTTGTGTTCTTTCTTCTTTCAGCATTCTAATTTATTCAATAACCATTTGGTTAGATGATCCATATAGGCGCAGACTCGGGGTTTTCAACAGAAAAGCAGTCAATTGCGGTTATAGTGGGTTACGGTGGGCACATTGGCGCATTCTATTCTCTTAATTCTCAACTGTACCATTGCTTCTTGGTCGGCATGATTACTGAATGTCAGAATCTTCCTTTCTTTTGGGTTTTGCATCAGTTTTGCGGCAAATCCTCGGTTTCCGTCTTCTTACATCGGAGTCGCTTCCAGCCGAATCTAATCACAAACCTGGCAACTCGGCGTTCCCAGATCATATGATGGTGTTTTTTTATGTGTTATCCGCAGGGTCTGTGGCTAATCTAGTACGCCTTTGCCTTTCTTCCCGTCTGTCTTGCCGATCTCTTTCACGAACGCGGAAACCTTCTTCGACATCTTTCCAGCCACGCATCCACGCGGTTATGCCCTCTAGAAGTGCTTCAGCATCGGACTCATAACGCTCTTCGGGCTTACGCCTCATCCACCGCTTTGCTTTATTTTGTCGCGATGCTCCCAGTTTACGTTCGTTCTGCCATCCGTTAACCCAGGCCTCGAGTCCGCAAACCGTACCGTGAAGTGCTTCACGCTCTGCTGAGCCTTCCATTATGTCTGTTTCCCTGTGTTGGAGAAAATTACGCATTAGCCTAGGAATGGAGGTGACAGTTTGGCGGATAGCTTACAGCTCGTGGACCTCATTTTCCAGCTCCGATATCCGTCGCGACAGCCCCTGGCATTCGCGCTTAAGAAGGTCATATATTTGGGACGATTCTTTGCGGCGTTGGTCCAAATCGACATTTAATGCGGTTACTTCATTCAAAAGAGCTATGAGTTGCGAGCTCGAAGGCTCAAAGGCGGATGAACCACGATCCTCCATCGGGACAGAGCAGGAGGCTGCGGAAGCCACAGGGTGTGAAGTTTCAGGGTAGATACGCGTGGGGCGGCATTTGACGACCTCCTGGGTGAGTTTTGGCCGCGGGTCCAACAGGGCTTCCAGAGTGTTGAGGCAGTGGTGGACCGTGGTCGTATCCTCACTTGACACGTCGGCATTCTGCGAGATCATGTGAGCTATTTTGGCAAGCCGTTGTGGCAGAGGCATTGCGTCCTCGCCCGCGTTGTGGACATCCGAGGAAGGCGTAGGGCGCGACATATCCGTCTCCCAGGTGTTTTCCGGAAGGGAATGCGGAGGTGAAAGCTGATCCAAGCGAGCCGGGTACGGTGAACTCTCCATGACCGATTACTTCCCTGTATATATTGGTACTTCTTTCTCGTGCTATTTGGCCGTTCTATTGCATATGTGTGTAGATAAGTACACGGATAGGAATATTGATTTGCTGCAAGTATGCGTAGGTACCGGACGTAATGTATAGTATGTTTTGAGGTGTTTGGACCTATAGAAGAAGTGCGTCGGACAAATAGCAACTTATCGAACCTCCAAGAACAAGGGTAGCAGCGACTGAACGAGACTAGTCATGTATTATCGGACTTGGGGAAGTCAGTCTGTTATATAGATTAGATATATAGGTATAAGATGAGAGCAGGTGGTTCCCAAAAACGCCTATGCGCGACCGATTCGAATGGTACCAAATAAAATGCGAATGAGTGAATAGAGGCAAAAAGGATTCTTTTGTCATAGTCCGAGAGGAAAGGCTGCAGAAAAAGACGGTCAGATCGTCATTGCCAATTGATAATAATAATAATGCTCAGCCGGGAGACTATTCCGTATTGGGCTTCCCATGGAAACGCGCCGGCCAAAAAAGTTGGCTGATAAGTGATGGGGTTAAGAAAAAAAAATACCAAAAAAAGACAAGAAAACGAAACAGCAAAAGAAAAAGAAATTTGGGATCTTGACTGATTTAAACGGAGCCCATTCCGCTTTCCTCCTTCTTTCCCAGTTGTGAGGGCAACGTTGCCGCATTGATTTAATTGATCTGATTTTAGCGATTTCGATTTACCTTTATCTCCGTTCTCTCCATTCAGTTTCACTTCTACTCTTCCACTTCCGCCGCATACAATTGACTCAGAATTCATTGGCACCGTTAGATTTGATAGGATGGCGCCCCCTGTGAGTATCTCATCTTACTCATCATCTCTTTTCTCTTCGTCCAGTCTTCTATACTCCCCGGTTGAATAAAACGAGCTTGTGCTAATGCCGCCGAATGGTATGACTCAGATTACTGTAGTGCCGTCGCTTGAGGCAGCAAAGGATGCAGTTAGCCACTCGAAAGATGCTCAATATCCTCCCAACCTACTCCCACTTACTGCATCTATCCCCGCCGACCTGTTGACGCCCACAGTGGCATATCTGAAGGTTGCCGAGAAGTGAGTTCCTACTCCGGAGCCGTCCGCCCCCTCTTGCCTATGGCGGGGTAGCTGATACGACCAACTCTTGCACAGATCCAAACTATCATTCCTCTACGAAAGTGCTGCGACCACGGAGACAATTGGGAGATATAGTTTTGTGGGAGCTGGTATGTATACTTGCCCATCATGGTCACCTTGCTGAACCTACTATTAACCTGTGCATCTGCGACGCGGTGAAGATCCCCGCAAAGTTCTCAAGACCGGCCCCGGCCATGGCCCCGAGTGCGATCCTCTTCCGATCCTGGAAAAGGAGATCGCTGAATATCGCGTTGCGACGGTACCCGGCTTGACGCTACCACCACTCACGGGCGGTGCTATTGGTTACGTCGGATACGACTGTGTGAGGTACTTTGAGCCCAAGACGGCCCGGCCTCTCAAGGATGTGCTTGGAATCCCAGAGTCGCTGTTTATGCTGTTTGATACCATTGTCGCATTCGATCACTTTTACCAGGTCATCAAGATCATCACCTTCATTCCTATCACATATGTCGACTCGGATTTCGAAACTGAGTACCGGAAAGGCGAAGACGTGATCAAGCACACTATCGAACGACTCCTCCGACCCGAGACCCCGCTACCTCCCCAAGGTCCGATCATTCCCAACCAGGAGTACACATCCAATATCGGGCGCGAGGGGTACGAGCGGCACGTGGTGAAACTCAAGGAGCACATCTCCAAAGGCGATATCTTCCAGACTGTACCATCACAACGGCTGTCGCGTCCTACCTCCCTCCACCCATTCAACCTCTTCCGTCACCTGCGCACAGTCAACCCATCTCCATACCTATTTTACATCGACTGCGAAGACTTTCAGCTCGTTGGTGCTAGTCCGGAGCTTTTGGCGAAGGAGGAAAAGGGCCGTATCATTACCCATCCCATCGCCGGCACCGTCAAGCGTGGCAAGTCGCCCGAGGAGGATGAGGCGCTCGCAGAGGAGCTACGAGGAAGCCTGAAGGACCGTGCGGAGCATGTCATGTTGGTGGATCTGGCACGTAATGATGTTAACCGCGTGTGTGACCCGACCACCACCCAGGTGGACCGGTTGATGGTGGTCGAGAAGTTCTCGCATGTGCAACACCTGGTGTCACAAGTATCGGGTATACTGCGGCCGGATAAAACTAGGTTTGACGCGTTCCGGTCCATCTTCCCTGCCGGCACGGTCTCCGGGGCGCCCAAAGTGCGAGCTATGCAGCTGATTGCCGAGTTGGAGGGTGAGAAGCGCGGAGTGTATGCTGGCGCGGTGGGCTATTTCGGATACAACATCGCCAGCACGGACGGAGTAACAGAAACGCCGGGTGCTATGGATACCTGTATTGCACTCCGAACGATGATGGTCAAGGACGGGGTGGCCTACCTCCAAGCGGGTGGTGGAATTGTCTTCGATTCGGACCCGTATGACGAGTATATCGAGACAATCAATAAATTGGGCGCCAACATTGCCTGTATCAAGGGGGCGGAAGCGAAGTATTTGAGCATGGAGGGAGAACAATCCTAGACTCATATGCGATCTTTTAGCTTTCTTTTCTTTCTTCGGATTCTCTTGTTCCTCTTTGTTGATAGGGAATTGAATGACGACTACGATCTAGAGCGATGGGAAAACAATGAAGTCCTTAAATTCTGTTTTATGTGTTTATTCTTTTTTGCTCCTTTAATTCCAAGCCCCCACATTATGATTGGATCACCGGGTGTTATGGGATCCATGTTGCAAAGGGTATTTACTACTAGTCAAGCTAGGTAAGGAAATGTCGGCATATTATTTAAGTCGGAACTGAATTGACATAGCGGACTCAATGCACCACTCATGTTGAACCCGTTGGTCATAGGTCACGGATTCTTCAACGGAAAGCAGAGTCCCGTCGTTTATGGTTGCCCCTTAGATAGATGATTGAGTATCCTTCTAAGGGGGAGCAAAGCCGCGGTATGCCCTTGAATATTGGGGTGATCCTGGATCTGCGATGCTTTTGTATCACCGAGGAGTCTATGTTCTTCATGTTGGACTCTATACCTGCTACCGTTGTCGTTACGACCGAATTAATTTCATTGATTGATTGTCAAAGCACCTAGCCTTGTGAGAAGCGTCACCTTGTGTGCCAATTCTCTCAGGCAGCATCGCCTTTGAAGAGAATGGTCGAATTCCGTCCCCTCCATCGCAACCTTGACCACCTTGGTGGCAAGCACAGTTGCTTGTCTGATCCCCATTTCTTTGCCCATGATATCTGGCTGCCTGGCAATCCACATTGTCTGCTCCAAGTCTCTCCTGCATTCTACCACCCCAGCCACGTAAAGTGGCCACAAGACATGGCAGGCAGATATCAACCGCGGGTACTTTCCGGGCGGGAACCCCTCACTGGGATACAAGACTTCATCTGTACCGATACGTTGATAGCCAAGATGGTATGGTATCGATGCACAGATCTCCTCGACAAGGTGGGAAATTCTGATGCTGAGTGAGTGCGAGCGCCCTGAGATAACTCTGGACGGCTTCAGGGAGGACTTGGTTGCCATATTCTCTGTCTGAGACATACAAACGCAAGCAGATAGGCGGCCAGAGCTGGCAGGATCGGAGTGGACCTTTTCAGGCTCGGGGATATTACGGGAAGACAGGTCAGGCAGCCATCATATATACTCTCACAGGGTGTCGTTTGATTAAGCCGGGCGTACTAATCTTCAGCAGCTAGACTAGGCCCTAATACCTCATTGAAAGTATGGGGTCTGGTGGTGGCGTTAGGGGCCAGGGGAGGGACATGCATTTACGCAAGCATCTCGAGCTGGAAACGGTGGGGCTCCACTGATCTGGCGAAAAATAGAGCTGATCCTTATGGTGATGCACAACCTATCTTGGTGGGAGTCGTTTGGATGGCATTAAGTTTGGGCCCAAGAAGATGCTGGATTAATAAGTGGACTCCCAGGTAGTTATCATTGGCTGAGGAAGCTCCAAGATCCCTGCAGTTGCCTCGGTAAGTCTAACCTTAATGATCTATATACTTTGTTCTTTCGAGCTACAGTCAAGTTGCACATATATAAGGGTCAAACCATGACATGGTATGCTAACAGACAAACTGTTGTTCACCTTTTATGGGACCAAACACTGTACAATGCACTCTCTTGTTTTTACAACTTCTGCGCCTTCGGTTTCTACCGTTAAGGGGATCTCAATCAACCGCCATGCTCTCCAGCCAAGCCCGGTTGAAGCCACCGAGTTTTCCCTAATTGTATGTCTTCATCCTTGTTTTCAAGATTGATTGTTAACCACAACCTGTTTGTCAGTATGGATCTCCGTTGCTATCTTATACCAAAACCTCCCTCAAAAGCTTGTCGGAGACTAACGCAACGAACCTCTTTTATCACAAGAGGAAGCTGTCAACATCTGACGACACGAGCGTTGTTCTTCCCAACGATGGCACTCGCTACTCCTCCGCTGTGCTGGATATATTTCAGCATGATGTCGTCTTGGATGTACCGGTCGTGGATGAGCGCTAATGGGTCTTTGCCTTCTACGATGTGTAAGAAACAGCTCATCCCTAGCTCGCTGAAAATCTGGGTCTAGTTTGAAAGATACATAGATATGGCGATAACTATGCTAACATCGGTTCTGCGTCTAAGAGCTCTGCGGGTATATACCTGGTGCAATATTCTGCGCCTGGAAGCCTAGCGCCCGGCCTCTACCTCTGCAACAAGGCCGTCAAATTTGGCGGTGGTCTCTGCAATAGTGGTTTCAAGGGTCTGGTCAGGCCAGCTGGTCCATATGGGACACTCCTAGCGCGGTTCAGGATCAAAAACAATGGCACCGATGTTGCTAAAGTCCATGCTCTGCAGAACCGGACAAGCCTTACTTCCCAGCAGGGTGATCGCCCTGGAGTGCAAGCTTCACCGCTAAACCCGACAATAATGAATCCTTCGCTCTCCTCGGATGAGCCCACTAAAGCGCTCCAGTTGACGGCGCCCATGGCGCCCTTCAATCCCGCACGCAACATCTCCGACCTGCCCCGCGTAAGCCGCATGCTCAAGGCGGCGGGCATCCACAACGCCAAATACCTACCCCAAGTCAGGAATCTGACCGCACTAGACGCTAATGTCAAGCATATTGTCGCCAACTTCTTCTCTATATTACCAGAGAATACCATGCAGCTCCAAAACGTGTGGGCACAACCGGCACCATGGGTGCAGGGCGACTACAGCAGGAACTATGCTATGCGTCTGTACGTTGCATACACGGGGTACCTGTGCCTGATGGCGTCAGAGGCACTATATCCCTTGTACAGACCTTCTGGCAGCCGAGGCCGGAAGCTAACACTAGGATTAGATGAGGCGTATATCATGCATGACATTAAGCAGCAAGCCGCCGTTGGCAACTAGAGGATTCTGGAGCCTCACTGCGTACAACTCCCAAAATTTCTTGATTGGCAATTCGCTCGGGAGGTATTCCGTCGGGGATCGGACTGATCTCACCTAGCCGGACGGGACTCCTGTTTATGGGGATCGCAGCAGCAATGATGATGGTAGTTTTCAGGCTCTGATACAGCCCGCGGATAAACGTCCGCCGGCGAACCGGACGTCAAAGTGAGTTCTTCCTTGCCTTCTTGGTCAATTTTCTGGCTATTCTCAAGACTGACTTGTCCAGCTGGCTTCCGATTCAATCTGGTGGAGGGGACTTTGAGCTAACTTGTGAGTTAATCTCTATCGTTTCTACAGGTGACCTTAAGTAACATCACATAGTGCGATTCTATGAGCCCGGAAAGCCATTGCAGCAGGGGAAGTGGGTGTATCCCACGATGCAGAAGCAGAAAGTCGAGGTTTGACTGCCAAATATGCGCAGTAGAGGGCGCGGGTTCGGCTATCTAAGGGTGCCAGTAAGGCTGTTCAGTGGTTGGATCCATCGCCTGCCGGATGCTTAACAGATTAAACATCTCAGTCACAAAATATTGAATACAATTCTCAAGAAAGACTATTATATACCGGAAGCACGGAAAGCCCGTAAGGTAGCATTACCCTGGAGGCTGGACCAATAAGTAGTAGTATCGGATGGACGAGTACGAGTATTCATTAAATTAAATGGACTTACAGACAAGAACACTGCTGCCTAAGCGATACCAATCAGGCTCCCATCCTGATTCAAAATCTCCCTGAAGAGATAGAGCGATTTCGTGGAGAAAAGTAGGTTTAATTTTTCTTTTGGGTGTACCGTCAAATTAAGGCTTTGTGAATTATAAAGAATAAAAAAAAATTAAAAAAAAGAGAGAAAGAAGCACGTTGCCTTATGACGTCGTTGGTAACTTTTGGCATTTCAAAGTATCTCTGCACCGCCACAATACTTGAATGTATGTACATACAGTACGGAGTACATACATACACACTTACCCTCCGGTATGAATCAGAGACAGAGTCTGCCGTATGGTAACTTTGTAAGAATCTCGTGTCAGTGAAGAAAATTTCTCCTTCATTGGTAAACTAGGTACAGGGGAAAGAGGGGTTGAAGAAGAGTTTCTCATGTTGAAGAGGATGCCAAGTCATGGCTGTACGCGGCCGTCCTTTGCCACGGCGCCACGACATCATCAGGGCTGCAGATGGTTTATGAACTACTAGTACTACTAGTCTTGTTTCCATTTCTCCTACTAGGTATGGAAATATGATGGATGGTACGAGGTATTTGTATCAGTTGGGAAAGGGTACAGCGTGTTTATGTCGGTTTATTGGGAGGAATGACGGTTAATTTAACAAAATAAAAAAAGGGTCCTTCGGGCCGTTGTACATTGGAAATCCCGTTGTATACCGTATCTCCATACTACTATGCATACATACCGTAAATAATCATTGTTGAATGTATTGAATGACTGACTGATTGTATACTTCTGGAACTTCCATCTTCTTCTTCCTCACCTCCAACCTCATTGTCCCTCTCCTCTCCCTCTCCAATTCTGTTCTTCGCTTCTCTGATACCCCCGGAGTAACGGATCCCATTGTCATAAACCCATTGAGCATCTTCTAGGGCCTCTTCAGGGACGTTGCTCTGCCGGTGGATATCACTCCACCCCTATTTCCTTCGTCCCCGGAATTGGATCTGCTGTTATCACTCGGTTCAGACAGAAGCTCGATTGCCGAGTGCTTTTACTGGAAGTGACTACAAGCTAAGATCCGCCTATTTCCAACGAGAGAAAAGGGAACTAGGAGTTGTGTGTGGGGGTGGTTCGAACCTGAACTGATCGGGAGATTTCCATACGATTGGGCGTTGGTCGTCGTCAGCCATCGACCGGTGGCCACCAAAAACCCAGAAGAACTTTCCTGCTCGTCATCGCGACTTTCTTCTCTTTCTACCGCTTCTTTCCAACTGCTACCACGCCTAATCCACCTCGTTCGATTTCGCGATTTCCTTTATTCCGATCGTCCTTTTCCTGTCCTGATACCCTCGTTGTGTCTTTTAGTGTTCTTAGGGACGATTCCGAGCGGTGGCTGACATTCAATCCCATACGCCCGCCTTCCGTCACACTGCCACTGCCAACTCCACTACAACCGCCCGCGATAAGGAGACAGAGAGACTCACCTCCGCAACTCACCAACGATCCCACCGCTACCCATTCAACCCCAACGCTCCCCCGGGCGGCTTGCGCCTGATTCCCCCTGATTCCTGAGAGCTGCCGGTACGCCAGGAGCTCTGCTTATTTTACCTAACTTCGTTTCCAATCATCCTCCTATTGAGCTCGAGTGTCCGATTGTCGTCACTATGTCGAAAGTCGTGCGCAGTGTGAAAAATGTCACCAAGGGCTACTCGTCGGTCCAGGTTAAGGTCCGGAATGGTATGTACTGCTAATATTCTTCTTTTGGCGCTCGGGTTAGGTTACGACTGATTGGTGGCGGTTGCTCGTCGGTCGCTACCGGTGCCCTTGAACCTGTGGTCAACATCGGCTGACGCTTTCAATCCTAGCAACGAGTAATGACCCCTGGGGCCCGACCGGTACAGAGATGGCAGAGATTGCCGCCCTTACATTTAGCAGGTAGGTTGGCCGACCCATTGGCCTCGGGCGATTCTTCCCCCTCTAGACCGAGCTAATCCGGTTGTACGTACAGTCCCACCGATTTCTACGAGATCATGGACATGTTGGACAAGCGACTAAATGACAAGGGAAAGAATTGGCGTCATGTGTTGAAGTCCCTGAAGGTATTAGATTACTGTCTCCACGAGGGCTCGGAACTAGTCGTGACGTGGGCCCGGAAGAACGTCTACATCATCAAGACCCTGCGCGAGTTCCAATACGTGGATGAGGATGGCAGAGATGTTGGTCAAAATGGTAGGTCGCGGACGGGATGGTCCCTTACCTTGCTCGGTCGCCCGCTAACGATACATAGTACGTGTGGCTGCTAAAGAACTTACTACCCTGGTGATGGATGAAGACCGATTGCGAAGTGAGCGCTCCGACCGAAAGCTGTGGAAATCGCGCGTGAGCGGACTGGACGACTACCCGGGTCATGGAAGTGAACCACAACCGCGTCGAAACGAGCGCCGTCGACGTCCCGCGGACGATGACGATGTCGAGTACCGCTTGGCGATCGAGGCGAGTAAGCATGAGGCCGAAGAAGAACGTAAGCGACGGGCGAAGGGCTCTATGCAATCCGGGGAGGAGGACGAAGATCTGGCCAAGGCGATCAAGCTGAGCAAGGAAGAGGAAGAACTTCGCAAGCGCGAACTTGAAGAGAGTAACGCGCAATCCCTCTTCGATGATGCGCCCGTCCAGGCCGCCCCGGCGCAGCCCACCGGTTACAACCAGGGATACCAGCAGCAAAGTGCGGTGGACTGGTTTGGCAACCCGATCAACCCCCAGCAACCTCTATCGACTGGATATTTGAACAACCAATACGCACAGCCGACGGGATTCCAGGGACAGATGACTGGAATGCCCAATGGATACACCAACGGATTCCAAACGCAGCCCTCAGCCTTTGACCAGAACCCGTACGGTCAGCCTCAGAATAACTTCCTACAGCCACAGGCCACGCTACAGCCCCAAGCAACTCTACAGCCGCAGCATACGGCCTTTAACACCAATAATCCCTATGGTCCCACAGACATGTTCGCACAGCAACAGCAACAACAACCCCAGCAGCAGCAACCCCAGCCGCAAGATAACTTCCTTTCGTCGGGTACCAATAACCCATGGGTCTCGAGCAGCCCGCAGCCGGGAGATATGATGAAACCAATGCAGACCGGATCAAACAATCCATTCGCTCAGCGCACGCAGCCACAGCCGTTCCAGTCCAGACCCGCAACATCCGGACATCCATCCCTGAACACGCTGGCAGAAGAGCGTCCAACCACCGCCTTCAATCCAATCTCCAACTACCAGGTTCCTGTGGCCCCGGCTCCACCCAAGAGTACCCCGCCTCAGATGAGCGACCCGCATCACGCTCGTCTCAATGCACTCCTCGCCAGCAGCGACGGCCAAGATACCTTTGGAAACGTTGGCGACCTCCGTATTCCCGCTCAGCACACCGCACCCGGTACCTTCGTCAACTCTGCTGGTCAAGGTCTCGATCGCCTACGCTCCAACCAGACCGGCAACAACCCATTCTTCGCCCAACAACGGTTCGTCCCCCAGCAAACAGGGTTCGCCCAGCAGTCAACCGGCTTCGCGCAGCCCACGAACAACCCCTGGGGTGCACAGCAATCATACCAGCAGCAGCCTCAGGCTGGAAGCAGTCTGATAGATCTGTGAAAGACGAAAATGTTTTATCCGTGATGTCTGTGGTATACAACCTAACGGGTTTGAGATGGAAGTGGAATACGATACCAGGTCTTTTATCTTGTCTTGTCTTTATCGATCAAATCTCTACCTTTCTCTCCTTTTATTCCCTTTGTTCCGTTGCGTCGTTTTTACAACGAATGGTTGGGTGTTATGCTCGCATTGAATTAGGGTTCCGGAATTGACATACAGATTTCAGTCCAGTTCATTTAAACCACTTACTCTTACTACTTCTATTCCTCCACTATGTTCGGATGCTTACCTTCTTGCTCTCTCTCTGACTCGATTTGATGCCAGCCGGGATATCCAACCAGTTTAAACCACACCCTTTGCTTTCCTCGTGTCTTTGTCTTGCCTTTTTTTTCCTTCTCTATTTTACTCCCTTGATGATGTACCGTTCTACTTATACCTATTACATATTTATTTGGTTCATGTCTCGTAGTATATAAATTACATTGTACTGTATTATGCTGCTTCGTATATGGACATGGTTATACTCATGTAGTAGGTTTGGTTATGTAAAGCCTGTTGATGATGGGGATTTAGTATATTGAAGCCTTGAATGTCAGGGTAAGTTACGTATTGCTTGAAAATAACCGACGAGACCAAATAAGAAGGTGATATACCCCTCCTGCCCATGATCATTTCATGTAAGCCATGCCATGCACAGCGGAGTATATGTTATGGTAGTATTAGTAGAAGGAATAGCACCAATACTCAATCATCTGTATCCATTCATCGAGGATATGTGTGGTCTGTTGCCGACCAGTTCATTCACTACGTACAGTATATGTCCTTCCAAGCGTCGCGTTCATCCAACAGAACATTCATAATCATGACTCTCATACCATACCACATAACGCAGAGCAGACCGAAGAAACCATAGCCCAAGGAATTGTATCGTATCAAACTCAATTCGCCCATTCAAGCCGATCCCCTAACCCCTTGAAGTTCCATGAATGCAACGGTCCCAAAGATGAACCATGAGGAAACAAAAGAAAAGAAAATGAGAATAGATATAGAGAGGAGGAAAGGGGGAAAGGTCTATCCACCCCGCTCGCCGAACTGTCGTGCCCAATCTTCGTATTCTCTTAGTCCTTCCCGGCTGACGCTGGGTCTGATGGAGGAGAGACTGGCCTCGAAGTCTTGGAATCGGATGGCGCGGATTTGATCCATGGGAGTGTGGAGGAGGCTTCGCCGAGGTTACGGAGGGGGCCCATTGCAGCATCTTTGGCGAGGGCTGTTATGTCAGAGCCTGAGAAGCCTGTTTTGTGGTTTGTTAGCTTGGGGATTCTGATGGTTGGGGAGGAAGAGTAAATAAGGGTAATACCTTCTGTGAGTTGGACTAAAGCGTCAATGTCTTGATCTGTCAAGTCTTGCACCTGGTGACTTAGTAATGTCCGGAGTTGTTGTTCGCGGACGTGATGTTCTGGGAGAGGGATATATTGTCGGCGGACGAAGCGACGGCGCGCGGCCTCATCGATGTCCCAGGGCATATTTGTGGCGGCGAGGACGAGGACCCGGCTGGGGTCTCCGCTGGCCTTCTTGTCCCTGCCCGGCGACTCACGGCCTGCTGCAGCGCGCTGCAGATCTGACCACTGAATCAGGAATTCGGTCTTTGAGCGTCGTGAAGCCTCGTTCTCAGTGCCAGATGAGCGAGCGGATAACAGTGAGTCGATTTCGTCCACGAAGATGATCGACGGCGCCAGCGCCTTGGCCAGACTGAACAGCGCGCGGACAAGCTTTTCGCTCTCACCGTGCCACTTCGAGGTCAGCGTGGATGCGGAAACCGAGAAGAATGTCGATTTGGATTCCGTAGCTACAGCGCGTGCGAGCATCGTCTTACCTGTTCCTGGAGGTCCAAAGAGGAGCATGCCCCGGGCTGGTTCTCGTAGACCAGAGAAAAGATCTGGACGGAGGAACGGATAGACGACGGCTTCTTTAAGGGCCTTTTTAGCCCCATCTAGACCAGCAATGTCATCCCAGTGCACTTCATCCCCGCGAACTACAATGTCGTTGAGGATCTGTCGGGCGGTTGCCACATCCACCCCTTTCGGGAGCTTATTCAGTATATCCATAATCGCGTCATCCTCATCCTCAACGTCCACTTCGTCCTCATCGGCATCCGTTGATTTGGGACCAAGAGATTCGGGATCGCTAGATGATGGCGGGGTGATAGCGCGCCTGATGCGCGGAGTAGACCGTCGTTCGGGGCTCGTTCGGGAAATCGACATACGATCTATATTGTCGCTCAACGCATCTTCACCAGTGGAAGCAGGGGTGATTCTCCGTGGCGTGCTTGCAGACCCAGCCTGCGGAGTGTTTGAGGTATCTGCGGATCCTTCAGAGGGTGTCGGCGGCTGGTAAGTCGACCTCAACGCTACGGGCTTTGGTTTGACAGAAGGCTTCGGGGAGGCGCGTGGCTGAACGATATCATTGGAGCGCGTCGACACAGAAGCGGAATGGGTACGGTTGGATGACGGCTGCCGGACGCCAGCCGGAGCCTGAGGGATGGATGTAGGTGTTGAAGTTGGTGCGGGAGTAGACTTCGCTGGTGACCGTCGCGGTGTCTGACCGGGGACCCGAAGTTTCCTCCCCGAGCGACGCTCCTCTCCGGAATCCTCTGGAGGCACGCTTTTCCGTGGGGGGACCCCATCGCCGGACTTCGAACGGGGTGGTGCTGGATCCTTTCGAAAACTGGGATCATTTGCTACGGTCAAACGGGAGGACGCTAGGGCAGCGTCACTGACGGTCTTCTCTGACGATGGAGTGCGATAAAGACTTCCCCAGGCCAGGCCCGCGGCTTGAGAAGCTGCGGCCGGCCGCAGGTCTTTCCGTCGCGGACTAATTTTCTTTTTAACGGGCTTCTTCAGATCGGCGTTGCGCAGCGTAGACGGCATCGCTTTCCGACGCTCGGGGCTGGAATTGCGGGAAGACGTTGTCTTTGCCGAAGAGGATTGCGTCTTGCGCAATCCGGGACGACCCGCCATTGGAGTTGATGAACCCGTCCCGTTCGCAGTAGACTCCGAGCTAGTGGTGTTGATAATAGGTGGTGGTGGTGGGCGTCCGGGGATAGTGGGCGGTTTAGATAGATCGGTATATCCGACCGCGGGGACAGTTCCCTCTCCAATCCAACCGCGATAACCAGCGGTAAATGGAGGAGATTTACCAGACGTATCCTTTCTGCTCTCACGGAGAGCCTCGAGTAGATCGACACGCTCCCGACATTGGAGCTCTAACTGGCGGATGGAATCCTGAAGAGCCTTCTCAGTTTCGTTCTTGGGGGTGTATTTGGAAGGTACCCGATAGGCGTTATGATAGTAAATGGTTTCGAGGGCGGAGCGCCAAGACTTCAAAGCTTCTTCTTCGTTGTTCTGTACGGACGAGCGATCAGTGACGAATGGAGTCAATTGATGAAAGCGGAATGGCAGACCTGTCCTTCGAAGTAGACGGCAGTCGAGCACATCAGATAACAGTCATCATAGGTCTTCTGGAGGGAAGACGCCGGTTTGGGGCGCATCATGGATCAATTACTCCAAGGGATCTTCGGCGGAATTGCAGGACCCGCCCGCGCGCTATGGATGATAGTCGTAGTAGTGTGATACTAGTTAATCGTAGTCTGGGGGAAGGAATGGCACAAGGACGGGGACCAACTTCTGCTCATTCGTAGGGAGGGAGGCAAAGGCGGAAAAAAAAAGAGAAAGGAAGACGTTCTGGACGAAGAGGACGTGAGTGAGTGAGTCGAGAAGTCAGAGGTGAGAGTAAGACATGAAAGTAAGTCAGTGATTCTCCATTTTCCGATTTTTCTCTTACCCAAATTCGGTCATGATTTCGCGTGACGTCGTTGGTGCACCGCAAAAGGGAATGAAAGGTGCCCCACGATGATGGCAAAACCTCTTCCAATGCTACTCTACTTAACTCTACTGCCAACTGAACTCTTTTTTTTTTGACATTTATTTTTGTTTTGTGGTCCCCGGAGTGGAGTCGAGTGTCAATCCTTTATATTAACGAAAATGGATATCTGCGCCAGCTCAGCCTGGCTGGTGTACTCAAAAGTAATTGCCCGCCATATCATCCCGTCTATGTATACATGGGTCCCAAATGCGTAATATATCAGAAGAAATATTCCAGAATTCGGAAATCGATCAAATGAACAAAATAAAACCATGAGAGAAAAGGAACAAAGCCTCCAAAAACACTTCCCTTGCGTGCCAACGCCGGTACAAATATAGCATACATAGGGCGATCCAAGAAAAGCTCTCGCACTTTTCCCGACACAATCCGCCCCACAAGATGTATATCAACCATTACCAACCCAGAGAATGAAACCCGATGACCAACGGTGAAAAGAGGTACCGAAGAAAGGGTGAGACGTCCTCGCTCCGCCTCATCCGCTGTGGTTCCAGCCAGGCTTTTCCGACTCCGAATGTCTCGGACATTTCGTGTATATCCGAAAAAAACGGTGAATGAGAGAAACGGAGCGCGCGCGAGAGCAGAAGATTCAAGAACGAGCTAATAAGGAGAATGGACAGTATGAACGCCGCCACCCACACCGGGGAATTCTCCCCGCAACATGGCTTGGCTTGGAATTCCTCTCGTGTCGCATTTCCGCCCTTCGCACATGATACGTGGCCACTATCAGCCGGCATTCTTATTTTTTCTTTCTTTTTCTTTCTTTAAATAGAAGGATGTTTTGAGTTATTTTGATTATTGTTTTGTTGGTCGTGGGAGGCCTTATACAAGGCCCCAGGATGGAAATTTATGATGGATAGTGTGGAAGTCGAATTTATGCGATCGGGGCCAGTGGGAAAAAAAAGACATTTTTTTTAGATGAGCTCCTGGCGCTTGAAGTACGCCTTGGCCATCTCATAAGAGGTCCTTTTGGATGACATTGTCAGTAAAAGCCCAAACACAGCAACGGGGGTTCAAACGAAATAAATCAGGAAAGATATTCACTCACCAGCAAATGGCTGTGCTGGGCATCGTAGAAATGATGCGAGGACGAGCGCCACGCAGGAAACCACTCCAACCGAACTGCCGCTTGATAATGGCCGCGGCGTTGAAAAGACCCTTCGCCGACCGAATTTCCTCGTTCTGTGCCAAACCGCGGGTCTGGAGGAGCGTCTTGACCACGTCGAGTGGTGTTGTGAGACCAGCTGCGAAAGCGCCTGCGAGACCACCCGCAATGCAGTGGGTGAACGGGTCGTAATCCCCGGAGGGGTTCATAACCTTAGAAATGGACTCATAGGCGACGAACTGTGTAGCAGTGAAGGGGACTGTCATGCAAAGTGTGGTAGGGTAGGAAACGTAGAAAGCCTGCAGACCTTCCGTTCGGTAGACAGACCGGGCGCATTGAAGGATGGTCTTGTGTACCGAGCCATGAACTTGCATCCGTTGCTTAATCACTGTGTTTTTCGATTAGTACACAGCGGAGTCTTGGTTTTTATTTTATTGCTTGTTGGTGGTGTTGGGGTCGCGGGTTACTTACCATCAAAGGGGTTCATCAAAGCGTCACTGGCAATGGTCGCCGAGGCACCACTCATAGCTGTTCCACGTTAGTAACTACTTAATAACAGACAGCATCATAACCCCATCGGTCACTTACCTGCAGCTAGGGGATGGTGACCGTCATCGACATTGCCACCGGCAAGATCCTTTACAATTTCATATGTGCCAAAGTAGACAGCGTGGGCGGGGCCTATACGGGAATTTCACATCAGCCTCCGACACCTCCGAGTAGACATCTCTGTATGTCGCCGGCTCCGCTTACCAGCACCAACAATAACACTGGAAACACCCTTCCATAATGTCCGCCAGCCCTCAATTCGGTAGATTGTGGAAAATGCGTTAGTGAGACCGGTGTAAAGTCCGCCGTTCGCAGGATGCAGGATTTGCATGCGAGTCTAGCGTACGGGCCCGATGTCAGTATTTGTCTGCCTTTGCAACACGTCGCAACACAAAACTTGCGCAACGCAGGAAAAAAAATCATCATTCACTCAGCATACCTTCAACAAGTCCACCGGATACATGACAGCATGTTCCTTGACCATTGTCAGTACGGGACCGACCATCCACCTTTATAACCCAGGTTCTTGCACACATACCGCTATCCCTGCGAAGGCACCAGCCAGCATATTCCGGCCGAGGCCGTAGTTAGACGGGAGGGCCTCGTAGCTATCGTAACAGTATAATTAGCCCTGGAAGCCCCAACATAGTGTATATAAAAAAAAAAGCCGGCCTACGTCGGGGAAAGGAACCGTGGCAATCGGGCAATAGAGACGAAAGAATGTGGTATGAAAACATAGCAAAGACTTTAACCACTCCCTATGCTTCCCAGCGAACGATTGGCCAGACCAAAACAAAAGTTGAAGCGGATTTTGCGGGAAAAAAACACATACTCATATTCTAACTCCTGCCCGGGGATTTGTTCGGAGACCGCCATCGAGCTGTCGAAGCTCCAGACGCAGCCGGAGCCGCAAAGAGGAGGAAAAAGGGTTAGGAGAAAGGGAAGGAGAAAAGGGCGCGCGGTGGTAGGTGAGGCGTCACTGGTGTGAAGGTCGAAAAGATTATACCGAAGAAACCGGGAGCAGGTTGCGGAGTGGAGAGGTAAATCAGTAGAGCCGATTCCGAGGAAAGGAAAAAACAAGAAGGAGGAAAAAGAAGTATAGAGGAAGAGACCCGTCTCAACCACCCGAGGAATGGAAAAGGATCAATGCGACAGGAGTAAAAGTGAGATAGGTTTAAAAAAAAAAATAAAACGGATGAGTTGTGAGGATGTGAAAGAGGGAGGGAAGAATAAAATAAATTAAAATGGTTAGTCGGGGATTAGAAGTTGTTACCCAGAATGGAAGTCCTTTCGGTCGGCTCGACGAACGCTGGATTAATGGAAGGCTGATTAAAATGTTATCTGATCCATTTTAGATTAATAGAAACCCCCAAGGAACCTCAATGGAATATTCTTTCTTGACACGATGAATCAGTTATATTATTAGTGTGTATTTGTATGTTCTTAGGTTTACTCTTCTCATCGGCCTTTCTATTTAATTCTACTTCATCTGTGATTTTCCTCCACAAATGTCCTATGTACAGTTCGCTCTCTGTCCAGCTGAACCTCCGTTAAAAAAAAATATTAGTTAAGCTATGGCACTTGGGACATTTAGCCTGCTGAATCAGCTTCCCCCGGCTAGACAAAAACAATCCAGGATCAGCGACCCGTCCTGGTCCGATGACGGAGTTTATCCCTCTCACCCAGCACATCCCCAACCACTGACATTGACACACCCAAGGTTGACCTTTTTCAAGTTGACTCACACCGTTCCGACAGCCTTCCGGATCAATTCCAAACAGATTCACCCATACCCTTCCAAGACATACAAGAAGAGGTCCCAAAGAGCCAGCCAAGATTGCCACATCTGACTAACAGGAGAAGCAGAAGTGCCGAATGACGGAGGAATGGCCCGTCCCCTCCGCCGAGGCAGCTCTCCTAAAAGTCACCAAGAGATGGAGGAAGGTCACTATTCCCTTTTCTGATTTTTCTTATCTGATGGATCCATCCCGCCGTCCTCCTTTCTGAAATTCTGATTAGTCCGTACTCCTTCTGTCTTCAGTCCGACTTATAACCCTAAGCGAACGACCGCGGCTCACCGGGGATCCCGTAAATACGGTAGGATGTGCAGGACATTAAGTGACTAATGTATAACTTAGTAGTTTCTTAGGCTTGTCTACTTTCGTACAGGTGATGTGAAACTATATTGTATGGGGTTTCTTACGGAGTACTCCGCAGTACGTTCTTCCTTGTTAGGCAACCACGAGTCCTTTTTTGCGTCGGGCATTTCCGCGGATTCCACGTCTTCGTGGTGTACTGCATAGGATCCCTTACCTATATACCAAGATATTATTTTGGGCATGGATTCTTGGGGAAAGACGAAGACTGAACAATGGAAATGCACAAATAATGCACAGAGAAATAAATGCAGTCCCATTCCGCGCGCGAGGTCAAGTACAGTGGTTGAATTGAATATAGATGTGAACGTTCCCCTATAGTAGATGATAATTGATACAAGAAAGCAAATCACCAAGTAAATAACACCCACGAAAAGCTCCTCTCTTAAATGTTCACAGTGAAACTTTCCCGCAGAGAATTCATATGCGCTGTCATGCACGTCGTTAAAGCAAAAGAATGACTGGGTCTTGGGGACCAACCGTGGTTAAACCCGTTTCCCTTCTATACGATTCGCTCTAATCTACCAGTCCACGTTGAAAGACCATTCGCCTGGAGGAACACACGAGTCAGTTCTCTACACCAAAATTTTCTGTGGGGTTCATGCCAGAGTGAGTCCGTACCATTTTTCAGATTTTCGGCAGTGTCACTCAACAAAATCACCCGCCGTTTGTTACAATAGGCCGTTTTATCCAAGATGTCCACTTTGAGGTTCGCTAGTTCGGGTACAGGCTTTTCAAACATCTCGCTGAGGTTCTCCACCGCGAGCTCCAAATCCTTCTGGTTATCTTCAAAGATCTCGGTCAGATTGTTACGCGCAAGGTAGTAGGCAAAAGCGTAGGTCCACTTTAGGGTCTGTCGGCATTGTTGAAGTGCTTGTGACGCTGTGTCGAGAAACTGGACTTCGATCCACGATAAACCCGACTGCGACTGAAGGCTTGTCATCTTCTTTTCTGTCTTCAGATAAAGGTCTTTGTCGAGCTTGGCCGATTGCTCATGGTTTGCATATCGGTTGTAGTAATGGAGATATCGCTCCAATGACGCTCGGGACTTCGCCTGTGCGGTGCGGGCCTCGGATCCTGATTTCTCCTCATAGCGGCTGCAATTATACCAGCTGGTACCGTGCTCGGACCATAGGCCCATGCACATCCAGCAGAACTCATGTTTGCATTTGCGGCACGTCATATGGTTGCAACCTCCGTTCTTCTCAATCGTCGAGTGACACCTAGGGCACTCTTTTGTGTTGGCTGAGATCCAGTTGGCCGTTTCAGAATCATCTTCACACTTCTTGAGCCACATCTTGACTAGCTCACAAGGTGCCGGTTGATGATCGTTAAGTGTGCAACCAAAGCAGAAATGATGCTTGCAGCTACATTGTACGGTAGGTACAATGCGACGGAGGTCGCGCTGCTTGACCAGACAATCAACAGCGTATTCACAGTTGGGAGCTGGGCACCATTTGAGATTTTCCTTGTCATCGACGTAGGTTCTTTGTAAGAGAGTGTAATACCTAAACAGAAGTTAGTGATAGTATCCACCTGCATCCAAGCTAAATGGACTCACCTATCCTTGAGGTCCGATGTGACAAGTAGGCCCAATGACTTAGAATCAACGATCATACTACAGCCATCACCGGGACATTCTATCCTGGCCGCTTCTCCTTCCCCACGAATCTTTTGCGCAAGATAGTGGCGGTAACAATCCACACAGAAACGATGTCCACATCGCATAGCGTATGTCTCCAGGTTATCGCCATCTTCGCAGCAAATCTCGCATACGAACCCAGGTACTACTTCAGTCTTCGGTGTGCCTTCAAAGTTCGTCCCTAAGCCGGCCTCCTCCAGCGTGTCTTCGGGATGATCCATGTAAGCCTCAATAAGCTTTTCCCGATTCCACCGCCCATACCGTAGAAGAATGGCGGAGGATTCCGGCGGTAGACTTAAAATCGATGATACTTCGTTGATTTGTCGATTCTGTTCCCGGTCGATGTCATCCGGGTTTAGGACTTTGTGTTCAACTTCGTAAGGTTTTCGTGAAGTTGCAACGATGTCTTTATCTTTCGAGAAGCCGCCGTCGAAATCATCACCGAAATCTATCAACAGCAAATAAGAGACAACGTCAGCATCCAGTCATCATCACCTTGCAAAGCTGTGGGACGCAACATTACGTACCTTCCCCCAGGCTCTCATCATCACTCGCCTGGGTGTCCAAAAAGTCATCGGCGCTGGAGGCAACGCTCATAAAATCATCATCGGACTCCATACTGGTCGACGCCGGCGTAACCAAATTAGGACCTTCGCGAACCGTGAGCACCCCTGACACGACGGAGGTCAGATCGGTAGCGGGATTAAGTTCTGCGATATCAGGAGATTCTAATTTCGTCTTGCGAGCAGACTTCCGAGGAGGAGGTCTGGTGGCGGCTTGCGAACGGGCGACGGAATCCTTGGTGGCGGAGTGTTTGTCTGTTATCGCCGCCTCGGCCGCCTTTCGCTTCCTTGTTAGAGGAGGCGTGGTGAAAACGGTGGTGTCGCGGCAAGCCGGTATGTGCTGGCACGAAAAAAAAAGTAGGTCCCGAGATTTAACGTCGAGACCTTCTCTTTTTTTCCGAGACAACACAAGGCGCAGCTTACCAAAGGCGGGTAATCAACCTGGGGATGACTGATAGATCGAACGGGTGAGGAGGTACACGAAGGGCGGACTGAGAGACTGGAGTGTGCAGTAGCAGGAGCAGGACCATGCACTAGCTCTCAGGCGATCAATCGTTGGGCGTGAATAGCTTATCGACGCTGGCACCTTTTGGGTCTTGGGGAAGAAGAGAGGGGTGTGGATGTATGTAACTAGGGACGGGAGACGGAACGTCACGGGGAGAGTGGGGGAGCCTTAGGAAGACAAGCCTCAGGTTTGTTTCTTCTCCTTGGGGGGGTAAAATTGCACTAGAGAGCGGTATTTGCCGAGAACAACGGGAAATGGAGACTTGAGCTCCAGTGTTTACCGATCCGTAGTCTGGAGTAAAAAAAAAAAAAAGAGTTGCTTGGGAAGAGACTGAAAAAAACAAAATCATAAAAAAAAAAAGAAAAATTTTCAAACAGTGGCGGGATTGCTAAGCAGGTAAGTTTACGGTTTTATAAGGACGTGTCAGTATGGGAGGTTTCGTAGCATCTGGTGCTAATGCCACGGAATATGTGTGGGGGGAAGGCAGCAAGAGGCAACCTAAAGCGGGTAAACACAATGAAGCAATGTTGGAGTCCCAATTGGTACTGTGTTTGATTGGAACTGGATCAGTGCCAGGCTCGGAGGTGGCCGTATGATGGTTGATCTTGCTTCGCTGTCATAAATAGATCGACGGGCACCAATGATGTCAGAGCACCTCTCCGTCAAAGATCTCTTGGTTATTTCTGTTATAACAACTATATCGACTTTAGGTGTGATGGAGCCCTTACCAAATGCATGACTCAACCTAATGACCTGAGCAAATGACTAGAATTAATAATATTAGGCAGTCACCAGGCAGCCAACCCATGTTGTTTCTCTTCCAATGATATGAGCAGATAATAATACTACGAACTCTATATGTCTTGATATGATATCTTGCAATGCATTTTGTTGTTTTCACTCATAGCGGTTCAATTTTTGTTTATCCGCGTTTCATAACATGTTCCAATTCTATATCAGATCACTCATCGTCGCTCTCTTCCTCTTCGTCATCGTCATCCTCTTCGCTACTTTCCTCCTCTTCAGCGTTTGCTAGCCAATCCACGAACTGTTGGGTCTGGCTGCGCACTTGTTTCATCTCGTCAGTACTGGAGGACCTCTCATCAGCCCACCACTGCTCGTATGCCTCCTCTTCTAGGATCTCTAGGTCATATAATTCTTTGGCAACAAACAGAAGAACCGTATCGCCACGGTTGCGGTGTACAAGATCTTGTTGAAGCAAAAGTAGGAGGTCGACCTGGTCAGGCTTCGCATCGCGGTCGCGGTCGAACAAGGACCGTTCGATAATCTCGCGGTACTTGCCAAAGAGTTCCCTAACGATGTCGCCGGCTCCCTTTCCACCTTCCATCAATTGCTGAGTACGCTTCATGAAAGCCGATACCACGGCGCGTCGAACTTGGTGATCAGAAGCGTTGGCTGTCATACGTAGACTGACCAGTTCCAGCTGCACCACGTCCGATGTTACGTCATCGCGCAAGCTGTCATACACACTAGTTGCGGCGTCATGAACGAAATGTTCTTCGTCATCGTCACCGCCTGAGCTACTAAAGCTTCCTGAGCGAGAGTGGCCGTAGTCTGAGACCTCAGATGAAAGGGTCGAGATAGAATCTGTGGAGAGAGAAAGCTGCGCCATATTATAAACTGCGGAAAGAATCTGTCAGCTTTGATGGGTCTGGGAGTAAACAGCAAAAGAAACATACCCAATCCCGATGAGGCATTGCTCTCGGTATCCGAGTCATCCTCATCTTCGTAAGGGACGTATTCATAACCCTCGCCGCCTTCGCCGACGACTTCCGGTTCACTTTCCGGCACACCCCCATCTTCCTCCCTTGGGGCGTTGGTAATACGCTTGCCTTCGCTGACGGTCATTCCGTCCACGATCTTCACTCCGTATGAGAGAAGAGCCCCAGACTCGACAGTGCACTTGCTACCAACCTGGACGTTATCTGCAACAATAGCGTGGCGTACAGTTGTACCGTCGCCAATCACAGCACCATCCCATATGTAGGCACCGTCTAAAATGACATTCTTACCAATCTTGCAGTTCCTTCCCAGAACCGTATCCTTGACCGTGGTCTTGTCTCCAATGCTCGTGCCCTGTCCAATAACCGTTCGCCGGCCGATAACACATGAACGAGCCAAGGTTACGCCCTGCTCCTGGTATAGGTTTCCCTTCCGAAGTTCGTAGGTGTGGCCCGGGAGTAGGTTAGTGTCGGGGCACAGAGGGTACGCCCATCTCGAAATGACATCCTTGGTAACGGCATCGTACGCCTTCAAGTTCCTCACTCTAGCCGCGTAGTGATCCTTGACGATATGTGTGTGGATCGTCTTTCCGTTCAGCTCGAAATCCTTCAGTACACCATACAAGAATTGCGTCCGAGGAGTCTGGTAATCGAAACTGTCAGACCAGAGACTCAACACGTCAGGGGTGCAAATATCGATGTTGCAGTCGATCAGATCCTGTCGAATATCTAGCTCTGCGTTCTCAAGGATGATCTCCGAGTCGATATTGAGACGGGTCGTCTCTCGGGAATGGTGATCGATTTCCTCGTAATGTAGACAGCGGTCTTTCGTAGGGTCGATAATGAAAACGGGCGAAGAAGACGAAGACTTGGTTCTATGGTTTCTGCCGGCCTCTCGCAAGATCATGGTCATAATGGCATCCTTATTTGCTGCACGACGAGCCCGATGCTGGGTCAAAGCGCCTTCAATAGGCAGGTTGCTGATGACATCTCCGCTCACAACGATAAAATCCCCGGTAATAAGATGCTTTCCATCCAGATCGCGCATAACGTCTCCGACGGAGGTAGAAGTGGACTTGAGGAAAGCCAATTGCTTGAACGGTGAGGATGGCGACCTCCATTTTGATGCACTAAGTCACTGTAGCATTAGTATCACCGTGAACTCCATATGCAGCGGGGAAAGCGTCATCTACGTACTTGATATACTTCTCTAACTGATCGGAATGAGCTCCGCCGTACAAGAACACGTCTTCGACACCGGCATTCGCAAGGAACTCCAATGTATACTCAATCAGGGGCGTGTTCGCTAGCGGCAAAAGGCACTGTCATCGTCCGCATCAGCCCATGACCCATCCCTGTGTGTTCCCTCCGCAACATCCGTTTCTCGTCTCAATAGCGTATCTTAGATACATACCCTAGGCTTGTCAAGAGTGAAAGGTTCAAATCTCGTCTCGAAGGTGTCGGCAAGGACCTAAACAACATCAGAACATTAGCCACACGATCATCGTGCACCCCGCCGTCCTATGATAGCCGGCAAGTCGCAAGAGTCGTTTTTCAGAATGATAACATACGACAGCCTGCAACGTCTCTTCTACTTCCTCTGCAGCATTGCCCCTCTGTTTGGGGCCACCGCCTTTCTGCTTGGGACCCATCTGCTAAAACAATGGTAAGCGTCAGTTGTGCGGAAAGATCGAATGCCACATCTTGCGACTCACTGAGTAACTGATTTTCCCCGCCTCACTGAAAGGTCAAATATTCCTGTACAAAGTCCAGCAAGAGAAGATGGATCGTGGTTGAGAATCCCAGGCGAAAAGCAGGCTCACAAAGAAATTGGAAATCAACAATGAATCCGCTTGCACAACCTAAAGGAATTATTTCCGGTTCCCCTCGACGCAAAAACTCCGCCAAGCCATATTGTGATTCATCCCACTCCCGTCCTTTTTTTGCATGTTTGTTCTGTTTGCGGGGTTTGCTGCCCAAGCTGTGTTCCTTTCACGTGATGCACGTGATGCACAACATTAGCCACACACAACCTGAAGGACCAGCTTCAGCCCCAAAGAGTCCAGAACACCACCCAAGGCCCAGGCCCTCCTGGACTTCTGGCAATATCCCTTGTTCAGGAACCAACGGTCTAGAACCTTAATATACCTCTTTACTGTAGGTCAAATTAAATAGGAGTTCCGATCAGAGGATACCTACCCCCCGAACCGAAGGGCAATCGGAAGCTCCTAAGCTCCTGTGGATTGCTCGGCCCGTATGGGGCTGGGGTAGTACGCAGCATACCCACTTATGTACGTGTGCGCAGTGTCTTAAGGGCTTCTGAGTGGAGGGTATGTTGCGGGACGACTGATCTGAAGAGTTGTAGGTGAATGGTCGCGTGTGTTCTGTATTTTTAGTAGGCACAGCTAGCTACCTAGTCGTATGTAATCACCATCAAATTGTGTTCCAGGGCGAAGCATCAGGAATTGCGCCAACGTGGATATCCCACTCGAAGGACAATTTTACCCATGTAACATGTTCAAGTAATTACAGCAACAGTACACCAAAACAGTCTGAATGCCCGGGCCCTAATATAGTTCAACTCCCTTATATCCCTTTATAAATGACACCAACATTTCTGCTGAGAGTATCCGCAAGAAACAAAAGATAAACAACCGAAGGCCTCAAAAACGCCGTAAGCTATCAAAAGTCCACCCAGGGGTCAACGGTATCGTACGGGTAGAGATTTCATTATAATCAAGATAGCAATCATGAAAGGGGAATAGAGTGACTGAGGATACACGGAGAGGAATGCAAGAGAGGTAGTTTGTTAGTTTGTTGATTGAGAGATATACAGCATTGAGATGGGCGAGGTTCAGCCAGTCCGTGCAGCTTGTACGGGGTTGACCATCGTTTGAGGTTGGTGCGCGTATACACGCTGTCGCTTCGCGAGATTGGGGTTCTCGGCAGCACTGGCCATGTCGGAGACCTGCCGTCGTGGTTGCGGCCGTGCTGCAGCCGCAGCCGCAGCCGTGAGGGCCACAGGAGCTGTTGGATACTGCACCCCGTTTTGGTCTACCGCATATGCAGCGGCAGTGGCAGGAGTTGCAGGTACGTATTGGCCTTGTACCTGCTGGAGATTAGGGTGAACTGCGGTCATGCCCTGGAATTGGCCGGGAGTTTGCCAGTTGTTTATGGACGTAGCTGGTGACTGGCTAGGAGAACTATCCTCTTTGACGGACTGGGCTGCCGAGCTCTGTGCAGCCATTGTAACCGCCGCCGTGGGTTGGGTGGTTTCCATGCCTTGCGGCATGGTCTTTAAATGAACAAGGTGCTTTTCTAACATATCCAGAAGACTCTTTCGCGTGAAGGGCTTGGGAAGAACATCGTCCATTCCTGGTCAATGTTAGCAGGATAGTCGCGGAGCTCGCTCCTAGTAGTAGATTAACATACCATGCTGGAAGTAAAGTTGAATATCATCACTCCGGATGTTGGATGTCATGGCAATGATCGGCGTCCTATCAAACTGCCGAATGAGGTGGCATGCTGAGACTCCGTCCAGGTTGGGCATAATTATATCCATCAAAATAAGATCGTACTTCGAGCCATCCTGTATTTTGTTCACCGCCTCGAGTCCGTCGAACTACGTTCCCATCAGTCAGGGTACCAGACTTGAAAAGATGACCTGTGAAGCCAACTTACGGCAGTATCAATGACACAAGAAAAGGAGTATAGGAATTTTCCGCCAATTTGGCGACACGTCGCATCATCCTCGACCAGCAAGATATGTGGACTACGCATCCAACCCGGATCAACATTCGTACTCTTCTTCCGATTGTCGGCGAACTGTCTCCGAGCGTCGTCGACTTCTTGTTTGGGTGGCATTGGGTATGGCACATTATTAACATGCTCGCTGTACATCGGATCGATACCATTAGTAGCGCCCACAGGGTACACAACAGGTTCAATGTCGCCGTTCATCTTCGGATACACCAAGGCTGTGGTCGCGGCATTCGTCGGATTGGCTGGGTTTGCAGGGGTCGCAGCGGTTGCAGTTGGCGGGCGCACCACACCATTCCGCGGTGCAGCATCCATTGCGGGCGTCGTGGCCACAACGGGACCTGTTTTGGGTGGCTCCCCTAACGAATCAAGACCGCCGAGATTGAACTGAATTTCGGCATTCATATCATTGAGAAGCTTCGAGGCGTGCTGCAAGGGCGACGAAGGTTCATCGTCCATCGACGCCACCTGGGAAGGGCTCAAGGTCGACCCCCCTTGGCCTTGTGCCTGAAAAGGTCCGGATGCTTTACTGTCTCGCCGTTGACGAGCATCCACTGATAATAGATATGTCATCAGTTGGTGGATTACGTGTTCGTGGTTGAGGACTGTTTTCTGAACCCTCATAACTTCCTGTAGCATGATCTGATGGTCGACAGTTAGTTGCGCATAACGATCCGAGAGGTGCTGAATTTGTTGTTGCTGCGCCACTATTTGCTGATTCAAGAGATCGATCTGTTGCGTTGGAACAGAATCTTCGTTGCTCTGGGCCTGTTTCCGAGGGGCAGGCGCCTTCCGTCGAATGTTGTCGAGTGACTCTTTGCTGTTCGCTCGGAATTCGGGGTGCTTGAATTCCCATGCCTAGATTCCTGATCAGACAACCCTGTAAAGCCACCAGTGCCAAGTATCGCAGTCTTACATTCTGGCCGTACGGTGATTGACCATTCTCTTCATTATTTTGTCTCACTTTGTGGAAGTCGTACTTGTTTAGTTGTCGTACAAAGCTGGCAAAGTTGCTGTGTTTGAAATGTTTGGGAAGGATGGTTTTCGTAAATTTCTCGCACTGCGACCGGATTTGGATCGATTAGCAGAAGAACAGCGACTGTGAATTCTTAAGGCACGAGGGCGTGCGTTACCTCTAAGACGACAAAACTGTCCCCTTCATCACCCCACCGCACAATCTCCGAGTAGGACGGATCCTCCAGCATTCTTGGAAAAAGAAAGGTTAGTGACCAAATAGAGAGAGAGGCAGAAGCCGTTCAAGTACTAGACGGAGGCATCTTGACCAGGAGGGCGTATAGTCGCATTAAGTCGGGTCGACGGGAGAGCTCGGAGAGACAAAAAGGAGACGGTCAAACTCACTTGTAAAGTTTCCGCACCTATGCATTTTGTCAGTGGTGGTGACCGAATACAGTAGCTTGTACTTCGAGACAAAAGAAATAAAATACAATAAAAAAGTAACAATAATATAGTAAGAATAAAGAGAAACAATATCATCGATATCATTGTCAAAAAGATCAACACTTACAAAATCGCTGGAGTTGCCCGCGGGGGCGGTATTGGTTGTGGTCTGGCCACCGTCCATCGTGGGCTAGATGGGTCGCGACCGATCGAACAAGCAACAGGCTCAAGCACGTCGCAGAACCTCACGAAGAACGGCTGCGGGAGAGTATTGAAAAGAAAAAAGAAAGATAATCCAAGCCGGTGGTCAATTACGCACCGAGATGGCGAAGGAGAAACTTCCGGGAGAAAAGGATAAGTAAGAAAAATAAAGGTGAAGAGAAAGAGAAAAGAAAAAGAGGAAGGGGAAAAAATGACGGTCTAAACTGGACGGCGTTTGGTTGGGAGAGGTCAAGAGAAAGAGTAGGGAAGAGATGGTGGCAGTTCCCTAGTTAAGTTTTGGGTAATTTACTACTTCGTTGCAAAAGTGGGACTTTTGATGGGGGGGTCACTGACTTGGTATCTGCACCCGCCATTGGCCTTTTCTGTGCTGTCCGAACCACCGGTCACCGTTCACTAGCCACAACTTCCCATTTTTTCTCTGCTTTTTTTGACTTTTCAAATTCCTTTCATTGCTTTTTTTTTTGGTCCTCCCCTTCTGAAATTCTTGGGTACACTGATCGCAATGTTAAACAGCTTTCACATCCGACAATGCAAGGAGCTAAAGGGGGGAAGGACAAAAAGACAGGAGCTCCTCTCTGACACTCTGACCGTAAACAACAGCCGACGAGACATCTAAGTGCAATTACCTCGGAGGGGAATTGATGATGTGGAGAAAACAGTCCACTCCTCGTACTCTCTCTACCTTAGTGCCTTAATGGACAGAGAATATGGCTTGATCCTTACGAGTAGATTTGTTGCCAGTCATGAAGGGACAGCTAGTTACATCTGAGTTATTCTTTCTTTGCCTTCCTGTGTGTTCTGGTTTCCCCAAGGAATTGACTGTTGGAAAGAAAAGGTCAGTGCGTTCATGATGCAGATAACGTGCGAGGAAAGGATGGAGGGGAAAAGATGGAGATAGGCTGTTGGAGATGCAAGAGGAGGGGCAAATCAACCTGCAGCGATCGTCGAAGGAAAAAGAGGAGAGAAGAGCGGAGATTGTTCATTCTCATCGGCATACTAGTATCTGATGACATTGACCCTTCTTTTGATCCATTCATTTAACCAGCACCGAATTTTGAGGGCACTAGTCCCAAGGTGATCTTTGAATCATTCCTTTTTGGGATGCATTCTAGTCAGGTGTACATATTACATAACACTAATTATGTACACATGGTGGCATGTAAGGTAGTAGTAGTTCGTTTGCATGGATCCATACTTCACGCTATTTCTGTAGGAGATATTAGGGTGGTATTGACTCAGAAATGTTTGGCATTTCTTTTTTCATTGAAGAATTTTCTTTTCAGAAAAAAATAAATAAAATAAAAATATCTGTAAAAAAAGATATCATGCACACGATTCTTTGTCCTTCAAGGTTCAGTTGTACAGTTGTATTTACTGTTTATAGTTTAAAATCCTTCAACGGTGGAGACTAACCCACTTGGTCATCAGAAGTCACTCGGAAGACACATACTCATTCCGGTTACTCGTTGCTGATCGCTTGCAGGTCAGTCTTAGCATCCTGGTCCATCCAACGGCCGGACATAATGCCATCATATTCTAACTATAATTTTCCTCCGTCTCCTGACTGCATTTTGTTCCTCCCAAATAACTCTGATATGAAGTACTACGCAAGTGCCACCCGTTCCAGGGTAACGGTGGCCAGACCCTTCCATGGCTACCAGGGGGGGGAGCTATACGCCACCTCCAGAGATTCGCTTTCCGTCGGGTACAATAACTTAGAACCCCGACCTATAATAAGAACAATAAAACCTCCTCTTCGTTTTGTGACGTAGCCATTTCGGCCGATCGACCCTGATCGACAACAGACTACAATTTATTTTTCACTTAGCAGTTACGTTGGACCTTTTGACATTTCACGTTCCCATTCTGCATGTACCGTTCACTTACATTTGCCTGTAGAGATATATATATACCCGCGAGAAAGGAAAAAAATGAAAAGAAAAGAAAAGAAGCATGACTATGCTTTGAATTCCATGTCCCACATTATTCGCCACAGTCGTAAAGCATCTGAGGTCAAAACAAGCACATCTACTGGTACACGGTCTCATCCAGCGCTTCCTTGACATGCTTTGGAAGGTAATAATTCCGGCACAGTCCGGTCCAGTAGATTCCATCCAACCGTACCAGAGCCAGATTCATCAACGAGGAACCCTCGCTCTGCCTTCGAAGCGCCTGTCGCCACATGTGCACTAATCGTCTGGCCCTAATAGCATGGTCTTTCGAGGGTGCTTGCACGAGCAAGAGTAATATGAAGCTGGAAACAGTCGCAAAGCCGATCCGAGACCCTGAGCACAGATAGTATGTTAGATAATCTCTGCCCAGAGAAGAATGAGGAGATAGAAGACACATACATGAGAACCAATAGCCAGCCAAGTCACTATATGCCATTCTCATCACCAATCGAAGCATCTTCGCTGCGCAGTTCTCGGCCGCTTTGAGAACGGCGCTCCCCGCACCGTTCTCGTTTGACAGGTCTATTGCCGGGGTGGGTTCGATCTCGTCAGACTCCATGATATGAAAGATGTAGTCATCGAGCGCTGCGGTGAAGTTGGTTGAGGCTTCTGTTTCTTCGAACAAAGGTGGCGGAGTAGCAGATCGGACCATAGGTCGCAGAAGAGCGCGGAAGATGAACACCTCCAAAAGTGTGTATGCAAAATGAAGACAGGTTAATTGCGGACCTGTCCCGTCAATGGATGCGAAGAGCCTATCATGCAGTCTGAGTGGTGCCGGTATATGGACGTACCATTCCCTCAGCTTTTGAAGAAGCGGACGAGCGGTTTTGAGAGATTCCGAGAAATTCGATGATAAGCGTTGAGAGGATCGCAGAGCGCTATTTAGATGCCCATTAACAACAATACGGCTTCGATAAGATAAAAATATCACATACTAAAGATCCTGCTGCACCTCTCTGCTATAAGAGACAGACGAGCAAAGCATTGGAATTGCTGTGCATGCAGTACATCTTGTGCCAGAGGGCTGCTTGGAGGCGATAACAAGACGATCTGCGTTTCATCAATATGGAAATCATTGTCATCGAGTTCTGTTACATCCCATTCATCATGTCTGATATACGGGGGCCGACCCATCAGGAGGCTCCTCCATTTGTCCTCGGCATAAATTGCCCACCATAGTCTTCGTCGCAGTCGCCGCTCCCAGGCAGGAAGGCCCATTGGCCCACACTCTAGTTGAAGACCGAGCGATGTAGCAAGTCCGACGAGCAATCCAACAAAAGACCATACAGATGCGCTGTCAGCTACAGCACTTTGACTCTTTCCTGGTGCTTTGTGCAAATAAAGCAGTCCTGCTTGTAGAGCTGCTAAATGAGGGGTGTGTATCTCTTGTAGGAGAATCTCCCACACTATGCGCCAGAGCTGCTCAGTTGGCGGTGTTGAGTAAGCGTTGAGAACTGAGAGATACTCGTCAAACTTGGTAAACGGTTGTGCTGAAGCGTATATGGCGGCCAGGAGATGGACCGGCATGTTGTTGAGGACGTGTTGATCGGGTGTGATGCGAGTAGAGGTGAGACCAAACAATGACCTAGAGATGACAGGAAGAGTCGGGAAGATGAATTTGACAAACCTGTTATGTCAGTCGATTGATGCCACTGAATCATACGAAGAGGCCACTAACAGGGCTACCAGCTTTTGGCCACAGTCTAGAGGAACCAGGCTGTTCAATTCCTCCCTTAGACTCTGACTCCTGGGAATGGCTGTTTCGTTCTTTGTGGACCCATACAACTCGTCCGTAGTTACTAGAAAGTGAACGGGAATCTTTTCGTCAAGCGGAACCCCTCCCGCATTTCGGAAATGCACCTGATGAAAAAGAAGAAAACCATGGTCGTCAAACTTGCAATGCCGAAGAAGCCATGGGTCTGATTCGCCCGATGCCCCAATAACTTGGTATGAGAAGCCGTGCAGCTGGTCTAATGTCTGAATCGCCTGAGCTGGAGGCCTCTCTGGAAAGTGATAAGTTGCTGGAGCCGTCGTAACGGGTTCGCTTGACGGGACTTCTCCTGAATCAGGGCCAGCCGAAGGGCCTAAGGGGAGGATAGGCTCTGATTGGCATCGAGCAGAGTCATCCGTATTGACTGCGACGTTGAGCTCCTCCACGGGCTGCACAGCTGTCACTCGTTGGGCCGAAGGAGGAGACGCTTGATTCGCGTCAGGGAGTGCTGTCGATGGCTGATGAACAGCCTGAAGGCCACCGAAGGTACACAAAGAACCAGAAGTTTGACATCTTTGACAAGCATTTCCTCTCTCCGCTTGACATCTTAACTTCTTTCGACGACATGGGTCACAAGGCGGATGACGCTTAGAACGATAGGGACGAGTGTAGCTCAGGGTATGAGGGCTATTCGCATTTCTCGGGGAAAGTGACTCCATACTCTCGGGTTATGATGTTCGGCGAAGAACAGTAGAGTGAATGGATTATTCTGTGTCTGTTGGAAAGCCCATTCGGAAACGTTCGGCGAATTAATGATCTGATTCGTGCAATCCTTGGCCCGGACTAATGTTGTGAGAAGGCGCAACAACGATTTCGTTTAATGGGTCTTTAGCAACCTTCCAATCAGCCCCCCTCAATATAGTCAGCGCAGTCACTAAAGCGATCGCAGGAAAGAATCTGTATTCTGCTCTTGAACAGTAAGGACTGTAGCAGACATTACAGGGTTTACTAGTGCGTCTGGTAAGGTGCGTGTCCCCTGCTACAGTCAAACAATATGAGTACTTCCACAACAAAGACCATGTTTCTACCCAAAAGCAAATCCAAAGCCTTATTAGAACGGTACAGAACTGTAAACTGTTTGCCTGAGAATAATTTTCGGCCTTTGGTGGGTCATCCCCGTAGCTATATCTATAGTATGTGTTCTCAGAAGGCGCAAGAGTGCCCCCTTGGAGGCTGCCAAAAAAAAAAGGGAAAAAGAAAAAGAAAAGTGAAGTGAGGGCTTCATGCATATTGTATATTAAAGGAACCCTCATATTCCCTCTGCTTATCAGGTTATACCTGCTTTTCAGACACAATCACAATGTCCACATCACTGCCAGGAAATCGGGATTTACCCGCTTCGCAGTATGACCTCTCGAAGTACCTGGGACGTGTTCGTCAATGCGCAGACCTATCAGATCCTAGGTAATTCAAAATTCATACTCCAGTGTGGCATTGGTTAATCGACAGTCTGATACCAAAAGAACGTTGTTCACATCGAGCGCCGGACTGCAAAATGCCCAAGACCTTCTCAGGAAGTACAGGTCGGGCCAAATCCAGAACATGAGCCCAGAATTGTGGCAGGCTAAGAAGATAGTCGATTCAACCTTGCATCCCGATACAGGAGAGCCAGTGCTTCTACCCTTCCGCATGTCGTGCTATGTCTTCTCCAATCTGATAGTTACCGCGGGGATGCTTATTCCAGGGATGAGGGTGAGTCCGGACCATGCGACGCCTCGTGATGGTAACGTATAAAACGCTCCAGCTAATGCAATGTCCCATTACAGTGGAAAGGCACCTTGGCCTGGCAAATTGCCAACCAGTCTTTGAATGTGGCCATTAACAGTGCGAACGCGAACAAATCCACCCCTCTTTCCACGGCGGGAATGATCAAATCGTACCTCATGGCGGTATCTGCTTCTTGCTCGGTCGCACTCGGGCTGAATTCCATCGTTCCGAGATTAAAGTCGGTTTCGCCGAATACAAAACTGATTCTAGGACGCCTCGTCCCATTCGCAGCTGTTGCCAGTGCTGGTGCGCTGAACGTGTTCCTCATGCGCGGTGAGGAAATTAGACAAGGAATCGATGTCTACTCATTCACATCAGCAGGAAGTGAAGAGGCGGATACGGGAAAGAAGGTGCCAGCAACAAGCCTGGGAAAGAGCCAGAAGGCTGCAACTATCGCGGTAGGGGAGACGGCCATTAGTCGCGTTGTCACTTCGACGCCGGTTATGGTCATCCCGCCTCTCCTTCTTCTGCGCTTCCAGAAGGCGGAGTTGCTGAAGAAGCGTCCATACCTTACGATGCCTATCAATATAGGTCAGTTAGCCCTTTACGAGTATGACTGTCGTCCATGTACTAAGTTCTTTTGTAGGGTTGGTGTTCTTGACGTCTGCCTTCGCCCTCCCGTTCGCCTTGGGCGTGTTCCCACAGAGGTTGGTAATGAGCTCCGATCGTTTGGAAGAAAAGTTTCATGGAAGAGGAGGTGAAAACGGACAAGTGGTATTCAATCGTGGCATCTGAGGTGCCTTCATAGGTGTGGAGGCGTCAGGGCGCTATATACCCTGGAATGCATAGTTTGAAGCCGATCTGAAACGTGCTTGCATAGTCTATTACTTGCCCTATAACCTGGTATATTCTGTGATGACTAGTTCATGAGAGTATGTACATAATTAGTTGATAGATAGCTGAACCTTGACATACGATTAACATTCATATCGGATATACTAGCAGGCAAGCGATTTTAGGTTAATTCAAGACCGCAGAGTATATACCGTCGTGCTAAGAGGCCGTAGATCCTACCGGATAATCGGATGTCGCACCGACTGTCCACGTATGCATGGATGACTTCTGCTTGAGAGCCGGTCAGGTGGCATTCCGCGATTCCTATTCTATGAATCTCTGCTATATTGTTTTAATGTATCTTCATATATCCCTACGTGTCTTAGGCCAAGATGTCCCAACCACCATTTGATGCTTTGGTTAATGGATACAACCTAAAAGAAAAGAGCAATCTCCCTCAACCGCAGACGCTATTTTATCCATGTGTCTACACTGCGCAATATCCAAAAGAGTCTCCGGCCGTTGAAAATCTAATCGACGAAAAGCTAAAGACCTTCGACGTAGACTTTATTGAACTGGGCGGCAAGCTCCGTCATGAAAGAAAGAGGAAGGTGGTAGAATGGTACACTGAATACCTGAGTGACGATGAGAGGAGATTGGGACTGCTGCTACGTCTTGCAATCGCCTCGAAGCTCCGTAACATACGGCGCTTACCGAAGAGGAAAGTCGATAGCTCTTTGGCGCGTCGAGATTTTGAAGGGCCTTCTTCGGGTCTTCCCGTATCGCACGGTCGGTGTGTCATCCATTGGTGTAATACTTACACTAACAGTTGATATGATATATAGTAGACGCTGAAAAGCTCGTTATGTCCAAAGGCCTCAACTATGGCTCTCGTGTGGACCATGCCTCAAGAGTCAGTACGAGAACCAATATGATACATATGTGCAGGGCACAAAGCTCTCCACCTTAGAGAAGGAATGTAAAAGATGTGACTATGGGCTCAGGTATCTGTTTGGAGACAGTAGTAGCGTGTTCACTGCTCAATGGCTCGCTTCCATGCGGTTTCCATATGTTTATGAATAGTAATAGCTCTGCTTCCTTTTCTACTGCCGAGTCCATGCCCATCCAAAAGCACGAGGATGGGTGAAGAATACTAAGGTGACACGGGTGTTACTACGCCGAGATTGCGAGAGATGCTAGAACTAGTAGTACTAGTGAGATCTGTAATGTGTGCATCTGGAGTTCGCCGGTCAGGGCTGTCGGTTCAATTCAGCCAATCACCGTTCGAGTTGCCCGAGCTCTCCGTCATGTCTTTAGTATGCCATCACTCCACCCAATATTACTCCTGATCGGCCACTCAACTAGATGGAGCATTTTCCTCTTTATATTTCTTCTGAGAACTTCTGTTTACTCAGAAAGCGGCTTCATAGGTCGGCCGTCTTCAAGATGGGGCTGCAATACCGAGTTTACTTGTCGGTCCCACAGAAGAAGCAACTTCTCCACGGAAAGATATATATAAAGATAGACACAAAACCATCAATTGCTCCAATGTATCATCCAAACACTTTGCTATCTCAGGTATCTGCTACTCTTTGCAGTTCTCCCTGACATGGATATGTCAAGCAAAGAAGATCGGAGCGTGGTTCCTTCGAGGACGTCTGAAAGTCCCGAGCTAGCAAATAATGAAAGCTATCCCGAAGGAGGGCCTAGGGCATGGCTGGTGGTTTTCGGGGCGTGGTGTGCTATGGTCCCATCTATGGGCTTGTTGAATAGCCTGGGAATCCTACATGCCTGGACGAGCACTCATCAGCTCCAGGGATACTCCGAATCAAGCATTGGCTGGATATATGGCGCTTATGGATTCTTCCTTTACTTTGCCGGAGCACAAGCTGGTGGGTGAAGTTGTGTCTGTCATATGAACAGTTACTGAGACATGTACAACAGGGCCAATATTTGATGCGTATGGACCAGCATATGTCATTATTCCTGGGTCAATTGGGATCGTGGCTGCACTGATATGCTTTAGCTTTAGTGAAGGTATGCATGGCTGTATCAACTCCTTACTTACACTCCTCTTGTGCGGATCTCACCATTCACCACAATTCCTAACGCAATGCAGAGTATTACCAGATTTTCCTATCCTTTAGCGTCCTCGGAGGACTCTCAGCCTGCACACTGTTCACACCGGCAGTTTCATGCGTGGGACACTGGTTCAATGTGCGCCGGGGCTATGCAACAGGCATCGCCTGCACAGCCGGCGGACTGGGCGGCGTGATATTCCCCCTGATAATACTATTCGCAGCGCCCAAAATCGGCTTCGCATGGGCCATCCGCATCATCACACTGCTCTGCGCCGTGCTCTGCACACTAGCCTGTCTGCTCATGCAAACGCGACTCCCGCGCAACAAGAAAGCAGGAGCCTCCATCGATTTCAAAGCCCTTAAAGACATCAAATACGCCACCACAACCGCCGCCATCTTCCTCGTCGAGTTCGCCGTCTTCATCCCAATCACCTACATCGCCTCATACGCAGTCCACGTCGGAGTAAACGACACCATGTCCTACGCGCAAATCATCTTCCTCAACCTCGGCGCCATACCTGGCCGCTTCCTCCCCGGCCTCGTCGCCGACCGACTAGGCCGCTTCAACGTCATGGTCCTCACATCGCTCATATGCGCAGTATTAACCCTGGCCCTCTGGCTGACGGCAGGAGACAATCTAGCCGCAATTATCTGCTATGCAGTGCTTTTTGGCTTCTGGAGCGGAGCAGCCATCAGTCTCACGCCTGTCTGTATCTCACAGGTCTGCGCGACCGAAGACTACGGGAAGAGAAACGGAACGACGTTCACGATCGTTAGCGTGGGCACGCTCACTGGGATTCCGATTGCGGGAGCCATACAACAACACAACGGAGGGGAGTTCTGGGGACTTATCGTGTTTGGGGGCGTGCTTTATATGGCGGCTACTGTTGCTTTTGCTCTTGCGAGGGGAGTTTGTGCCGGGTGGTCTTTGAAGACTAGATTTTAGAGGGATATAGAATAGAACCCTGCACTACTATAATAGGGGAAGTATTCTCTCGTGTGTATCACAGAATGTGTTGAGTGCTACTGTATTACGCTGTATAAACCCCGGTGTGGCATACCTACTCAGGGCCAGCATTTGAAAACCACAGTTGGATACTGAATGAAGACGTTATAAACCCTCCACCAGTGCTACCCAAAAGTGATTTCCATATAAAAACCACCTTAATCACAACAATCCCTACGTAAGCCCCGAAAAGAACCATAAGAGCAAAAGGGACACCCCAAACCAAACACCAAACCCAGACACAAAGAAAAATCAAGTAATGGATCAAGACTACCTAGCTAGGATAAACCTAGGTCTGAAACATCCACCAAAAATAATGGAACCTATTTCCGCCACAAACACAGAAACGGGTTCTTTCCGGCGCCAATTCCCCATTCTAGCTATTGAACTATTCTAATTATTCTCAATAGTTGCCTGGTTGTCCAGCCGGTTTGAACGTTTTTCGGCGAACGTCAGATCTATGCACCGCGTGGACCAATGAGGATTTTGTTTCGCCGAGCAGGTACGGCTTCTCCACTCTGCTGATGTACTGAACTGACCAGGATCCTTACTACAGCTACAGTATATCTGTTTGTATTTGTTTGTTTTAGTTAGTAATGACGTGGGAGAGGTGAATGAGCAGGCTTGACGGGATCTATGAGCTGTACGTACATACATTAGCATATATATCTATCGTGGTCGTTGTTGAGCAGGAGATGATGTTCTGTGGTTTTTTATACATTTTCTCAGGGCCGTCATCTTTTCTTCCGAGTCTAGTCACTAACCTTGCACGAACTACGCCCTACAAAGTCCACTACCACAATATATGTCATAATGAACGAGAAACTCAACACCAAGAATCTAAAGATGAAAATCCAATCATTCCTCCACATACCAAACCATACAGGTACCGCGAGAGTCTCTGACACTGAGTCCGAGATCACATTGACAGCCAGGTAAGCATTGTGTCCTCCACTCCGAGAAATGTCGGGGCGTACGGATTGACCTATTTTAGGGATCGAACGGATATCGCGAAAGGGTCTCATGGTGGATCCACAGCTGCTTTGTATAATGGTATGTTGTTGTGTTGTTGTGTGTTATGTGTTCGAGGAGAGCTGACTTTTGAGTCTGAGTCTAGGAGATCAGTGTTTTGGGACTTGTTGTCGGGGGAGTGGGTATCCGAAGTGAAGGATAAGGGGATGGGGATATTCTTTTTGGCGGGTTTGTTGGCTTTTCTTTTTGTTTTGTGTTTAATTTATGTGTGGAATTGAGAAGGCATTTTCTTTGGAATGGTTGGGACGTGGATTCTGCTCTTCTCTGACTTCAGAGGATGTATGTCGGTTATATAATAGATACAGGGAGAGAGAGAGTAAGAAGATACAAGGACTCAAATTCCTGGGCACGGTTCTACCCATCACTCCACAGCCACAAATCAGTCTGTAACCCCTCCCGTTCAGCATCCAGAACTAAATTATTCGCGTTCAACTGATCCGTAACCGAGAGCATCTGGTCCAACGACAACCCACACTCTCGCCAATCGAAGTGTATCTCATCGTCCTGGCCAATATCGGCAGCGTCAGGTACCGATAGAGCCGGGCTGATGCCCGCGGTTAGAATAGCCGCTGAATCATTCGCCTGCTCTGACGGTCGTTCCTCGCCCACCTGCTTTGAGCTACTCCCCGGTGTTAGGGGCTGCACGTGAGGCTGGAACAACGGCTGGACTAGTTCCTCTAACTGCACGATTTCGGATTTCCGGAGCTGTGCTACGCGGTTTCCCCGAGCGATCATGTCGTCTAGTAGACTGAACCCCATATCGCGGTAGCTGGGGTCTGGGATGATGTCCGGGAGGATGGCTGATATCAGGGATAGGATGAAGAAGGATGAAAAGAGGTTTTCGAGGTCGAATGGGAGGAAGGTTTCTGATTGGTGCTGTTAGTATTGTTATTTGGGGTCAGTGGTGGGAGACGGACCGAGAAGGTTTTGGTCACGCAGAGCAGTGAGTATTCTCAAGGATTTTAATGCGGAATCGGTAGATGCTTGCAGAAGGGTATGGACTGGTGATGATAATGTTCGGAATACGTCGCCTTGCTCGAAGCAGTTCAGTCGCTCCCAGAGGAGGGTTAAGACCAGTGGTCGGGTAGTGACGATGATGCACTGAACCTTGTTAGGAGAGCTGTCTGTATATTTCCAAGAAGTCACATACCTGATGACAGGATAGTGTCAGTCGCGTAGTGACGCCAGAGATCGACTCTACAGAATCTGAAAACCGATGCGCGAAGACATCCTCCAACTCGCGCGAAAGTTCCGTCATTTCCTGCAAGACTGACCGAACCTTCCGGAGGAAGATGCCACCTAGCTTTCCATCTGGGCTATATACAGCTGAGGTATGCCTAGTCAGACCACGGGTATAGGCAGAGAGAACTAACTCCTACTTACTGTCCAGCACACGGGTGATAACCTGTGTAATCCTGACATGCAGACTCAAGGCGGCTTCCTTTTGGTCACACGATTTCGGATCCGAGAGGGGCGTGGTTATCTCATCATCCTTGACTGCGTTGGGTGACCCGATCAACGATGAAAACTTCCGGTCCAGTATATACACTGTCCACCAGATGTTTTGACACCTATCCACGAGCTTTTGACCCAGTTGCTCAACTGGCGGGGCGCGGTGGTGACCTTCCACCAATGCCATGCGTATGGCGTGGCCGATCTACCCTGTTTAGCTATTTTGACACCCAGAAAAGGAACTTGGGAGAGAAAGAGCTTCAACCTACATAGCAATATGCGGTATCTCTCATGTCGATGGAGTGGAAATAAAGCCCGATGAGAGTAAGAACCTCGATGGCTAAAACAGGATCTTGCCATAAGCCTGTAATGTCGGGCAGGAAGGACATGGCCCGTAAGAAATATTTCGTCCAGCTTGCAGCATTGGAAACCTTTCGTACCGGCGCTAAGAGAGCCTCCCCGAATGCCAACACAATCAAGAACTGGACGTACCAGAGACGACTCTCTTGTACCTTCACTTCGGCGTTATCGTAGAACTCGTACAGATGGCGAAGAAACTCGTCTTCGTCAAACAACAAGTATAAATGACTAAAATGGAACTGAACCGTGTTCAGTATATACAGTGCATGCTCCAGGGAGGGTAGTCCACTGATGTCAGGAAGCTCCTCGGAGCTGGCTTGTCGCCACTGAAGTTGGTACGCATCACCATCCACAGCGAGGGGTAGCGGCGTTGAGTTGTGTGGATTCAGACGCGCTTGGATGGTATTAAGAATTCGACGACTGAAGGACCAGGTAGATGTAGGTCCCAGGAATACTAGACAGGTCAGTTTTCTGTGGCGGGTCTTGACAGCCAGTTACATACACCATGTTCTCTGCCTACGGCCAGTATGCTTGACGTAGCCAGGCGATACCAAGGCCAAGGGGTTAGAGGCGAATCGTTCATCATATCGATTGCCCCCGGGTTGTTCTGGAGGGAGCTCTTGGGGTGTCTCGGATGTTCGTACTGGGGTCAGTTAGCATATATCCGGCGGCAGGGCTGCACCCGTGTTACCATAAGTGCTTCCACCCACACTACTGCTCTCCAAAGTACGAGTCCGTTTGCTTGGTGGCGGGGTGCACTCGATCTCCTCCACCCTGCGCTTTAGAGATAGAAATAACCTGAAACAGGGTCAATCTAGTGCAAAGACAACGAGGGCCTTGAGATGTATGTACTCCTCTGAGACAACAATTTTCCGGTCATCTTCAAAGACACATTCCTGACGCCGCTGTCGACATTTATCGCAGGGATGTGTGCCGGAGCATTTGACTTTGCGAGATCGGCATCGCCTGCACCTGTGGAGAGTCAGGTTGGATGACGGATAAGCACCCCAGATTCAAGACTTACGCGTTGGAGGTCCGCTTTGGGCGCTCAGGGCGATCCATCTTGGACCCCAATGGCTATTGGATGCTAGCCTATGTGATTGTAGCAGAGAAACTTCATTGATATCGCTCTTGCAGTCGGTTAATTCATTGTTGATCGTATCCACGGGGTGAGTCAGCAACCCCGCAGTTTGATAACTAGCCAAAAACGAGGATTCGGCCACTGGAGCGGATGAATCGATAAGATTAGATAGCAATATATATGTGTTGTACTCTGTATACTTGCCAGATAAGCTTTTAATGCTATTCCTAGTAGTAAATGGATATACTGCTAACTAACGACAGTACTTCGCACGGGGTGATGCATTCTCAAATAAAGACTCCTACGACCAGACCAACACCAACCTGTTCTTCGCTGTAGCTATTCATATGACGGAACTTTTATATCTAAAATTATACTAAGATGTTGATGCATGTACATACAACTATGGAAAGAATCTTGACTGACCTAACAACTCCTTCCCAGGATAAATGCCCATATTTCGAAGCTCGATCGAGAGGATCAATATAGGACTAGTGTCGGGTTAAGGTAGACAAACGTCGCCGAGCTCGACCGGCATTGTGAGCCAATCAGGGCTGAAGGGTGTCCTTGCCGAAGGCTGTGCTTTTGTGTCTAAGCGCAGCCACACCGCTAAACTGCTTTCAGCAAGAGATACGCCGAGTCGGGTATGCACCAATCAGCCACCAGTTCATACAGATGTCAATTCTCAAAGGGGCTTAAAGCTAAATATACCACCGTTTACGCTCCCCCAGTTGAGGCCGTTTGGCTCTGGGGGATTCTCACTGACCCACAAGGGGATACTTGGTTATCTGGGGCGACCATTATATAAACCAGACGTGGCCCGGTCTCTCAGGTCGCATCAATTGTCACATTCTTTCGATTCGATTTCTCTCCGTGAAAGAACAATGGCGTCACTCCCTCATCCGTTTGACCCCATTACCCCCGGGGAGATCCAGTTGGCCACCAAGATCTTGCAGGCCGCTTTTCCCGGGGTCTCTCTGCGATACAAGAAAATTGATATCCAGGAGCCAATCAAGAAGGAAGTAGTGCCTTTCATCGAAGCAGAGAGACTGAGAAAGCCATTACCTCGCCGGCCGACCCGGTTGCTGCAGGTTCTCTTCCACCGATTGGACAATGGCGCATTCTACAAGGCATTGTTGGATGCAGGGAAACAGTCTGTCATCTCAGCTAAGGAGATGCCCAAAGATATTCAGGTATTTTCTACCACATCACGGTGGTTCTTAACTCTGAGTTAACGTGTCCAGGCCAATGTTGATGTAGATGAAATGATCGAGATGGAGCAGCTGTGCCTGAATCATCCCGCTGTCCAGGCCGAAGTGGCCAAGCTGCAATTACCAGAGGGGGTTACGGTTTGTAATGACCCCTGGATCTACGGAACCGATGATCCGAAGGAGACTCGCCGCCTGTTTCAATGCTACATGTATATCGTCGCCACCGACCACCCCCAGAACAACCAGTACTCTACGCCCTGCAAATTCTCCCCAGTATTTGACGGGATCACCAAGCAACTTGTACGCATGGACTATCTTCCCAGTGGCACCGACGTGCAAACCATGGAGACCCAGCCGTGGAAGCCCGTTGAGACCATCCAATATGCACATGACCTCCTTAAGGAGCCCTTGCGCACTGACCTTAAGCCGTACATTGTCCAGCAGCCGCATGGAGCATCCTTTGACGTTCAAGATAATGTGGTCTCTTGGCAGAAATGGCGGTTCCGCGTGGGTTTCAATAGCCGTGAGGGCCTGGTAATCTACAACCTGACCTACGATGGACGTAATGTGTTCTATCGTCTCTCCGTATCGGAAATGACCGTCCCCTACGGTGATCCTCGGGCACCCTACCACCGCAAGCAGGCGTTTGACGTAGGAGACGTTGGGTTCGGTATTACTGCGAACCAGCTATCCCTGGGATGTGATTGTCTCGGCCACATCAAGTACTTCGATGGCTACCGCTCCGACTCCAAGGGCAACCCGATCCATCTGCCCAACGTTATCTGTCTCCACGAGCAGGACAACGGGCTTCAGCATAAGCACACCAACTACCGTACAGGGGCCGCCACGGTAGTCCGCAACCGCCAGCTGGTTGTGCAGATGATCTGCACCGTGGCCAACTATGAATACATTTTCGCGTTCATCTTCGACCAAGCGGCCAACATCGAGCTCGAAGTACGTGCCACCGGCATTCTCTCCACCGTCCCATTCGACAACGAGGAGTTCGGCAAGACCGTTCCCTGGGGCACAAACGTGGGCCCCGGCGTGATGGCACCTTACCATCAGCACATGTTCTCGTTCCGGATGGATCCCGCCCTGGACGGGTTCCAAAACACACTTTACTACGAGGACAGCGTGCCCATGCCCGAAGACGAAAACAACCCATGGAACGTGGGATACACAACAGAGCAGACCGTCCTCCGGACGAGTGGGACTGCCAATACTAGCGTCGAACGCCACCGTGTATTCAAGATCCGCAACGACTCTCAAATCAACCCTATCACCTATAAACCCATCGCATATAAGCTGCAAACCGTACCCAGCCAGATGCTCCTCGCCAGCCCGAAGTCCTTTGGCGCCAAGCGTGCCGCCTTTGCCACCAAACCCATCTGGGTCACCAAGTACCAGGACGACGAGCTATTTGCCGCAGGTGAATTCACCAACCAAAGCAAGGAAAGCCAAGGTGTCGAGAAATGGGTGCAACGGAACGACCCGGTAGAGAACGAAGACATCGTCCTCTGGCACAGTAAGTCCTACTCCTCGCTCCCGTCGGCAGAGATGGAGAACTAACGTAGGTAGCATTCGGTCTGACCCACAACCCCCGCATCGAAGACTTCCCCGTCATGCCGATGGAGCGCATTAGTGTCATGCTGAAGCCTGACGGGTTCTTCACGAAAAACCCGGCGCTGGACGTACCGCAATCCTCGCAGTCATTTAATAAGTCGACGCTGCACCCGGAACCGGCAGCCTGCTGTGGGCCAGCGAAGGGCAAGCTGTAAACACGGGTATTTGATAGGACATAAAGCCATGAATTAATGACTGATGATCAATCGCCTTGACATGAATACTAAGTAATCTAGTGGAAACCAGAATAAATAGATCGCAACTACTACTCCATGCTACGATCAACATTGACGCAACTGTACTGTACTATGGTTAACTGAGACACTCTCGATAAGAATGCCCTAATTCGTAGTATTACATTGAATACTCTTGTCATTCGAAAGATTTAATAGGTCTGTAAGACTTTATTTACGAAACACTTACGTCTTTGTGAAGGAGCCGTATTTATTTTATCATTAGCGAGTACATAATAGATAACAATGCATTTCAGGGTCCCAGCACTATAAACCCTATTCCGTGGAAGTTGAACTAGCATCCCATGACGCTGACCACACGCTCACCAGATAATCGTTTAGGTCTCATTCCGGAATCAGTCAAGAGCCTGGAGACGTCTTAGACGGGTCCTTAAGCCACGCACTTATGTTTCTAGTTCGGAAATTATCGAGATTGACACTATACCAGATGGTGACGTCTTGATGATTGCTAGTTTGGGGGAGATTTTGGCCTGGTAGGCGGCGCGAGTCTAATGGTCCGTAGGCTGGGGTGTGAACCAGCACCGTACAAAGTACCTTTGGGTCAATGTTAGGAACTGGCTAGGTGTACTCCCGCTAAACTATCGATGGGCCTGTTCGGTCCAAGATCGCCCGGCCATTTTGCCGTACAGTTGCAGGTTTCCCTACAGTTAGTCTTTGGATACCCTGTGGCCTACTCCTAATGAGCCCCGCCAGTGCAGGTTTCTTTGTATTGTTCCTTTCCTTGTGTAGTATCAAGTTGTCCTAGAGCGGTAGGTGATATTCTGTTGAATTTCTTTGTTGTCCCCTCGATTTCGTGCCCCTCCCCCCTTTCCCCGACCTCTTGTTGGTGGTTCTTTGTAGTTAGAAAAGCATGTGTACTGATGTTAGGTTTGGCCTACCCAAAAAACTAAACCAGAGCCCTGTCATTATGGGGAAGGGTTGACTAGAAAGAAGGTTAAGGTTGACGCGTTATTTAACCTTAATATTAACCAAGGTACCGCACTAAATCTATTTTCATAGGTAGTTGTAGTGTGTACTAATAACAAAATAGCATGAATATAAAGCTCTAAACCTACCTGCCAATTACTGTATGACAGGAGTCCTATATAACTGAGACTCTATGTCTCAGTAACCCTTGCAGACTATTCACATCCACCGATATCGGTGACCTTCATCCCCATGACTTTTCCTCACACGTCAAACGTCCAAACCCTCCGGCCCACCCTTGACCAGCCGAGGCAAAACAAGAGAGTGAGCAGTCCCGTCCGCAAACATCTTCAAGAAAGCTGCGACCAACTGGTCCATTCCCTCAGCAGAGGCTGCAGCGATCCAGTCTGCTGTACTCTGTGCGGTAACAGTCTCACCAACCTCCTCTTCCACGTAGGCACGAGCCTGCTGGACGGGGACGACAGTTTCCCCGCAGTGGTGGACATAGATCGGCTCCTTGGTGTCGACAACAGCCCCAGCCAGTACAGTTTCGAGGACTGTCCGAGCCACGGACTCCACATGCACAAAATCAAAGTATCCGCCCCAGCCCGGCAGCTCGGGCACGCTCTTCAAGAGGCGGGAGTAGCGCAGAACGGTGTGCACAATGTCCATAGATGGAGTGTCAGCCCCCGTCACGCTCGTCGGTCGGTGAATCCACACAGGTATTCCAGTCTGAGCAGCGACGCGTTCGAGGAACCGCTCGCTGGCCCACTTGGATGCCACATACCCGTCACTACCATCGGTGGGGGGCTGATAAGCCGCGACAGAAATTTCAGGATACGAGTCCTTCCCGCTTAGATGGGCAACTCCAGACGTGGAGATGAAATGGAAGGGCGTCCGATACTTAGCTGCGAGGCGGACAAGCTCCTTGGTGGATTCCACGTTTGGCCGGCGAAGCGAGTGATAAGTCTTCATGAAGGAGACATCAGCTCCGTTGTGGATGATGATATCAGCTGATGCAAAGAGTCTGTTTGCCTCGCTCTCGGAGAGCCCCAGGAAAGGCAGGTTGAGGTTGCCTGCGTGGAAGGAGATCTTCTTTGACTGCTCGCGGGCTGCGGCGGGGTTTCGCACAGCCAGACATTCGATCTTTCCAATCTCCGGGCTATCAGACAGCTGCTGGCACAAGGCACGACCGAGGAACCCGGTGGCACCAGTCAGAAGAACAGTCTTTGACCTAGTAGAGGCCGTTGATGTGCGCGACACTTGCTTTAGGGATGCGATTTCGGGGGAAACAGCTGTCTCAGCCTCCCAATCAATTTCAGAGAAAGTGCCAGTACCGGCTGCATCAATACGTGCAGCAAGGCCTTCGAGTGTGTTGTTCTGGAAGAGCTCAGGCAGGGAAAGTTCAATGGAAAGACGATCGCGGATCTCAGCTTGCATCTTGAGCAGGAGTAGCGAATTACCACCGACTGAGAAGAAGTCAGATGCTTTCTCAATCTTCAGAGATTCACCGACATCTGCTAGAAGCGTCTGCCAAATGTCGCTCAACTGGAGTTCGGTTCCGGTCAATATCTCGGTGGACTCGGCGCCAGGGATGTCACCCAAAGGAATAGTGCTTAGCGCGCGCCGATCAAGCTTTCCCGAAGCCGTGATTGGAAGCTTAGCCAGATTCTCGATGATGGCCGGCTTCATGAACAAGGGGAGAGGGAGCGTAGAGCGCAACGATCGAAGGTATTCGGATGAGTTGTCTTTGGGTTCACGATCGTCTGCGAAAACAACAAACGCGGCCAGGAACTTCTCCGTTTCTCCTCTGAGGACGACTGCAGCATCGGACAGCATGCCACGGGCATTGTTAAGGATCGCATTTTCAATTTCTTCCAATTCGACGCGCACTCCTCGGAGTTTGACCTGCAAGTCTCCTTCAATTCTGCCTTGATAGATCAGAGATCCGTCTTCGAGCATGCGTGCTTTATCTCCTGTACGATAAAGGGTCTTCCAGCCATTGGCCACCTTCTCAGAACCCGAAATTGAGTCTGGTATGAACTTCTGCTTCGTAAGTTCTGGATTCTGCCAGTATCCCGGGCTAATACCAGGTCCACCGAGAACAAGTTCACCAGGAAAGCCGACTGGGACGGGCTTTGCCGCATCGTCGACGACATAAACGGCGTAGTTGTCGAGCGTGCGACCAATTGGAACTCTTTCATCATTGATAGCCTCGTAGTCGACCTCACACATGGTAGCAACGATGGATCCTTCAGTCGGGCCATAAGCATTCAAGACCGTTAGTGTGTTAAGTTGGAGATCACGGAACTTCTCCTTGAGGCTGACAGGGAATGCCTCGCCACTTGAGAGCGCAATGCGCCAGGACTTGCAAGATGTCAGTGTCTCTCTGCCATATCGCAGTAAAATCGAATACTCCGAAGGTACACAGAAGGTGAATGTCACTCCTTCGCGTTGGATCAACGCTGCCAATGCCTCTGGATCCCTTTGGCTGTCGGTCACGATGAGAGTACCTCCGTTGGAAAGACAGTAGAATATTTGAGCAAGTGACAAATCAAAGCTGACTGAACTCTGCTGCAAGACCGTCTCCTTTTGCAGACCCATTCGCTGAGATGCAGCAAGCACATGGGACATATAGTTGGCATGTGTTAGCTGGACACCTTTGGGTTTGCCAGTTGAGCCGCTTGTGAACATGATGAATGCGTTTGATGCGGCTTCGCTGAGGTCCGGAATGGTCTTTTCAGTGTGGCTTGGTAGAAATGTAAGGTCGACAATATTCCTACCCTGTGGACGGAGTTGTTTCGCCATACTGGCTGTTGCCTTGTCGTGGACCAGAGCCTGCAGGTGCGCCTCATCACAGATCAATGCCAAACGCTCGACAGGCATACTAGAATCGAGAGGCACGTAGACGGCACCGAGGCGTAGGATTGCCAGAAGCGCACACACCAAATCTGCCGATGGTTGGCAACAAACGCCAATATGCGACCCAGCCCGCACCGAAGGAAGGGTACTGAGTGAAGCGGCGATAGCGTTTACTCGGTCACCCATGGCACGGTAGGTCAGAACACTTCCGGAAGAGTCTTTCAGTGCTGGTTCATCAGGCTGAGTCTCGACCAGATCATTGATTCTCTTCGACAGCGTGTCCGGCCAAGTTGTTTTAATCGTTTTGCCAATCCCCAACGACGTGGCCTTGTAAGATTCACCTTCTGGGAACAGAACATAGTCACTGAGTCGCATACCAGGATCCAAAGTAGCTTGCTCGAGAATGTTGACGTAGGCCGTGATGAGCAATTTCCCGCCTTCGCGGTCAAACAAGTAGTCCAACAAACCTAATGACAAGAAGCCGCCAGTGCCATCGTCTTTCTCATCGACGGAGACTGTGATATCATAAGGATTCCGTGCGTCCTTGTAATCGTGCCATTCGAGGCTGATGTCACCAATAGTGCTTTGCTTCAGGGCCCCCATCCGATAATTGAATATTGTCTGGAACAGTGGGGGGAAGGTGGTTGATCTGGGAATGTCGAGCTCGTCGAGAATGAGATCGATCGGGATGTCTGAGTTACCAAGTGCGGCATAGACGGAAGTGCGAGTCTGTTGGACCATGTCCTCGAAGCTTGGGTCATTCTGAAGCTTGAAACGCAATGGCAGCATGTTCAAGAGGAACCCGATTGTCTGCATGAAATCCGGGTTGTTGCGGTTTGCATCCACAATACCGACGCACTGATCATCAACGCCAAGGAAATGATGAAGCATCACTTGGAAGGCAGTGAGATAGAAATGCAACGTCGTAACCTTTGCTTTCTTGCTGGCTACTCTCACCTTATTCGTCAATGCGGGCTCGAGAGGCTGCACAAGCTCGATGGTTTCGTATTTTGTCATCGCCTTGCGGGAACTGGTCTTTGCAAAGCTGAACAAGGGGAGGGCACTCGGTAGATCACGGAACTGTGACTTCCAGTACTGAAGTTGCTTTGCATATACACCGTTCTCAATAGCCTGTCGTTGCTTCTCTGCGAATAACGAGTATTGCAAAGGGCTTGGATGTTTCACCGTCGGCGAGGTATAGCATCGTTCGATGTCTTGGAGAGTGAGTTGCCAACTGACTCCGTCCATCATGATATGGTGATATCCAAAGACAATCGTGTGATAGTCAGGTGCATGGCTCAGGAGAACAACACGGAAGGTATCACCACGCTCAAGGTCATAGACGTGGCTGTGCATTTTCTTGAATTCTCGTTCAACATCACTCTGATCATTCGAAGAGTTCAGTATACGGAGCCTGAAGGTGCTCTTTCTCAAAATGACCTGCTTGGCGTCACCGGTGAAGCTGTCTGTGTGGAACGAGGTGCGGAAGGATTCGTGCCTTTGGGTCACTAGTCGCAGTGCCGTCTCGAGTCTGTCAACATCCAATAGCCCCTTGAGGCGATAGGAGGTTGTGCAGTTGTATGTAGTCTTGTCTTCTAGGTAGATGGAAGGGAACCAGATTCGAGATTGCCCGTAAGACATTGGGTTGATGCGCAACCACGGAGGCAAGACTGGCTTACTCAATGTGGTAGACTCATTGTCGGATGTATCAGGGGTTGCTTGTGCTTGAGTGTCTCCGACTGTCGAACTCTCGTCAGATGAGGCACTCGATTCCACGCGTGCCTTGTCCTCAGCAAGAGCAACGTTCTCCGGTGGACTCTGTCCAACCGCCAAGTCACTTTCCTGCTTTTCGGGAACGGGCTCATCGGCCCCAGCGGCATTGTCTGCAAGGATGTCGACTGCTAGCTCGTCACATACTGTAGTCACCGAGGTCAGTACCAAGATGTCGTGTTCAGGCAAGAGTGCTTACAGTCCACAACGCTCGCACCCCCCAACAGCTTCAGGACGGGCACATCCTGTCCAACTTCTCTCAGGAACCAGGATCGAATTTCAACCGCCACAAGCGAGTCCGCCCCCATTTCCAACAACGAGATGGACTTATTGACATTGTCGGGCGGCAACTGTAGAATTACAGCTAGTTCAGCAGCAAACATTTCTTGCAGGATTAGTGAAGCATCTTGAACATTACCAGCTTCGCGGAGTCTGGTCTTAGGAGACGCATCTGATCCAACGCTCTGGGCCCTTTGTGGCTCAGATTCGAAGTTGTGATGAGAGAAGCGCGGGTTGGCGATCCAGCTTGGCCGTTTACTGCTATCGGATAGATCGACTTTAGCCAGACCGGTCATGATTTGAGAACGTTCGCCTGTGACCGGGTGGCCACCGAAGATGGCTTCGCTGAATATGTCACGGATATCGTGCTCGGAAATTGGCATTAAGTTCTGCTTGCCGAGGAAATGCTCATAGGTCGCCTTTCCCTCGCTGCGGCGAATGTAGCCGATTCCCATGATCATTCCGATGTCGACAACCGAGCCAGCTACGCCTCGCGCTTTGCGCTGAGCGGCGAGGCCAACCATATACTAGAGGAAAACTGTTTTCAGTAATTGTTCGTGGGCAGGGTTTGGGTTACATACTTGATTTGCTGCGGCGTAATTTGCTTGCCCAGGATTTCCTAGCGAATAACGTCATTCTGTGAATCCTTATGCCCTGAAAGGACGGGGACTTACCAACGACGGCTGCAGTGGAGGAGGTCATTATGAAGAAATCCAATGGACTATCCCAAAACTCCTGGTCAAGGTTGTTAGACCCATCAACCTTCGGCCGGAGCACCTTGCGGAAGGTCTCCTCGTCCATGTCTGCGAAGGGCTGGTCGTGCATAATCATGGCTCCGTTGACCACTCCAGCAACTGGAGGCAACGTGTTTCGCAGTTTCTGGACGAGCCGGGCAACATCAGGTTTTCTCGTGACATCGCAGGGCTCGATGTGCAGGTCAGCCCCCATCGAACGAAGTTCGGCCTCCCATCGTGTGCCTCTTTGAGGATTTCTGTGATTTGTCTGTCAGCTGCTTTCCCCTACGAATCACGCTTTCCCAAGAAACTGATGTTGAACTCACCTGCTGGAGACAACGATGTGGTGTGCGCCATTGTTTATCATCCACCTACAGAGGAATTGTCCCAATTCGCCCGTCAATCCAACAAGAAGGTAGGTCTTCGTGCTTGAAAACAATTTGGAGGCATCCAGTGGCTGAAGGGTGGTGGGTAGTCGTTCGTCACCAGTCCAGTCAATGATTGTCAACGGAGACCTATCAGACGCCGCGTGTAGTAGCTCGCTTGGTCGCACTCGTAAAAGGGCTTGATTCGCGTCAGCGGTGGCCTGGACAAAGAAATCTTGCCATAATTCCACTGGTTGTTCCACGCTGTGTGAGGAGGCATGGTCGCTGAAAACGACATCGGATGTGAGTACCACACTGTCATGAGGCAGGACATCTATCAGCCTTCCAAGGTACTTCTGGCCAATAGAAATGTCGATCAGCATTTTGGCATCCCGAGGCAGACTTGATCGAAGCATTAACTTCGACGCGTGAGGGTGAAGGTACAGCCTAGGAATGTGCGCCGGCAGGGAGGTGTCATTGGGAATGTCGGTGGCCACAACGACGCGCTTTCCGTTTGTCTGTGCTCTGTCCCAAATGATGGAGGCAAGTTGGCTGTCCAGTCCATGCAAAACAGTTGACCCTGATGAGGAGGCCAAGTCTACCACCCGCCGAGCCACCAAGTATCTCAAGGCAGCCTCGATTGAAAGACTTGGAGTGAATCCCTCACGAAGGGGTTGCGTCCACGAGGTGGGAACAGTCACCAGAGAGGCATTCTGAGGAAGGAGGGCCAAGTACTCAGCATCAGTCGTCAGATCGCGCCCAAGTCCGACGAAGAGAGAAACGCCCTCCGAAACTCGAACTGCGACAAGTGAACTTTCACTCAAGTGCAGCGACTTGTCCGTGGTCGGAGTAGAGACGAAAGTGTCTCTCTTGAGACCCTGGACAGCAGTGTACCTGCCGGCTTCGCTGCCGTAGATTGTCTTGGAAAGTATTACCTGAATAGAAGACGAGTCAACGTCTCTCTGTAGGAGCCTTTTGATGGAGTTGAGACGATCATTGAGCTCTCTCACAGGCACAATCCGAGGGAGCCAGAAAAGACCCCGATGCAGGACGAGTTCCTGCTCAGCAGTCCAGAGGATAGATTTGTCGTTCCGAATCTTCTTCGTTTGGATGATCACCAAGCGAAGGATGGATTCTGCGAGATGCAGCTCGTGGTTCTCGGTGTGCTCAACGTCAAGACATTGAAGGTGCAACTGTGGGATCTCCGCCGCAATAGTACGGAGAAGACCGAGTGACGCGGCGTGGTAGGGGTTGCTTTGGCGATGTCCCTGCAAGATCCATAAAACACTGGGTACACGCTCGAATAGCAGCTTGAGGTTCGAATAAGACTTCTTATTGAAGTCCTTGATGAAAGGAAAGTCGAGGTCTTTCAGAGACAACACGGCGGTAACGTCCACCAAGGTCTTCTCTTTCAAGTCTTCAAGGGAATCCACAATCAGGATAGTTTGAAACCAAGACTCGAGAAGCATTTCTAGTTGGCTGATCAGTTGGGACGTCATTAAGGTCTTCCCGCCAAGGATCAAAAGCTTCCCGGGCAGGGATCCAACCACTTTTCGAGATTGGAGAGGCTTCCGTAAAGATTTCACAACATTGTCTGTAGCCTGGGACACAATGAGAGACATCTGAGGCTCTGGGTTGTCATTGAGGGTCGCATCAATACCAGAATATCCCGTTTGGCGAAGTAATCGGTCCCAGGTGACCAGTGACACCGTTCTCGCTTCAGACCGGTCCTCGTCTTCAAGTGACCACCAATGTGGAAGAATAGACATTACGAAGGGGTACTGAATTCCGGTTCCCGTTGGCTCAAAGAAGACAGAGAAGCCACCAGGTTTCAACAGTCCCCGAAGTCTCGAGAGGGATTCACGAATGGGAAGAGACAGAGGTGTTAGGCCGACCGCAATGATAAGGTCGAACGAGCCAACCTTGAGCCCTTGCGATTCAAGGTCATCGTTCAAATTCAGGTCCTTTGTCAGAACACCACTGGGTAGACCGCTGTGCACATCCGCAAAGTAGTCCGGCGAGGTGGTAGATGTGTTGGCAACAGTGTAGCTCGAGAAAGTATCTTCCAGTTCCTGAAGAATTGACTTTGTAACCCGTCCCGCGTACGCACCGATCTCCAAGATCGACATCCGAGGATACTTGTGAGCGATTTGTTTAGCGACTGAGCCAAGTTGGCCATAGCCCAGCTCTAATGTCGATCCTTTTCTGAGGGATTGGTCAAAGATCGCTGCAATATGGTCGTCCGCCAAAGTCGCATCACCGCTCACAATAGCCGGGAGTCTCTCTCCGATCGCCTTGCTCAATCTCAGATCATGACTGTCGGGATGTTGCCTGACAAGATCGGCGATGTTATCCTCGGTATCGCTTGCCCATGCCAAGTTCTCACCACCTGGTCCCTGAGAGGAGAGAGAGCTTGCGAATCGAAGGAGGTTTTTATATTCGGGCATAACACGCGGCACGGTGCCCTCCCTGCTTAGCTCTCTCAGGTAGAAATGAGCAACGCGTTTGCATGCGTCTGTGGGCGCCTGCTTCTCAGAGGTTTCAAGGCCGCAGCGACTAGCACTGAGACCACTCAAGATATCCAGGTTCCAACGATCCTCGAGGAATAGCTTGCGGTCGTCACTTTCCGAGCCAGGGGCAAAAGAACTGACCGACAATTCTTCAATCAGGACTTGCATCTGCCCAGACCTTTCATTGAATACGTAAAGGTCACCATTGATAGCAGGCATTTGGAAAGTGTTCGCGGTCACAATATTGGTCACGACGGCGTCGACGGTGACACTGGACTGAGCATCGATATTGGCTTGACACTCAGGGACAGCCAGAACAATCCGACCAAATTTCTGAGGAAGGAATGATGTTCGAAGCGACCCGTCATCCGGTGAAGCATATGCGGCAAATATTGCCTGGAAACAAACATCCAGCGTGATAGGGTGGATGAGGAATGACCCACTGTCCTCTCCTGGGGCGCCAATACGAATGGTAGAATTGTGAAGCCGGCGCTGCGCAGCTTGAATACCGCGGAAGGATCCGGAGTAGTTGAGACCAATGCTCGTCATTTGTTCGTAGAAGTCATCCACGTCCATGGGGTAGAGAATCGGACGAATGTTGCCCCTAGCTGGAAGACCAGTGTCCTGTGACCGGCCCAGAAAGACAGATAGCTTTCCTGTAAAGATCTTCTTGATTGGTCCCGAACCATCAGCAGGACCTGAGAAGCAGGCGTATTCTGCACGAATGATACCCTTGTCTGCCCCCTCCGTAGATTCAATATGGTGGAGATTGAAGAGTACCTCAGCTCCAGGCGGACCATCTGGGAGGGTGATAGCATTCTCAATCTCCAGATCAGTGATTTCGATGGTCTCAACTGGAAGGTCCTTACTGAGCGATTGCGCCGCGCTCACTGCCATCACACAGTAGGCAGCGGCTGGAACAATGATTTGGCCCTGGAAGCGGTGATCGCGAAGCCACGGCACCTCGTCTGCTCGAAGAATATTGCGCCAGCGAGGCGCATGTTCGACATCACCAGGGAGTCTGGTACCCAGAAGTTCATGGAATGGGGGTCGGCCTCGATATTGCTTAGACAGGCGCCCCTCCCTCCAATGAACCTGGTTGTGCTCCCACTGATAGGACGGTAGATTCCTTGGGATGGGAGCAGGCTGCGGGACATCTTCACCCATGGCTGTTGCGAAGCCCTTGAAGTCAATAGCACCTGCAGGAAGATGTGTCCACAAGAATCCCAAGAGACTGCCAAAAGAAACAACATCGTCCTTACCCCGGTGCAGTGCCCCTTGGTAAGGTCGTGGGTTGCCAGACACTTCCTTGATGGTTTGCGTTGCAGGTCCTTTGAGCGTAGCATGGGGTCCAACCTCGATGCAAATATCAAAAGGACCACGCCTGTCATAAGCGGCCTGCACAGACTCAGAGAAGAGGACTGGGTTGGCCATGTTGTCTCGCCAGTATGTGCCTGAAAGCTCCTCTTTTCTGGGCCGTCCATTGTCGCTGTAGACGCTGGAGAGCCACGCACAACCGGGTTTGGCTGACTGTGCATGGATTGGGACAGCAGTCAATGCTTCGAGATAGGGTTCTGAGCAAGGCTGCATATGCGGACTGTGGTACGCGGTGTCCACCTTCAGTGCTCGAGCAAACTTGCCATCAGCATCAAGAGCACTCTTAGCTGCCAGGATGACGTCAAGGTCTCCAGACAGTGTGACACTGGATGGCGAGTTACTCGCAGCTACTACGATGTGGCCTTTGAAGCCAGGGCGATTACAGAAGTTCCGTGCTTCTTCAAGGCTAAGACCGGCAGCCAGCATTCCACCCTTTTGACCATCCGATCCTGCTGCAAGGTTGGCAAAGTAACCGCGATAATAGGCGATTCTAATAGCTTCGCGGGCTGTTATGCACCCGCTAGTGTAAGCTGCCGCAATCTCACCAGAGGAGTGGCCTACCACAGTATGAAAAGAGACACCAGCGGCATGCAAGAGGTTCACCGTCGCAACCTGCACCGCAGTGCACAACGGCTGGGATAAAGCAGCTTCTTCCAGACGAGAGGTTTTCGGAGGCGCCATGAGCTCTTTTTTCAAAGACCACGAAGGCGGATGTGGCAGTTCAGATAGATGTTGCTCTAAGTCCTCAATTGTCTCTCGAAAGAGCAGCGAATGAAGGATCAGAGCCCGGCCCATGGTGGCCCATTGCGCACCTTGGCCGGTGAAAACGCCCAGGATACGAGGTCCAGCCTCAAGATCCAGGATTTTCAGTCGTGTACCAGAGTCACGTCCACGTTCAATGGCAGCGTCCATCTGCGCGATAACATCCTTCTGAGAACCGGGCGAAAAGGCAACCCTGACAGGGAAAATGCTGCGACGTTCAAGCAATGTCCAGGAAAGACTCTTCAGATCAACCGAGTCGTTTGTCTTCAAGTACTCTGAATATGCTTGGATCATACTGAGGAGGGATTGTTCGGTATGGGCAGACAGGACGATTGGGAGCGAAAGTGGACGCTCGGTGATCGCCGCGCTCACGTTCGACTCTCTCTCTGGCAACTTGTCATGAATAGCTGGGCTATGAATAGCCGGGTCATAATGCTCAAGAATGACATGGCTGTTGGTGCCGCCAAAGCCAAAGGAGTTGATGCTTGCTCGTCGGGGAGTGCCTTCTACGGTCGTAGGCCATTTACGCGGCGCTGTTGGAATCTCCAAGTGCGTGTACCAAGGTTTGACACCCGGGTTAAGCGACTCGAAATGCTGATTGGGAGGAACAATGCCATTTTGCATGGCAAGCATAGCCTTCAGCACTCCAGCCACTCCAGCGGCTCCCTCTGTGTGGCCAATCACGGTCTTGATAGACCCAACAAGTAGCTTGCCTGGGTCAGTGCTTTGCTCATTGAAAAATGCTCGGCTGATGGCAGATGCTTCCAGGGGGTCACCTGCAGGGGTACCCGTGCCGTGAGCCTCGAAGTACTGGCATCTCTGCTCCGGCTGGAGGGGGTCCAACCCAGCCTTTGCGTAGGTAGCACGAATCAAGTCCAGCTGAGCCTCATTACTCGGCATGGTAATACCTCGTGTACGGCCATCCGAATTCACACCGGTTTCCCGGATGATACCCTCGATATGATCTCCATCGGCCAACGCACTGGACAGGGTCTTGAGAAACACGGCCGCAATGCCTTCACCACGAGCATATCCATCGGCTTTGGCATCCCACATCTGGGACCATCCAGAGGGAGAAAGCATGTGCAAATTGGACTCTGCCTGATAGTTCTCTGGGCTAAGAAGCAGATTGGCGCCAGCTGCACATGCCGTTTTACTCTCGCCGGATCGGAGGCTTTGAACAGCCTGATGAATTGCCACCAAGCTGGACGAACATGCCGTGTCGATGGTCATGGAAGGTCCTTTCCAATCAAAGAAGTAGGACACACGATTCGAGATGATCGCCCGAGATGCCCCGGTGGCAATATATTGTGGGAGGTAGTCAGGGTCACGGACTTGAATGTCGTGGAAGTCATTGCACATCAGTCCCACATAAACCGATGTCTGGCTCCCTTCCATTCCTTTCAGAGTCAGACCGGCAGATTCCATGGCCTCAAATACAGTTTCCAGGAGAAGCCTCTGCTGGGGGTCGATTGCCTCCGCTTCTTTCGGGGTGGTGTTGAAAAAGGTTGCATCAAACAGTCGGTGGTCTTCCTCCAGGAAATACGAGTTTGTGACATTGGTCGTCGTATGGTGCTCCGGGTTAGGATGATAGAAGCCATCCCCATTGAAACGAGTTGTGGGAGGCTTTCTAGAAAGATCGCGAGGATGGTGCAATAGATCCCATAGCTTTGATGGGGAGTTGGCACCGCCGGGAAATCGACAGGCAGTGCCAATGATGGCGATAGGTTCATTACCAACAGCCATTTTGGTCTATAATTTGTCTACACCTCTAAAACAACCGACGAAGATGTTTTGAAAATGGATGTGTTGATCATATTCTGTCTGCCCTCATGCCTTGTACATCGTCAAATAGGTCCATCTCATGAAGTGACCGGGTCAAACTGATATCGGCCCCCACGACACATCGCCGAAGCAGAGACTACCAACGAGATAGCCTTAGCTGTTCGATTCCAGAACAGTCCCGGTGGAAAAAAGGTTATTCTCCATGTGCCGTAGAAGCAACACGAGGGACGCCGATCGCCTCCCAGGAGTGAATCCTGAGACCGCCGATTACGGCGTATTCCTAAGACATGTTTCCCCTCTTGGCTCTCAGTGAGTCTGAGAAAGCCCGAAATACGTGATCACCAAAATGAGGAAGATGGCCGACTTGGAGTATCTGCTCGGTTGTCAGCACGGCATGTTGGCGGAGGGTCGGAGATGAGAAAGTAAGCGCTAAGGGTACTAGACAAGGCATCTGTCACAATATAGAAGGAAAGGATTTGTGCGTATTCGTTTGGCAATCACCCCCCATGAGAAAAAAGATGCCATCGCAGTACGCCATTGTGGCAGAGGGCCCCAGCCGGGTCCGGCTTGAGTCCAACGTCGAGATACCTCAGCCAGGAGAAGATGAAGTTTTAGTCAAAGTTCATTCGATTGCTCTCAACCCGGTGGACTGGAAGACCTTGGCCTACTCCAGTACCCCAGGGGCTATCAGCGGGTGCGACTTTTCAGGGACCGTGGCAGGTCCCGTTGGTCCCAAATGCAAACGATCACTGAACGAAGGGGAACGAGTGTGTGGATGGGTCATGGGTGCGAATCCTCTTCGTCCTTCGAATGGTTCCTTTGCCGAATACGTCGTGGCAAAGGCCGACCTGCTCTATCGAATCCCGGACAAGATTTCCTTTGAGAGCGCGGCCACCATTGGAATCGGTGCGACAACTGGTGGGCTCTCCTTGTTCAAAACCCTCGGTCTTTCCTTTGCCGAACGCAAGGTGACTCCTTCATCGCCTTCCGTGCTTGTGTACGGAGGAGCATCCTCGTCAGGTGTCATTGCCATCCAGCTTCTGCGGATGGCTGGGTATCGTGCCATCGCCGTCTGTTCGCCCAAGAACTTCGGCTTAGTCAAAGATCTCGGTGCAGAAGTGGCATTGGATTATCACTCGGACACGTGCGGCAAGGATATCCGTGCCTACACGCAGGACGATCTTGGCTATGCGCTAGACTGCATCTCCAGCACGAGCAGCATGGGGATCTGCTATGACGCGTTGCGCAGTCAGCCGGGCGCACGGTACGTCTCGCTTGACCCATTCCCCGACCGCGTGCAGCGCTTGCGACCAGAAATCCATGCTGAATGGATTCTTGCGTTCACTGTGACCGGCGAAGAGGTGGGGCTTGGTGGCGCCTTCCATCGGGACCCAACGCCTGAGGATTATGAGTTCGGGATTTCATGGTGTCCGAAGATTGACCGGATGCTAGAAGAGGAGAAACTTCGTCCACAGCAGCCCACTATTGTGGAAGGGGGGTTGCCAGGAGTGGCCGAGGGCCTGGAGAGGCTGAAGAGGGGCGAAGTGCATGCGTCCAAGTTGGTATATGTGGTTGGACAGGGGTAGTCGGAGAAATTATTATCAGAACAGGGGTTGTCGGAGAATTGATTGAATGACAACATACATGCATGAACCGGCTAAACTCTTCCCAGTCATTTTCAAACAACAAGAAGTAGAATTAAATCGTATTCTGAAACTCGTATTATGTATGCAAATTGAAACTTAAAGTCATGATTAAACTCAATCTATCAACTCCCGAGATACTACAATGTTGGTCTGATGTCCTTCATGGTCTCCACACTTGCCGTGCTACTATATATATTGTTTGTGTACCCTTAACAACCTCAACTATGAGAAGGACGAGAATGCACTTGCTAGCATTGCACCAAACTATAAACAAAACTCATTCCCTTGCACTTCAGATATTCCTGCTCCCATTTGCCACCGTGATACATGTCTCCACCCACAATTTGTCAGAAATTAGAGCGCAACCTCGCCGCGCAAGGCCTGCACCTTACGGGAAACGCACCGCAGACAACACGGCACAAAAGTACATGATCCAGCCGGGTCCATCCACAGTCAGCATGCGGATGAAGTTCATAGCGAGCCACTCGTGTGTGGCCTGAGTGTTTTTCGAGCCCGCATCTTCCTTCTCGCAGATCCGTGCGATGATCTTCATCGCTCCCGGGCCGTAGAGGAAATGCCCCGCGGAGAAGACCATTCCAGCCCAGTAGAAGTACTTCGTGGTGGGATCGAGGGTGGCTCCGTATTTCCACGTATTGATCAGCGCGGTTCCAAATGCGAGCGGATACGAGGCGCCCACAACGGCGATGGTGCGATCGAAGAAGCCCGGGAACCAATGTGGGAGAACAGGTCCACCGGCTTTGGCGAGAGCAGGCTGAGCGAAGGGTCGAATTGCGGTGGTTTGGTCAATTCCACACATCACGGACGCGGTTGAGATGACGAGAGGGGCCAACCTCAGGAGGTTGAGGCCGAGGTTTAGGTCTGTGGTTGTCATGGTGCTGGCGACTTTTGCTTGCTTGGAGGCCGTTGGCTGTCCGGGTTTGCGTGCAGTCTTCCAAGGCCCGTGGGTGGTGTAGTTATACAACCTCGATATTCTGTCGGTCTCTCCTTCAATCATACGACAACATAAGACCATTGATTTCGGCGACCCTATAGACCAGAGCCGAACATTTCGGCGAGGTTGGATGCCGAATCGCCTGTAAGACTATCGATCAGTAAGCAAAGGTGAAAAGCCAACAAAAGCTCAACTTAGTCAACTCCACAGGAGGTCGATATGTAAGGCACGACACCACCCCCACAGATTGCCAGTCTCAAGCTTGGCATCATTTCGAAAATGTACCAGTTCTTCAAAGACGGCTTCTTCAACTTCGAACTCGTCCGACTACTTGGATCTGCAACCTTTGGCGGATGCGAGATCGGCGAGGCACTCGATGTCCTCCCTCTCATCAAAGAACAAGACCCGAACAGCTGGTATAATGCATGGGTGAAAGCCGGATCCCGAGCAGAAACACTTGCCAAAGAGGCCGAGCTACAAGGAAACCTAGCCGCCCGCCGCAATGCATTGCTCCGATCCGCGAACTATTTCCGCGCAGCTCAATTCATGCTCAACACGCGACCAGATGACCGCATTCTCGAAACGGCAGAGCGCTCGATCCAGAACTTCAAAAAGGCCATCCGTCTCCTGGACGGGCCTGTTTACGAAGTTGACATCCCATACGAGGGCATTCACCTGCCAGGCTACCTCTACTTGCCCCCAACGTCCAAGCGCTTACGAGACGCCAAGACGCCTGTCTTGATCAGCACTGGAGGCCTAGACTCGACCGTTGAGGAGCTTTATTTTATTGGCGGGGCCTCAGGGCCCGAGCTGGGATACGCCGTGCTTACATTCGAAGGCCCCGGTCAAGGCATTGTATTGCGCCGCGAGGCCCACTCATACATGCGACCTGATTGGGAAGTTGTCACGGGGGCCGTGGTGGACTTTCTCTACGGATTCGCGACGCAGCATCCCGATCTCGAGCTCGATCTGACCCGCATTGCGCTCCATGGTGCCACGCTGGGAGGCTATTACGCGCTGAGAGGCGCGGCCGATCCCCGTATCTCCGCCTGTATCGCGGTAGACCCGTTCTATTCGATGTGGGAAGTTGCCATCACTCGCATGCCAGCTCCTTTTATCAAGGCCTGGACATCAGGCTGGCTGGGCGATGGCATCTTCAACGGCACAATGAACATTCTTTCCCGGCTCAACTTCCAGATCAAATGGGAGATGAACCAGGTGCAGTGGGCCATGGGTATGAAGACCCCGGCAGATGCCATGCGACGTATGCAGGACTTTACTCTCCGGACTGCCGATGGTGGAGAGTACCTTGATCAGGTCAAGTGCCCTGTCATGGTCACGGGCGCTGCAGCGTCCATCTACGCCACAGAGGACCCCAGTGCGAACAAGGTGTTTAGCCGGCTGCAGCATCTTCCCGACGAGCGTAAGCGTCTGTGGATTGGCAAGGAGGTGTCAGACGGAGGGCTGCAGGCCAAAGTTGGCATCTTTGGCTTAGCGCAGCATCGGGTCTTCGCTTTCCTGGATGAGCAGTTTGGAATCCATCGAGGTGCATAGCTGCCGGGATGTGACGAAGGTACAAAGCAACCTGGCAAATTGCAACATATAATTAAATTAGTATTATCAGAATAACGTAGTCAACTATCAAGACAATCCATGCAATCCAAACAGCGCACAAGCGCAGCACACAAACACCGAGTTCTTCTTCTCCAACTCCCCTTCCCTCAGTTAATCTTTTTAACCATCTTTTGCTTTGTACCTCCGATGCAAATTGTTCCCATCCCCTGTTTAAGCTGCAACATCCGCCTCACTGTCCTTCTCCTTTTTCGGATCCATGATCCCATACTCGGTCTCCAACTCCGTGCGCAGCTTGATCTGCTTTTCAAACCAGACGATAATAAATCCCAGAGCAGCAAACGCGAGCGAAACCTGCCAGACCAGCTTCAGCGTATCAGAGTACACGCTGATGACTTCATCCCGAACCTGAGGCTCCAGAGACTTGATGAAAGTAGCTGAGACATGAGAGTAAGCCTCCCCGCCGGCAAGCTGCGCCGCAACGGCAGGGTCTGAGATACGATTGGACAAGCGCCCAAACTGCGTGTTGAATATAGCAGCCGGAATGGAGATGCCCCAAATGGCGCCGTAGCTGCGAATAAACGCCCAGGTGGCGGTGGCCAGACCAACGTCCTTCTCTTCCAGGCCAACCTGCACCGCGGCCAGGGTCGTCGTGAGCAGAAGACCGAGACCGATGGCGGTGATGATCTGGTAAATGATCCATTCTGCATCGCTCGAATCGGCATCCAGGCGTGTGAAGAGGCCCAGCCCTAACAAAGCTAGACCCATGCCAACGGCGTGCATGGGCTGGTAGCGGCCCCATTTCGTGAGGATGATACCTGCGACCATAGCGGTTGGCACGGCGAGGATCACACTGGGCAGGAACTGCACACCAGCGCGAGTCGAGCTCGATAGCTTGACCGACTGGAAGTACACGGGTATGAAGTAGACGACCCAGAAGGTGAGCATGTTGTGGATGAAGGATACGATCAGAGCGGAAAAGGAGGTCCGGTTGCCGAAGATATGTGGCGGCATCATGGGCTCAGGGCACCACGGGCTGGCCTCGTACAGATGGAAAAGTATCATGCCGACAAATCCGAGCGTCAGACAAATGATGATGCGCCAGTTGGACCAGGGATAGGCGGTACCGCCCCAGGTGAGGGCCAGCAGGATCGAAACGATGGAGGTCATGAGTAGCGCGTTGCCGATATAATCAATCCGTTTGAGCTTTTTTTGCCAGGGCTCTTTCTGGTAATTGACATGTAGGAAGAAGAATAAGCAGACGAGAGCAGTTCCGCCAATTGGCAGATTCAGATAGAACTATGAGTTGCGTGAGCCAATCACGTCCCATCAGGGACCAAAATCAAGTAAGCACTCACCACCCATCGCCAGGAACTATGTTGTACCAGCGCACCACCAATAAACGGACCGAGGGAGGTGCCAATGGAGAACACGGCGAAGATCATCCCCATAAAGTTTCCTCTTTCACGCAATGGCAGGAGGTCGCTGACGATCATATCGATCATCACATTGATACCACCTCCACCAATTCCTTGGATTGTTCGGCCAGCGATCATCATGGCAGAGTTGATAGCACCGCCGCTGATACCGCTGCCGAGTACGAAGAAGGCCACAGCGCCAATCATCAGCCATCGTCGTCCGAAGAGATCCGCAGTCTGTCCAAATAAGGGTTGGAAACAAGCACTTGGAAAAGGTTAGTTCCATCCACCGAAGAGCCACTCCAGGCGAATCGGCTTACCTCGTGAGGAAGAATGAGTTGACAAACCAAACATAGTCCTCGCCCGCGCGCAATTCATCCGAGATGAACGGCAAAGCGGTTGATGTGACTGTCGACTCAACCGCAGCTAGCAGGATCGACACACAAAGTGAGATGTAGATTGCCCAGAAGCGCCATCCCTTCCCCTGCTTCTTTTCGACGGGCTGTATCGCAGTGTCCGAGGTGTCCGACATTGTATCGGTAAGTGTATAGTACAGAATCGAGAATCGAGCAAGCCGAAGCGGCTGGCTCGCGCGCAGAAAAAGGCCATGATCCCCAAGAGATTTCTAAGAATTGGGTGGTGCATTTGTCAACATGGCCGACGCCGAATGGAAGTTCGGTGATGTTTCTTTGAGATCACAATAGACGAACGTTGCGGGTCCCTGATTGGTTCAAGGTCACCGAATTTCATTGTTGCTATAAACACGGATATTGTCATTATATGCACGCACTCGCCTGAGAACCTGCGTACTTTTTCGCTGTATAAGCAAGCGCGGGTTCCCGCCAGCCCTTTAACGCCACTAGGATGGCTACCCATGGCGGGCCGTAAGCACTATTGTAACCGAGCGAGAGATGTCAGCCACCTCTGCATTACAATTTATAGAAAATGGCACTTTTCATCCCAATACTAGGATCTCAGCCACTAGGAATCGAGGTCACGCCATATCTAATATAGATAGACTGTGCATAAATTGAATCAATATTCGTGAATAGTTTTTAGGTTTTGTCACTGGTATACAATCCTATAAAAACTACGAACAGTACTATATTAGACTTGCTCTTTATAGGATCATTTTCCCGATAGGGTTTAGTATCATCTTCTTCATCAGCATCTATATCCATTTGCGGTATATTAATTTCAATACGAGATTCTAGATAGGTCATAGTCATACCCGTACTTGATGAGAGAGGAAGATCACAAAAGCCACTAGGATATTCTACAGGATATACCTGCCGCAAGCGCTTACATGAGCTTGCTAGTTTCTTGTGGATAATAAGCACCAAAGCTGCGCTGCTCCGCGTCATTCGTGGAAAGGCCAGCCCGGAGATCGCCAAACAGTCCAATCTTCGGCCCCAACCCAATCTGAGTCCCAGGCCCCCAGCATGCTCAAACACGAATGACGCGCAAAGAGAAGCTGCAAATAAAAGGCATCCATCGACTTGTTCGATTGCAACGACACCTCCACATACAAATATAACAGGGACCAGGTCAGAAATGCAAGGTCCAGGTGTAACTCGGTAGCAGGGTTCCCAAAGGCCAACGTTCTCCGTAAGAGCCGCATCACCTCTTTCGTTCCCCACCTCTCTCGACATCATCCCCCCCCCCCCACGTGCCCGAAGAATCTCGACCTCGGGGCCGGAGAATGTATGAACCACCGTCACGGCAAGCCTGCGATCGCTGTCACGATCTCAAATTGCGATGCCACCGGAACGATGCAGGGAAATGTAGCCGTTGTCTGAGAGCTGGCGCAAGCTGTGTGTTCAGTCCCTCAAATCGCGGTCGCCGACCCAACCATCAATTTCGCCGATCCGACTCCCAAACGTCTAAATGGATGAGCGACGGACAGTCGAATGTAAAATTAGCACCTCAGATAGCACAGCGCCTGAGACCACATTTGGCCAACCTCGACGCGCAGAACCAGTTGAGTACTCCGGATCCCTCTGGGATATGTGGGCTGGAGAGCGCCAACCACTCATACCGGGGCCGCCTTGGGAGGGAATACCCCGAAGATGACTGCCAGGAGCAGCCTCTCACAATAAATGCCGCGAATACACCGGTTGCCAGTGCCCATCCTGCCGGGCCGTCGCTACCGGACCTATGTATCGGCGTAGATCCCAGCGTCACTATACCGGAAGGCTTTCCACGGTCGCTGAGTCTTTCAGAAGGACCCCTGGAGGCCGACGTCTTTGCTCGCTTCACTCGTCCAAGCGAGGCAACTCTCACTCCGATCACTGATACTCACCTCTCTTTCCTTGAGCCCTTCTCGGGACTGGGTGTGCCGGAGACCGTTCCCCCAGAAAATGGTCCTGGCCCAACTCAGCCTTTAGACCTGTCCCAAGCAGCTGATGGCGGTCGCAAGGTCGGTCCACAGACGCGTTTTCTACAGCAGTTTATGGAAGACCTCCTGGAGCTCGATATAGACTTAATCCGACATACCTTAGAGGATCCCGTTGTATTCGATTCAACGTCAATGAGCACAAACCCGGGCGGAAATGGTAACCATACTCCCCCTTGCGACTGTGCGATTGACACGACTTTCGTTCTCACCCAACGATTCATTAACCTTTTGCGTCGGGGGGGCAACTGGACCACCCAGACCAGTGCTGCACAGAGCTCACAATGGAAATCACCGCTGGTCTCCTCGTCCTCATTTTCCTCACGGTTTCAGCAGCTGATCACCAAAGCAACACCTCAGAGTACCCCCGGCTTTTCAGAGATCGACTCTCAGCAGCCGGAGACGGCCCTCGACCAAGCATCACTACTACACGCTCTATCGACTTACCTGCGGCTCATCGAAACGTACCATATCACGTTCTCACAAACCGCCGACAAATTCGGCACGGCCCTGGCCGAGGGCTCAGCGATCCCACTCCCCTCGTTGCAGATCGGTGCCTTCGCCATGGACGATCCCGCAGGGCACATTGTGTTGGTGATTCAGTCGGCATTACAATTACTCGATCGCCTAGGAGATCTGGTGAACAGGCTCACGGCCCCTTTCTTGGCTGAGGAGATGGGGGAGATCGACGTCAGCCGGCCCCCAAGTCCTCCCAGTGGCCACAACGCAGTCAAGATGATCATGGTGGCGGTTCGCGAACGCGAAAGCCAATTCATGCAGGTAGCGGCACGGCTGCAGAGCTGCTGTCGCGAGGTACAGCGGTCGCGTGGCTAACGCTTGCGATGACGAATATTAAACGATGTAACCCAAGAAAGCTAGAACCTGGTGCCGCCATCATGACTTCTCGTGTTCCAGCTTCGAGAGCAAACACGGTGCATGAGTGGAGCCCATTTATGTCTATACGAAGATGATAAGATGACAATAGTAGATTATAAACCTTCGTATTCTGCCGGTGCTGCGTCCAACTTTTAATCGGCCATGGGGTCACCGAATCGGCGAACTTAACATCGGACGTTGGGGGGTCAATCAGCCGATGGCGGTGCTGGTGTCCTGCAGAAGCCAAGACTCGGCGTTTCTGTGTCCATGTACTACCGGTAATAGTGCAGCCGTGCAAGATGCGGGGAGTGATAAATACTAGTAGTAGGACACACGATACAGCAGACTCGGCAGGAGCCCAAACCCCTGCCATTTCTCAGACTCCACCCCACAATTCCAACCATCATGGCCCCGCAACGCCTGCTCAAGTTAACCCTGGGCCACTACCGCAACCCAGACTGCTCCGAAGAAGAATGTCACCGCTTTCTTACCGAGGAGTATATCCCCAAAGTAGTCGAGATCCTTCAACAGCATAAGCTAGAGACCTACAGCTATGTAAGGCTCCCTCTCCCTCCCAGCAAGCCCTCACCTCCCTGCGATTTGCAGCACAACCCAGCCAACCACAGGAGAAAGCTCACACAATACACGGAACTAGCACTTCACCCCCAGCCCGGTACAGAACGTGCTCCGCGCCGCAAGCGAGCGTCTCCAGAACGGCTGGACGGTTGACGACCACGACCTCACGGTGGAGTTCTACTTCCGCGATATCGCAGGCCTGGTGACGGTCTCGACGGACCCGGATTTCATTGCTCTGAAGGCCATTGAAGGGCCGTTTATCAGTCAGAAGGGGGTTGTGGCCCGGTTGGGATGGGTGGAGACCTATGTTGCCGATGAGCAGGTGGTCAATTTGATCGACGGCAAGTCGCAGTATGAGAGTTATGAGCAGGCGTCTGCTATTCAACTTGCGCTTTAAGTCTCTCTTGGCTTCTACAGAAGACGCAGCAGGTCTTCTTGATTACTATTAGTCTTATGTTCTTTCTGTCCCTACACAATTTGAGTCCCTAGATGGTTTCTGCTCCATTTTCGCAACGGTGACTGTATCCACCAAGGAATTTTCGCGTTTAAACGTCAGCCCGGGCAAGCCTTCTCAACCAAAAGCTGGCTGTCTGCCTACTTGGAGTAGTTGGCTTAGCTCCGTTTAGAGTTAGTTAGGGCTACGAAAAGGTATCCGAACATCTTAATTGAATTTAAAAGGCGGACGGAAAGCAAATCGGTCATGGCGTGGCGCCACATCGGGATCTACGTTACCTAACGCTTACGTTGAGGCGCCAAGACATCAACAACCACGTCCGTTCTACAGGACATTCACCATTTACGGCCTACAGCCACGTAGGTCCCTCCAACAGCTACCTACGTGGTCGGTATCGCTACCAAGTATGGCTCCAGATCATGTGATGAATCAAGGTTTCAGGATGAGCTGAAAGCCATTCTCACCCAGTTTGATGCATCGGTGTCCTACGCCTTTGCTTATGGCTCGGGAGTATTCCCACAAAGCTCTAAGCTGTCGCCCCCAGGCCCTAGAATCCACACTGATCCTCCTAGAGCAATCAAGAGAATACAAGGCGGCCAGCAGAAAATGATAGACTTTATTTTCGCAGTCTCATGCTCACAAAAGTGACACGGGGTCGATCTGCGGCAGCATCGAGATCACTACGCGGCACTAGGGGGGCTAGGGAAGTTTGCCGTTGCACAATATCAAGATAGATTTGGTGCCGGGGTATACTTCCACCTCTTCGTGACGGCCAATGGAAACCTCATTAAATATGGTGTTGTCAATATGGACACACTCTGCCGTGATCTACTCACCCTGGGACACGCTTTACCTGGCTGGGCGACTACGGAAGCCTACGAGAACTATCCGGAACAATCCCCGCGTGGAACAGGCCAACCAAGCCAATCTGATATCCACAATCAATGTTGCACTTTTATTACTTCCCGGAATATTTACCGAGCAGAAGCTTTATACGACAATCGCGGGTATATATTATCTTGGCGACCCCCGAATGACAGTAAGGGGTGACGATCCACAGAAGGTGCAGAATATGATAAGATACCAATTGGAAGACTGTCGTATGCTTTATATTCCTTTACTGCAAGGATGGAGCAATGTAACAAGCTGTCATTCTTCGAATGGAGTAGATACTGCTGAGTACACCATGTTCCAGCAAAACATGGATCCTGTCGTCCGTGCATATTCGGTT